CCCACTTCTGGGAATATATCCTAAGAATCTTGAAACACCAATCAGAAAACACATATGCACCCCTATGTTCATAGCAGCATTATCTACAATAGCTAGATCTGGAAATAGCCAAGTGCCCATCAGCAGATGAATGTATAAAAAAGCTGAATATTAGATAGATGTAAAAAGGAGGATCTTTTACCCTTTGCAACAGAATGGACTGACTTGGAGAATATTATGCTAAGCAAAATAAGCCACTCAGAGAAAGACAAATATCACATCTCACTTATATGTAGAATCTAATTAAAAAATAAACTGATGAATAAAATAGGTCGAGAGACATGGATGCACGGAACAGAATAGATCTCATAAGAAAGGGGATAGGGGTGTGGAAAGAGATTAACCAAAGGACTTATATGCATGTATGTAAGGCCAATGGACACAGACAATAGTGCTGTGAAGCCCTGGAGTAGGATGGGAGTTAGAAAAAAAAAGGGGGGGTGGTGGTTAGCTTGGGGGATATCTGTAATACTGTCAAGAATAAAAAACAAATTAAAAATGAAAATGTGATACATTTAAGATAATAAAGTTTTAAATAAAGAATTCTCCTGAGGCAAAAAAAGCGTAACATACTCCCACACCATCCCTAGGCTCTAGCTTTGAGGATATATACTGCCCCCTCGTGGCCATTATAGGAAAACCCCTTTCTTTTTTTGGGGGGGGGGGGTTGCTGGTGTTCTCTGCATTTGTACAGTGTAAACTTTGTCTTGACCTCATGGGTCATGCAATCCCAGGGCCTCCAGTGTGAGTTGCCACTGCTCTGTGTAGCAGAGAGGACACAGGTTTTAGAGTCAGACCTAGCAGAAATATTCGATCCCCAGTAATTAACTTGAGTGATCTTGGGTTAGTGACCTAACCTTCAACTGTCAGTGAAGTAAGGATAAGAATACCTACCTCATGGGGCTTTGAGAAGTAAAATATGTGCACTGTGCTTAGCGCATATTATGCACTCAAAAGAGATACTTGGAAAAGTGTGGGTACTAAGGACTTCTGACTTCTTCACCCAGGTGTCAGACTTGGGGTGGGTGTGGGGTAAGGGTGTGTGTATCTGAAAGCCTCAGCCCCTATCAGAGCAATGTTGTGACTGCAGTCCCCCCCACCCCACCCTGGTGTGAGCTGCCCTTGAGACAGTCCTGGGACAGGCTCCGGAGATGTGACCATGCTGAGATGCCAAATGACACTGCACTCTCTGACCTCTCAGACCCTGTCTCCCCACTAGCCTACCAAGGGCTCCGAGCAGCGTACAACTATTACCCACTTGACAGGTGGGGAGACCAATACCCAGACACTGGAAGCAAAATGCCCAGAGTCACACAGAGAGCTGAGGCAGCCAGCAGGGCATCCTAGCAGTTCAGCTGAGTTCTTACACCTGGCTCTCCCAGGAGCTGTGCAGCATGAAGCCTGTGGTGAAGGCAGCTTGGGCCACTGGGAATATGCCCAGGAAACTGTTTGGGAAAGATGATGTACCTTATCCTGAGGACTCAGGCCCCTCCTGGCCTAGGGCAGCTCTATGTTGGAAAACCCAAGGCCTGGCTATCCAGTCCTGACTTGGCACACACAAGTGAGACCCCATGGAGCCTAGTTCCTTCGATCGGGGCCTTTGTGGACAGAGATTGAATGGGCTTAGAGAATGCCTTGGGGAACTGTGAGCTCTAAAAGGCCATGAGATGGTTTGGGACATTTGTGCTGAGGTCATATGGGGAATTTGGGAGAATGTGCCTGATGAGTGTGGCAGAGGGAGGGAGGTCTGAGATGGAGAAGCTCTCGCCTGGCCTGGCACTCTGTCCCTGGTTTTGGAAGAGGTGGCCCAGCAGCAGGTACTCCTTAGAGGACAGTCTCCGGGCTTTTAGGCGTGAAGCACAAAGGCTGGCACCATGTGGGAAGGACATGCCAAACCTAAATCTCAGAACCTTTGGTTTGAAACTTTGCACCTCCCTCACAAGACTGACCTCACCCCTGCTCCCCAGGCCTGGCTGGGCCCTGGCCAGGACACCATCCAGAGCTGCTTCAGACAGACCTGCAACCTGGAGGGCTGCTTTCATCTCCAGTTCCACACACAACCTCCAACTGCATGCCAGCCGGGCTCCACTATGGAGAGGAGTCAGCCCTACCCGAGGGAAATTCTACAGATAAGAACTTGATTTCTGGAAAGCTCTGGCCCCATAAACAAACTCCTGCTGGACAGTGTGGGGCTAGAGGGGAGAGCAAAGATACACCTGATTCTTGGGGAGTAAGTGTGGAGTCCTGGTCCCCATAGCCTCTATGTATGGGGTGGAGGGATAGCTTTTCCTTTAGTCCACATTCATGTGGTCTTGTCCAAGGCCAATGCTCACTGGAGAATGAGCAGCAGCTTCCTTTAGCTGAGGGGTCTGGGGTCTCTTTGGTGATGCAGCGGCGGCGGGGTATGTGTGTGTGTGTGTGTGTGTGTGTGTGTGGTGGGGGGAAAGGAGGTGCTAGCTCTCTCTCTCTGCTGCTTCCTGGCATCCTATCCTACCTCCTGGATCTCCTGAAATGTCTTCCCTGTTTGCAGCACCAATTCCAACCACCCTCATCCTCTCACTTGGATTGCTCCCAGAGCTCTCAGCTGGGCCTCTTACCTGTTATCCCTTCAATCCCTGGGCAAATAAAGGTCCACGGCCACATCTGTTGTTTTTGTACAACCCACAAGCCAAGAATAGTTTTCACATTTTTAAAAGGTTAGGCAAAATAACAATATTTTGTGACGTAAAAATGACATGAGATTCTGATTTTATACAATTGCTATTAGAATGGAGTTCTAATACTCATGTATTGTCTGTGGCTGCTTTCAAACGACAATGGCAGAGTTGTACAATGGTAGCTGCAATAGAAACTCTACATTCTAAGGCTCAAATACTTACTATCTGGCCCTTTACAGAAAATGTTTGCTGGCTCCAGCTCTAGATCATAAATCCAGCCGAGCCTTTCTCTTAGAATCCCTCAGTGGCTCCCCAAGGCTCTCAAGTTGACCTGTCTACCCTTGCAGCTTCATCACCTGTCTTTCCAGTTGTCTGCCCACTCTGGGAGATCCCTTCCTCAAACCCACCACAAGCCATACAACCGGCTTGCCTCATGCCCTTTACCTTCACTTGGCATGCCTCTCCTCCACATGGCAATCTGCTATCTCTAGACGCAGCTCAAATGCTTCCTCCTGTTTCTCTTCCCCACCAGAGAGAGGTCCTTCCCCTAAGCAGGAAAGCTAACCCAGTCCTACCATTCACAAAAACTACTTGTAGAACTCTTTAGCTTTTAATAAGACTAATGACTGATTTCTGCCAGACCAACCCATCCCACTATATAAATTTAGGTATGTGTCCCCTACTGGATTACTAACTAAAGAACAGGCCACATCTGCTCCCCAAAGCCCTAGTACAAGGCTGGTGCTAAGTAGGAACACAAGTATTCACCTGAAGAGGCATGCTCAGCCACTTTACCCTTTTATTTGGCTAATATATGGAGACAAAAGATGCTTATATATTTTCCAGATATCAAGTATAAATTTTTATAAACTTTCAACACCTATCATAGATTAGGTGCCTCTACCTATGTTACCTCATTTAATCACCACCACCCGGGTGAGGTAGTTCGATACCTCCATTCCACCAAGTGGCAAGTTATAGGACAGAGCTAGAATCTGAAATCAGGTTTCCTGCCTCCTGCTGTTCTCTCAATGTACAGTTCATCCACTAAACCCACTGATTAAAAGATGTGACAGATGTCCGTGGGCTTCTTGTTGGCCCACATAAGATGGTTTTATAGATCATCTCTCCCCTCCAATTTCCTGTTCCCACAGCTGTACCTGATGCTTTTCAAGGCAGATTGTCTGGGTTGGACCAAAGACTAGCCCTGCTCTGTGAATATTAAGTGCTAGTTTTGTAAAGTCACTTCTCAAATTTCCTGTTGCTCTGGGCTTGTGGCTTGTTTTGAAGCAGAAGGAAGTAGGAAGTTTGGCCTCCGTGCTGAGGGGTGCCAATGCAGAGGGCCAAACTAATGTAAATGGCAATGCACCTGCCTTAAAGGAGCTTGAAGAATGCCTCCGGGGGCTGCTGGGATAAGCCCTGGACTGTCCACAAACTTTTTTGACTATTCAAACAGAAGTTCAGGGCTCAGATAGAGGGAGAGCTAATATGGCTGCTGAAGGCCTGGGAGAAAGCAACTCAGGCAAGATAAGTCTACCTGAGACTCTCTCAACCAGAGAGAAGGCGCTGGGGCTACTCTGGTCATACAGAGGCCAGTGTGAACGTGGCGGGAGGAGCTTGTTCTCAGCCATCATGACGGATGGCTGAAGTGACTGTCACCGACACACTCAGTGATGTGGTATGAGGTGCTCCCCGGACTCTAAAACATGGAATTCTTTAAAGCCACCCATCTTCTCTGCTAGTTCTAGAACTAATAATACTGAGAATCACTAAAATAAGCTCAACTAGCTAGATCTATGACAGTTTTTGGCAAAAGACTCAGATAAGATAGCTGGGTTCAACATAACACATATGATTCTGGATATGGTGTATCAAATTCAATGTTTGATATTTCAGACTGAGAAGTTTGCTTGTGTCTGTGATTAGTCTGGATTAAGAAAGCGAGGTGCATCTAATGTTGCAGGCATTTTCAGGATGGATAACTGAGGCTATGACTAAGTGTCATAAAGGGGGTTTCATTCAGGCTAATATTCTGGTTTGTCCAAATCAAATCCAATGTTCTAAGCCTCTGAGCAATCACAGTGAAGGTGTGAGGAGCTTCTGCAAATACATGACTGAATCTCTAGTGACCGTGCAGCCAGCATCTAGCTGCACAAAGACACTTCATACTGAGGGATCAGAGGACAGGGGATTTCTGACACACTCATGCTTTGAACATATCAATACAAGACAGTATGAGAGGCTATAAGTCCACCATGAAGTTGGGAATAAGCATGATTTATCTGCTGGCAAACGAATCCCCACCTAATCATTCTTTCATCTAAGTGCATCTTGAGTTTCTCAGTCCTGGACATCAAAGTAGTCAATTACCGTCTCCTTTTCTATCTTCTGTAAATTATTGCTCCCAGCATTCCTGAAAAGCAATCAAAGAATAATACATCTTTTCTTTCTGGAAGAACCCAAATTCAGGTCTTTAGGAAGTTAATAGGCTGATTTATCATTTGTGAAGCTATGATAAGATAGCAGGGCCCTAGCAGTTTGGCTCAGTGGACAGTGTTGGCTTGTGGACTGAAGGGTCTCAGGTTCGATTCCGGTCAAGGGCACATGCCTGTGTTGTGGGCTCGATACCAAGTAGGGGGCATGCAGGAGGCAGCTGATCAATGATTCTCTCTCACCATTGACGTTTCTCTCTCTCTTTCCCTCTTCCTTCCTCTCTGAAATCAATTTAAAAAATATACATTAAAAAAAAAAAGACAGCAGGGTCTACATGAGCTAAGAACTGTTGAAATTTGGTGATAGGTGCACAGGGGTTTATTATATTAATACTATTTTCTCTATTCTAAAAATTTTCAACAATACAGTTTTATATAAAAATTAAGCAAACAAAGGAGGGAGAGGGGGAAGACACCATGACTACACATGGTTATGCCCAGGTGGTACTGGAGGCGGCTGTGGAATAATATGTAAAATACTCCACCTGTTTCCAAAACCACTGCCCAAGTAGACAGGCAATCTGCGCTGACTGGAATCTAGGCCACTTACTTCCCAGGGATGATTGGGGCAGACACTGGGGGTTACATGGCCCCAGACGCTCCTGCTGGGGCTGTGTCCAATGGGCAACACCCAGCTGCTCTATCTGGTCCCACAGCGGTTGCTATGACCCTTATGTTGACCTTGTACACGGCTGTACCCATGCTCCCAGAGGTTTTGTGTAGAAGGTACTGCCAGGGCTTCTGTGTGGAAGGCCAGAACAGCAGTAGGAGCCTTATGGGTTTCAGAGGAACTTCCAACAGTCCTGCTTCATCACAGTAAGGCAGCCGGCTCCCTCTGCAGGGAGGGGGAGGGACAGTGCTCTTTCCTTGCTCCTGAGAAAACACCCGGCAGACTTGCTATTGCTTGCCAATGTGGTTTTCTTCTCTCTTTAAATTATGAATGCATGTTTTTATTGTAAAAATGACTCAAATCGTATGGAAGTGGAGCAAAACATAAAAGATCCCCCCTTTCCTGCCAACTCCCCACACCCATCCCACTTCCATCCAGAGTTAACTGCTGTAAACTGCGTGATGTTTCTAAGTCATCTGGTGTGACAGGCTGAATCCACTTTCCAGTGTCTCCAGCGACACCATGGAAATTACATCATGACTGCTCTTCCTTGAGCGGAAGTAGGCATAGCAAACATCAAATTGGAACCTCTACAACATGACAAATGTGTCTGACATCCAGTCAAACCTCATATATTTGAACATGGAACCCCAAGGCCAGGCCTAAGAAGCCACCAATGGCTGGGGCAGCCCAGGATAGCTCAGCCCTGCTAGCTTCTTTGAACAGCCAGGACCCTTTGGAAAGCAGCTGAACAATTCTTACTTGTCTGACTGTCTGTGATGAGGAATTGGGGGTGGAGGCCGTGCTTGCATTTCCTTTTCAAGTACACTTGTCAACGTGGTAGCTGGACAAACAGACTTCCCTCTGATAAAAGAACACAAAATATTGAAAAGTGAGAATTCTCTGTGGAGACAGGCCAACAGCTAGAAATCCAGTCCGTGATGCTATGATGTGACTGAGCACTCTTTGATATGACATCTCTCTGCTCAGACATGTCACCTTCATATAACCTTCGTCCCTTCCACCACTGGTTACCTTCTTTTTCTCATCTCATCTTTATCCTAGATCCTCCTTGTCCCCTCCTGTCTCACATTACTGCCCCTGTTTCCTCTGATGGTAAACGCTTTAAGTCACAGTGCAGCATTCTTTCTGTTTCCATCATGCCAGGACAGAAGGGAAAAAGGGACAGATGTGATGGGCAGGCACCCAACCCAGGCCCTCAGGGTCTGCTCCCTCAGCCTAAGGAATGCTGCCTCCAGTGACAGATGTGGATCTGGGCAGATGTGAGGCTTGTATTCTTTAGGTGCGTCTGTTCTGTGGACCGAAGCTTTGGCTCTCTGGACCTTTAGATCACCTCAGGGTGGCTGTCCCAGAAGGAGAACTATTCTTCCGGGAGAGGAAGTAAGGAAAGCAAACACTGACAGACTGCTTCCTGGGTCCAGTGTGCCCTACCAAGCAGTTCCTCCTACGATGGCAAGACCAACCCACCTGACGGCAATGACGACGACATTGCGCTTCGGTTCACTGTCATAGCTCACGCTCTCCAGGCCGTACACCTGGGCCAGGTCGTGGATGATCCGGCGGTGGTCTCTGTTCATGGGAGGGAAGAAGTGGCTCTTCTTACTGTTCTTTCCCTATATTAAGGGAAAAGAGAATGAGTGAAAAAAATTATCTTGAAACCCGAATATGCTTACAAAGGTCCTTCCCCCCACACCAGAACAGCCTGGGGCAATAGAAAGGCAGCTGAGTTTTAGAGGCCTACAGGGCACAGCACTTCACTGGCTGCCAAACCAGGACAGCGGTGTGGGAAGATGGGGGCTGATGCACTTCACCTACTGTCAGCCACACAGTAGTAGCTGCCCAGGTGAGGGACAAGGATAAGGGAACTAAGACTTAGACGGTGAATGGTTCCTACTGAGGTGGCCCATAAGGTGAGGAGAGGGTGATAATCCCAAGAAATGACTAAATAAATGTACAGCTTACAAAACAAGAAAATCTCACTTCCTAAAAAAAGTACCTCTGCACTAAAAATCATATATGTGCAGATACAGACACCCAAGCAGAAACATACATCTGCTCAGGCCCAGCCAGCGTGGCTCAGTGGTTGTGCATCGACCTATGAACCAGGAGGTCATGGCTAGATTCCCAGTCAGGGCACATGCCTGGGTTGCAGGCTTGACCCACGTGGGGCAGCCATGCAGGAGGCAGCCAATCAATGATCCTCTCTTGTCATTGACATTTCAAACTCTCTCTCTCCCTCTTCCTTCCTCTCTGAATTCAATAAAAACATATTAAAAAGAAAAAAAGAAAAATACATTTGCTCAAGTTTCCTAATTAGAAGATGAACAGTTATTCCATTTCCTCCTTTGTGTTAGTATCCTGCTGGAAAGTGAGAACGAAGGGGAGGAATGATAGGGGGCAAGAAAGATGATGGGAAGGAAAACTTTATTAGATGTGAAGCTAAAGCATCTCATCCTCACTCTTCTGAGTCTCCACAGAATGAAGAGGGAGCCACTGTGCAGCCGGCTGCTCCTGACTAAAGACTTCTTTTGTTTCAAGCTACCTTCTCAACATCCCTGGCTGCCTCCAGGAGAGGCCTCACTTTTTAAAAAAATTATATTTTTATTGATTTCAGAGGAAGGGAGATGAAGAGATAAAAACATCAATGAGAGAGAATAATTGATTGGCTGCCTCCTGCATGCCCAACACTGGGGATCAAACCCGCAACCCAAGCATGTGCCCTGACCATGAATCAAATAGTGACCTCCGGGTTCATAGGTTGACCCTCAACCACTGAGCCATGCCGGCTGGGTGAAGCCTCACTCTCTTGAGACTCCTGAAAAAGTCTACGCCCATTAGTCTTCACCTCTAGTCAGCCGTCTTTTTACCTTTACCCAAGGATTTCTTTCCTGCTTTTGGGATAATAAAGAACTAATGTGTCCTATTATACAACAGCCCTTCAGAGATCTGAGGGCCCGGCATGTCTCCCTAAGTATCTCACATAACCTTTGAACTATCACTATTGAAAGCCCTTGTCCAGGTTTCTTCACCCACCCTTAGGCCATGAACTAGGATATTTATTTACATGTAATTTACTGCAGATGACTTTCCTAAACCAGGACAGGGCTTCTGTGGATATTATTATGGCTGGGCTTTTGGGAAAGACAAGAATCCTTAAGAGGAAGTTGTGACTTTTCTACAACTACACTATACCAACAGTGCTTCTGGGATTTGACTTTTTATCAAGTTGGCCTCAGAGACATGTCCAATGGGATGTTTTGATTTCAACCTTATTCACGGCTTCCACGAGGGCTTCCATTTCCTTCTCCACGTCACTGACAAACTTTAGGTCCTTCCTGAAATGAGAAATCACGACAGTTAACTTCATGTTTCTGCTCTATGAAAATCCCTCCTGCCCACCCTTTCTGCCTGTAAAGTGGGGACAAAGAATAAGTGAACTAAATGAACTATAATGGACAATGTGAGCAGAAAAACTGCAGAGGCCAGGATTTGTCAGATAACAGAATATTGATTATGACTGAACTAAGAAAGAGAATACAAATATAAGAAAGGAGAAGGTGGAAGAAGAAATAGCCATCAGAGGTTTAGGAGATAAGTGGACAATATGAGACCTGGGTGGACAGAATTGGCATTTGACCAGAGTGTTTAGGCTAGTCCAGCCCCAGGGAGGCCCAAACACATACCATAGGGGCCACACACACACACACACACACAAACACACACACACCAACTTCAATTCTTCAAGGAATAGTTCAGAGAAATCAAGAGAAGGATTTTTATTAAACATTATATAATCTCCTGTAATAGATATATAAACTTTAACTGGCTCAATCACAGAGGAGTACATATTAGTTCTATCTTAAAAGACAAAACATTCTTGTAAGCCTACTCAAGAGAGTAAGTAACAAGTTACATACCTGGCATCTTCTTTCAAACTGTCACTAAATTTTGATGCTGAAGAACGTACGTTGAAAGGATCAGAATCATCACTGATATCAAATGCCTCTGCTAATCGCCTAAAAGTAAGAGAAGAGTATGTAAATAAAAGGAAAGGAGGAGGAAACTATCTTATAGTAACACAAAGTGCTCACCATGTCCCAAGTTCTTTATACATTAACTAGAGACCCAGTGCACGAAACTTGTGCACTGGTAGGGTCCCTAGTGGCTGCTGACCAGGGCCTCCTTCCCTTCCCCTGGAAGGCCCTGCCTTCTGGTCAAAGTCCCAGACGACCTCCCGGTTGAGGGGACAATTTGCATAGTACATTTTTATTATATAGGGTGATCTCATTTTGGTAAACCCGATTATTAAGGAAAAAATAATAACAACTTGGGATAAAATACAGTATTGTCTTCACAGAAGAAAGTATACAAGACAGATCTATATGGGTCTGAGCAAGCCATAGGCTAACATTGGGGACTTAGATTTTTTTGGTAAAAAGAAGGCTGAGGGTTTGAGAGTACTGGACATGGTCAATGAGGGATGAGGTTTCACCTAAACATCAGATTATTTAAGTAGATCTATAAATATTAAAATTAACATCACATTATAGAAGTCTGGAAAATAAATAATCCTGTTAACAACATATGCACTGCATTTTTGTATATTTCCTTTCAGATTTCTCTCCCTATAAATACACTGATAAAACTTGGCCTCTTTCCCCCCATCATTATATGATTAGCTTTTCTCATATTATTGTTTGGTTTTCACACACTTGTGCGTAATCCTCTAACTATGTATATCCCACAATTTACTTAAACTTTCCTCCTTTAGGGTCATTTAACAGTTCTCATTTCTCAATATTATAAGTGATATTACAGTATCTTTGAGCCAAGAACTTTTAAGATTTCTCTGGAAAATTTTTCCTGTTGTGGGATTACTGGGTTACACTGTACGGACCTCAGACCCCTGGTCATCACATGTTCAATGGCCTCCACAACTGCCCGTTTGTGTTTTGACCAACAGTGTATGAGTCTCATGGCAGCTCACCAACACCCAGGTAATGTCTTTTTTTTTAAAGATGAGCTTAACACTTAGTATTATTTTCACTTATACAGAGACAGGGGTCCTTTGCAAGCTTAATGCTCATAAGAATCTGGTTTACTATTGCTAGATTTTCCAATTTTTCAAAGTAAGCTTAATTTTCAAAAATTCAAGAACATTCCTAAGGGGGCGATTTTTTGATGTTTTAATTGGCTAATTAAAACTAATTCAAATTTAAACACCATTAAAACATGTCTGTGGGAAAATCTGGCCTGCCAGTTTTTCATTTCTGCAATGAAGTATATATCTGCAACTTCAGAAGACTTTTTTTTTTCTTTTAAATTTGCATTTCCTTTTTTTCTCAGGTCAGTGGGTATTTAAGAAAAAACATACAGTGAGAGTCATTATGTCATCACTCTAAGATTGGGGAGAAATTTAAAAGGTTTTCAGAAATAGAGAGCCAATTGTAATCAGTAAGTGACATTTACTGAATACCTACTACGTGCTAGGCTTGTGCCAAGAGCTGTGTTTCATCTTTAGTTTTAATCTTTACAGAACATTATTTGTATACCTTTGTGTACATTGCTTTACTGTGAGGTACTGAGAAATGAATTGTTCCTGACCTTTGGAAATTAAGCTTAATAGGAGAAAGAAGGCGTAGCCACACATTTTTAAATTACCTGGCTTGCCCTGGCCAGTTTGGCTCAGTGGACAGAGCCTCAGCTTGTGGGCAGAAGGGTCCTGGGGTCAAGAGCACGTATCTAGGCTGCAGGCTCCTCCCCGGCCTGGGCCCTGGCTGGGGCCCTGCTTGGGGCATGTGCAGGAAGCAACCAATTGATGTGTTTCTCTCAAATCAATATTTCTCTCTGTCCTTCCCCCTCTCTCTAAAAATCAATGGAAAAATATCCTGTGTGAAGATTAAAAAAGAAAAAAAGCCCAGTACTGATAAAACAGATATCTATTAATGATAGAAAAGATTATGATATATTAATACAATAAAATATGTGGGAATGAAAGTGAACAAAGTACTACTAGATGCAACAACAGGAATGAATGTCATAAATGTAAGGAAAGAAGCCAGACAAGACTAATACAAGCTATATGATTTCATCATTTACGTATATAAATTTCAAAAACAGACAAAACTAATCTGAAGTGTCAGAAGTCAGAATAAGAGGTTATATCTTTGTGGAATATAAGAGAGGATTCTGGTAATTTTCCATTTCTTGACCTGGTGCTGATTATAACATTGTATTTACTTTGTGATGACTCACTGATCTATATACTTCTGATCTTCTACAAATATATTATACTTCAACATGAAAGTTCACTAAAAAACTTTAAGCCTCAAATAAAAAATTTTTTAAGTCTCTTATCTCCAGTGGAAACAGGAAGTCTGCTAGTCATGAATAAGCATGCTGTGGCATGTGATGTTTATATCGTGCCCCAAACCATATGAGCTCACATTTCAGAAATATGCTGAAACGTGTTAGGTAGTTTATCCTTGGATACTTCAATTCTTGATGATCAAGTTTCTCTTGCTCTCCAATAGCAGGAAAATACACAGAGCAGAAGCAAGTGAATGGCTGAGGGTTGCTTCCTCCCATAGTTTCACAGAGCTTAAGGACAATTAGATGAACAATAGCTGACATTACTTACTTTTTCCTTTCTAAGGCTGAACACTCCTCATCACATTCCAGCCTTGGGAAGTAAATGAAAAAAATAAAGTCAGAGCACAGGTTTCACAGTTTTTAGCTAGCAATAAGATCTTAGTTATCAGTCAACCTGGAAACAGAGCAAACTCTAGGTCAGAGGATGGCTGGATGAGGTCCTTGTCAAGAACGGGCGGGCAGGCCTGAGTTATTTATTTAAGTTGAGGAATCCTCAGAAGGGCCTCAGAATGTCCCCTCCATGCTCAGTCCTCAAAAATGTTCCCAGTACCCCTCTGACAGCCCCACCTCCACCTCCAGACATAGCTACCTCTGGTTCTCTATTCTCCAGTGGGCCAGGCTAAACACATCTACACCTCTGCTTCCTCTGGCTACTGGCTGGAGTGAGGCCTGGAAAAGTCTCTTCTAGGCTCAGCTATACACTGAGTAAAATTCCTTTGATTAGACTGTGTGTGACTCTTAATGCCAAAGGTCTGTTGAATACCTCTGTGAACATGGTTTTACTGTGAGGTACTGAGAAATGAATTGTTCCTGCCCTTTGGAAATTAAGCTTAATAGGAGAAAAAAGGCACAGCCACATATTTTTAAATTACCTGGCTTGCCCTGGCCAGTTTTGCTCAATGGATAGAGCCTCAGCTTGTGGACAGAAGGGTCCTGGGGTCAAGAGTACATATCTAGGTTGCAGGCTCCTCCTCGGCCTGGGCCCTGGTCAGGGCATGTGCAAGAAGCAACCAGTTGATCTGTTTCTCTCAAATAAATATTTCTCTCTGTCCTTCTCTCTCTCCAAAAATCAATGGAAAAATATCCTGTGTGAAGATTAAAAAAGAAAAAAATTACCTGGCTTGGTGCATTTCCTTCTTAGTAATTAACTTGCTGATCTCCACTGAATCTCCAAGCTGCATGTCTGTTATTTTAGAGGCCATGGAAATAGCAGCTATTCTGAAGTATAAAAAAGAAAGGGAAGAAAAGGCATTGCAGTTTTACAAGAACCTCCTCATACAAGGCACACAGACTTCCTTCCAGGCATAGCTATCACTCAACAATTTGTGTGGCCTGGAAAGCCCATCTGCTATTAACTACTGATGGCTCATCTCCCCAATCAGAGTCTAAGCAGCTAGCTCCACGGGAAACTATGAAATAATCCATTCCTCAGTGGCCCCTTGAATATTCAGGGCAATGCCTGGTACTCTGAGGTAGCCCAACACTGCCACTCTCTGTCGTCTGCATAGTTATAAAGTCCTATCTCCATGGCACATCTCTATCCATGGCCACAACCATCCATTCCTAACACTTCCCCTTCTTTACTCAGATCCCTGTGTGCACACATGGGTCCCAAGATTTCTGGAGGCTGCAGAGACAGTCAGAAACCCCCACCCAGGGGAAGAGCACAGGACTTGGTCCTAGCTATGCCACCACCACTGGTAGGGCCTTTGAAGTAACTTCAGGACATCTTTCCTTCTGATTTCATGGTGTAATAAGACCAAAAGGGAGAGAGGAAAAAGGAGGAGGAGAAATAAAGAGGTTATTTTATAAATTAAAGTTCAGAAAGGAAAGGTACATAAAGCAGTACCTTTTCTTTGAACCAGAAAAATGAAATTCAAGGAAATTTTCTTAAAAACTTTCCAACTTTTACAAAAGTTGCAAGGATCCTACAATAAACACATGTATTCCCTTTACTTAGATCCACCAATTGTTACCATTTAGGTAGCACTAACCTTTGATAAGTACTGGATGCTTCAGAGCAAATCATGATCTCTTTTCTTCGTCCACATTCACACTGCAGCTCAATCTGAGAGAAGATTAACATGGAGAGACATTTAGTACATGGCAACAACGTGAACAGGCGGCTTTCACTTTTAAAGCCTCTCTCATCCTTAACTCCACCTGAAAGGACAGGCCTAGAATGGAGTTTTTATCAATGAACCAGAGACCACATTTGACCCAGAACCAGTCAAGGCCTAACCAACTACTCCTCATCCCACTACTTTTACCTCCTGGCTGGGGGGGAGGGAAGGGAAGGGAAAGGGTGCCTTGCTTAATCCCTCAGACCATGTTAGTCCCCTTCTCACATACTCTCACAGCTCCCTTTACACGGGTGTAATACTCCTTCATGACATCAGTCATAATTGAGTAATTAATTATCTGACCCATCTAATTGAAGGGGCCATGTGTCTCCCATTCACTGGTATAGTACCAACACCTAGTAAAACATCTTGCACAAAACAGACACTTATATATTTAAAAGGCCATCTCAAGGTGGGCTGACAGAAATCTATGCAATTTAATCCACCTTTCTCTTGCTAACTTAACTTGATGTTTCTTGTAACCAATGACCTCTGATAAGGATGCATGCCCAGGTGCCGCTACAGGCAGTTCTAGACTCAGAGAACCAGAGTCTGTACCACAGCTGGAGCCGGGAATACACACCTTGGCTTTGCAAGCAGTCACAGGGCAGGGGGAGCTGAGGTGGCAGGGTGCCATGCATGGGTGGCCACAGTCAGCTCTGGGGGTGGTGCAGGGCTGCTTGCAAGCCTCATCCACAAGACACTCTCCTTTGTGACAGAGTCTCTGACACCTGTGCATTCCACACGGTAGCGCAGCACTGCAAGGTAATCCGCAAGAGATATCCACCAGGTGACATGGGATGTTGCTTCGTAACTAGGAGAGAAGGAAGTAGTCAGATTTTTTTCATCTCCATGTGGGATTTGGGGTGAGTTTTAACTTTCTATCTAAACATTTCTAAACTTTCAAAAAGAACATTTTTTCTTTCTTTTATAAAAAACACTAGAGGCCCCATGCACGAAGATTCATGCAAGAATGGGCCTTCCTTCCCCTGGCTGCCAGCACTGCCCTTATTTGGCTGGAGTCACCTTTGCTCCAACTCTGAGCCCCCTGGGCGGTGCCATGGCAACGACACAAGCATCCGGCTCCACCCCCGGCCGTTAACTGCCTGAGTATGCAAATTAATCTGCCATCTTTGTTGGTTAATCTGCATAATCACTTCTGATTGGCTGGTAGGCATTGCAAAGGTAAGGTCAATTTGCATCTTTCTCTTTTATTAGTGTAGATACATTTTTATTGTTTTCAGAGGGAAGGAGAGATAGAAACATAAATGATGAAGAGAAAGCTGTCTTTTGCATGCCCCACACTGCGGATCAAGCTCACAACCCACGCATGATTCACAGGTCGACACTCAACCACTGAACCATGCTGGCTGGGCAAGACATTTTCTTCAAAAAGTAATTTTTATCTGAAAACAATTAGGCAACTTTTCAAAGTCAGAAAGTTAAGATAAAAAACAAATATGAACCTTATTTAATGCTTGTTAGGACCCAAAAGGATATGTGGGAACAGCCAGGTGTGATTTGAGATATAAACTTCCCAAGGTGAGTAATAAGCATGTGAAGCCACATAACTAGGAATATCTGAAATGCTATGACCAACTGGGGGATCAGACAATCTTTTCTCTAGGGCACTAAGTTGACAGACAAATCCTGAGAGCTGGGGCACTGACAGTCCATGGGCTCAAGCAGGGCTGTTTGTCTGTTGTGTTTTTATTGATTTGGAAGAGAAAGAGGAAAAGGAAGAGAAAGAGAAAGAGAGAGATAAAAGAAGAGAGAGAGAGAAATTGAGATTTGTTGTTCCACTTATTTATGTATTCATTGGTTAATTTTTTTAAATATATTTTATTGATTTTTTTTTTTAAAGATGGATCTTTTTAAAAAAATATATTTTATTGATTTTTTACAGAGAGGAAGAGTGAGGGATAGAGAGTTAGAAACATCAATGAGAGAGAATCATCGATCAGCTGCCTCTTGCACACCCCCCACTGGGGATATGCCCGCAACCAAGGTACATGCCCTTGACCAGAATCGAACCCGGGACCTTTCAGTCTGCAGACCGATGCTCTATCCATTCAGCCAAACCGGTTTTGGCTATTTTATTGATTTTTTACAGAGAGGAAGGGAGAGAGATAGAGAGCTAGAAACGTCGATGAGAGAGAAACATCGACCAGCTACTTCCTGCACACCCCCCACCGGGGATGTGCCCGCAACCAAAGTACATGCCCTTAACCGCAATTGAACCTGGGACCCTTCAGTCCGAAGACCGATGCTCTACCACTAAACCAAACCAGTTTCGGCCATTGGTTGATTCTTGTATGTGCCTTGACCAGGGAATCAAACCCACAACTTTGGCATATTGGGACAACATTCTAACCAACTGAATTACCTGGCCAAGGCAGGACTGTTATGTGTAATTAAATACTCAACTCTCCTCATATCTCCTAACTCATAGACTCCACAACGTTAGACAACTCTGTCGTTTAAAAAATTAAGTTAATTAGCCATTGTAACCCCCAACTCATTTTTTCTTAGAAATTGCCTCCTTCTGGGATTCCTCACTCCAGGAAAACGATGCAGGAATTGTATTCCTATGGAACCAAAGGTTACCTTTATATAATCACTCAAATTTTTTCAAAAACTCTCAAAATGAAAAACATACTTTGACTCTAGTGACACATAATTATCACTCTTGAAGAGGTCTTTGAAGTTTAGGATGTACATGCTTGTAACACTTTGGAATCAGTATTTTGGTAGATTGAAGTTCCTGATCATTAAACACTTACCTACTCGACTACCATGGCACTGGAGATAACTTTTGCACATTAAGTGCCCTCTGTTGTCCCCTCCCCTAATGACTTGGCTATATTCTCATTACCATTTAGAGTGTTATTTCCGTGTGTATTTGTGTGTGTGTGTGTGTATGTGTAGTATATAGTTATGCAAAGTATACCTTAATTTACTTTTATATTTTTTTTTCTTTTACCTTTATATTTTTTACTGTTAATCCTCAACAGAATATTTTTCCATTGATTTATAGAGAGTGGAAGGAAGAGGGAGAGAGAGAAACATTTATGTGAGAGAGACACATCGATTGGTTGCCTCCTGCACACATCCCAACCAGGGCTGGGGAACCTGCTACCAAGGTACATGTCCTTGACTGGAATCGAACCCAGGATCCTCTAGTCTGCAGACCGACACTATATCCACTAAGCCAAACCAGCTAGAGCAGTGGATGGCGAATTCATTAGCAACAGAGCCAAATATCAACAGTACAACGATTGAAATTTCTTTTGAGAGCCAAATTTTTTAAACTTAAACTTCTTCTAACGCCACTTCTTCAAAATAGACTCGCCCAGGCCGTGGTATTTTGTGGAAGAGCCACACTCAAGGGGCCAAAGAGCCGCATGTGGCTAAGCCACAGTTTGCTGACCACAGAGCTAGGGCATACTGTAAAAATTTTTTTTTTTTACATGTCAATAGCAAACTTCTGCTTTGTGGGTGTATTAATTTTGAGAAAAAATGAGACTAACAACTCAAAGTGATTCAATAAAAATAAATGTCTGGCTGGAATAATGAACATGACAGAGTAAACTTACCTCATGTTTGCCCATGCACCATTTCTGAGTTAGGAAAGTACAAGGGGGACACTTCTCTTCACTGTGACAAGAATGATATACTATAGAAAGAGAAAGGTAAAATTAGAAAGTGTTTAAATAAAGCCACATAAATTATTATACATGTTGTAATGGCGTAGACAGGGGACTTTTACACTTGGAGTATTTAGCACAGCCCTCTGGTCTGTCCATTCTACTTATTCTTTTGGCTCTACCTTACACAGCAACTGCTCACTTCTGCTCAGACATCTTTGTTGCTCATCCACCTACCATGCTTCTGCTGACCCCTTTCAATTTTCTTGCTGCCTATAAGAGGCAGTTCATCCAAACTCATGTCCCACAACAAAGTCTTCCCTAGCTGGCCACACCCTGCCCTGAGCTTTCTTACAGCCCCCATGTCTTGGTTCTTAAGTGGATGGCTTGCTGCCATATTATCTGGCCCATCTTCATGCAATGGTTAGGTGTGTCATCCTCTTCCTCTCAGGGAGCATATAAGAACCTCAAGGTCATGGGATATTTTTTCTTCCTCTAAATCTCCCTCTGTGTCTCACAGAATGCTGGATATACGACAATCACTCAAAAAAAAAAAAAAAAAAAAGTTAAAAGGAATGCTGAACAAAAACAAGCTAAAACAAAATTCACAAATGGTTAAGCTCATACTATGGGCATAACCAACAGGCTTTGGACTTCAGCTGTAACATCTGCAAATGAGTATAAAGGAGAAGTGGGTAAGTACTGGCTTGAGCATTTACTTCATGCTGTTGTAAACTAAGCTGGGAGGGCCTTCCTAAGATCCTTAGGGAAGAAACTTTTCACTTCAAAAAGAACTTACTGGTAGATGGAAGGATAAATGGTGATGGAAAAATAAAATAATTTACTTAATTCCGTTTTATTCTATTAACTTAAAGATTCAGAGCTATCGATAGTTGTCTAATTGTCAGTATGAATCAGATGGCCAGAGTTACTGTAAGTATTACATCTGATGATCCGAGTAATTTCAGGTTTGCCTCTGGGACTTGGTTAAATGAAATGGACCTGATATGGTCTTAGAGCAGTGGTTCTCAACCTTCCTAATGCTGAGATCCTTTAATACAGTTCCTCATGTTGTGGTGACCCTCAACCATAACATTATTTTCCTGGCTACTTCATAACTGTAATTTTGCTACTGTTATGAATCGTAATGTAGATATCTGTGTTTTCCGACAGTCTTAGGCGACCCCTGTGAAAGGGGTCGCAACCCACAGGTTGAGAACCGCCTGTAACAAGACTAAATAGATATGAAAAAATTGGGGGTGATAAGTAGCTGCAGCAGACTATTAGAGAAAAACTGGAAACAGTTAAAATGCCCAGCAACATAAGTTACAGTCCATCTATGCAACAGAACAATCCACAGCCATTGACAAATCTATTTGTAAGAAATATTCATCGATAAGGAAAGGGGCTAAAATTACAATAAGAGGGGAAATGCTAGTTAAAATGAGTTAAGTTCAACCCTAGTCAGTTAGAGTATCAGCCTGTGGACTGGGAGTTTTGGGTTTGATTTCCTGTCAGGGGCACAGTACGTACGTACGTCAGTTGCAGATTCAATCCCAGCCCTGGATGGGGCATGTGGAAGATAACCAGTCTCTCTCTCTCTCTCTCTCTTTCTTTCTCTCTCTCTCCCCCCACCCCCCTTTGCTCCCCTCCTCCTTCCCTTTCACTCTCTCTCTAAAGATTAATGGGGGAAAATATCCTTGGTGAGTTTAAAAAAAAAAAAGAAAGAGAGAGAGTTCAGAAGAATCACACCAAAAATACACACTAAGTTTAATTCCTAAAAGAAGACATAAATGATATTTCAATCCTTTGACTTTATCTTTTTTTTCTTTCTTTTTATATATTAGACATACATTGCTTCTATAACAACAAAACTCAAGTTACTTTTAATTTTGTAAAAAGATGCTCAACTTGACAAGACCAGTGAGGGCTTCTCTTGGCCTTTCAGGTGTGTTTGACATCAACAGAGCAAAGCAGTGAAGGCCACTGTGATTCCCAACTGTGGCTCCAATCACAGACCCATCTTCACAGACGCAGCCTCTGAGCAACTGTGGGGGCGAGGGGTGCCATCAGACAGCATGCTCTCAGAACAGTGAAGACCATCACGCAACATTCTAAATGACATGGTGTGAGAAGGCTGTAGGTGTGGAGGCAAGGGGATGGGACCCACCTGGATGGTCACAATCATGGACTCTGGCACAGGTTTGGGTACACTCAGGGGGCCTGGTACCACAGGGAACTGGAGGGTAGATCACTGATGCACCACAGTGGCAGGATAATTCATCAAAACCTGGTGAAGCAGCGGGTGAAACAAAATAACCCTTCATGAGTTTGGGATGAGCACACACATATTTTACACACACACACAGACACACACACACACACACACCTTTTCTTTTCTGAGGGGCTTATATTTCTAGAGAATAGGCTGCTCTTTTTTTTTTTTTAATCTACACTCAAAAATATTTTTTCCATTGATTTTTAAAGACAGTGGAAGGGAGAGGGAGAGAGAAACAATAATGCAAGAGAGACACATTGACTGGTTGCCTCTCTCATGCCCCAAACCAGGGCTGGGAGCCTGCAACTGAGGTACGTGCCCTTGACGGAATCGAACCTGGGACCCCTCAGTCCATAGGCCAATGCTCTATCCACTGAGCCAAACTGGCTAGGGCTAGGCTACTTTTTATTTTTTATTTTATTTATTTATTTATTAAAATATATTTTATTGATTTTTTACAGAGAGGAAGGAAGAGAGATAGAGAGCTAGAAACATCAAAAACATCGACCAGCTGCCTCTTGCACACCCCCTACTGGAGATGTGCCCACAACCAACGTACATGCCCCTGACCGGAATCAAACCTGGGACCCTTCAGTCCGCAGACTGACGCTCTACCACTGAGCCAAACCGGTTTCGGCTACTTTTTATTTTTTAAGTTTTTATTTTGTAAAAAGTGTGGAGCAGACAGATATAACGTGTTTTGTTTTTATCTACAATGAACTCTAAGACCATAGACGGTTTTTTATGTATTTTATAAACAACAGATCTATAGGCCATCTCTTTTTGGGAGAACATGAGACTTCCACTAAAGGTACAACTCTTTTGGTTAGGAAAATGATTGAGATTATGAGAGCCACAGTAACCAACATACAAAAATATACATCTAACCTAGGGGTGTCGAACTCAATCAGAGAAGGGGCCAAAATCTAAAATCCAGCCTAAATCGCGGGCCGAATGGTTTACTGAACAGTCATAAACTGTCATTGTGATGGAAACGCAGCGGAGTGCAGTGATGACAGCGCAGTGCGGGCCACATTGCAAGGCCTGGCTGGACGGATTTGGCCCGCGGGCCTTGTGTTTGACACATGTGATCTAACCTAATAACAGAGTATATGCAATTAACCATCACTCTGCTACACAAACCACGCCCACCAGCCAATCAGAATGGATATGCAAATTAAAACAACAAAGATGGCAGTTAATGTGCATACATGGAGGGAGGGAGGAGTGAAGGCTGAAGACAGCAAGGAAGGAAGAGGGAGGGAAAGTGGAAAACAAGGCAGCTGCGGCCACTGGAGGGAAAGCACTGGCAGTGCGTGCGGGATGAGGTGTGCAATGGTGGTGGTGGAGGCAGCGGCGGAGGCAGCAGGCACAGCAGGTCAGGCATGCAGGGCGAGGCGTGCCCACCCCACCCTGCCCCAGCAGGAGAGGTGGGGGGTGGGAGAGGTGGCAGTGGCGAGAAGGAAGCCCGCCCGAAGTCTTGCAGGAATATTCCTCCAACAGGTCCCTAGTTTGAATATAAACCTCAGAGAGCCACTGAAGCAATTTAAAAAATTCTCATAATATCATCAACATCTATGGTGCTTGACATATAAAGTTGAAAGGAAGCACAGAGCTACATTGTGAGTTTATTAGGCACAGTTCATAAACCAAGTAAAAATGAGAGCTCACATGGGACAGCTCTAAGAAGTAGCTCACTTAACCCATAGATCCAAGGGGAACCAGTTCTCCCACTTTGGGTCTTGATAGAGGCCAGGCCCTTGGCTTATGGTTCTCAACTAGGGCACTGGATTATGATCTCAACTAGGGACCTCTAGGATCCCCCACCCACTGCTCTTATATAGTCAACACTCTCTAGCAAGCTCTGCAAAGATTAGACGATGTGGTAGAAAGAGCCCTGTAAAAACAGTCAGGAGACTTAGGCACCTAGTCCTACACCTATTATTTATTTGCTCAGGGACTGCAGGCAAGTCCCTCTAAATTTTTTTTTTTGTCAAATGAGGATACCAAACTATTATCTATCCACTCAAAAAGATTATTGTAAGGATGAGCTGATATGTGAAATACCTTGGTAAAGGGGCCATGTATGTTTTTCTGTAGAACTCCATGTGTGTGATCTGAAACAAAGCACTGACTCAATTCCTTTTTGAAATGAGATGAGCCTAGCATTCTAAAGAAGACATAATTATGGGAAATCTGACTTAGGCCAATCTTTTATCTTTATTGATTTCAGAGAGGAAGGGAGAGGGACTGAGAGAGAGAAACATCAGTAAGAGAGAATCATTGATCAGCTGCCTCCTGCACACTCCCCTACCGGGGACTAAGCCTGCAAACCTGGCATGTGCCCTGACTGGGAATTGAACCAGTGACCTCTTGGTTCCTGGGTCAACGCTCAGCCACTGAGGCATACCAGGCTAGACTTAGGCCAATCTTTTAACGCAGCAGTTCTAAAAGTGCTCTGTTGATATCTAGGGATCCCTGAGAGCCTTTCAATAAGTCCACGAGGTCAAAATTATTTTCATAATAATACTAAGACATTATTTACTTTTTCTACTATATTGGTGCAAAAACAAAAAAACCTGCCAGGGCCTTAATGCAAATCAAGGTAGTAGGATCAAACTGTAATCGTATTTTTCACTGCCAAGTACTTAAGAGTAAATATAAAAATGTCAGTTTCACTTAAGGAAAGTCCTTGATGAAGCAGCAAAAAAACAAAAAACAAAAAACCACCTTTGAATCTTGAATTTGTATTTTTTTAATATTCTACGGAATAAAATGGAGAATCTGCATATAATGCGCTTTTGCAGCACACAAAAAACTCTGCTGTGCTCTGGCCAGGTGCTTGGTTGGAGCATCGTTCCATATACCAAAAGGTTGCTGGTTGATTCCCATTCAGGGTCAAATACCTACATTGTAGGTTCAATCCCTGGTTGGGGAAGTACAGGAAGGTCAAAATCGATAGTTCTCTCTCACATCAATATGTGTGTGCGACTCTCTCTACCTTCCTTTCTCTAAAATCAATAAAAACATGTCCTTAGGTGAGGATTTAAAAAAAAAAAAATGGGTTGTTTTCTGAAGAACTGCACTTCGCTGAATTGTGAGCTAAATTAACTTTTTATTTGTACAAAATACCATTTTTACTTGAAACAATGATTGACAAACTATGGTTATTCAGACTTGGATATGTAGTAGACATTTTATAAAAAATGAACAAAGTGAGCCTGTCACTAAGAAAAATGACTGCTGCCAATTTTAAGATTCAAGCTTTAAATAAAAATAGAATATTTGAAAATATATAATTATCACTATGATAAGCTTGACAACTTTCTAATACTTTTCCTAAGAGTCTTATGGTAATTATAGCACTAAGTTTTTAATAGTATAACACAAAATCTATCAAACTTCAAAGATATGCATAACCCAGTGACAACTATTTTCCAAATGATCAATGTATGACATTGTAAAATCATGCATGGGTAAAAGATCCATTCAAAATATAAGAAAAACCAATGAATTTTAATGTGACCAAGACTAAAAACAAAAATTCTGACTTAAGTACTTTCTGAAATGAAGTTTTGGTGTAATATCAAAAAAGAATACCCACAATTATCTGTAAAAAGTTTTAAAATACTCAATTCCTTCTTCAACTAGCTGTGTGTAGCTGGATTTCCCTCCCATATGCCTCAACTATATTATAACAGACTGATATAGAAGCAGATATGAGAATCTGTTATTTTCTATTAATCAAGCATATACTCTTCTAATTTTTTTGAAAATATAGGGTTTTTTTTTTTGTTTTTTTGTTTTAATATATTTTATTGATTTTTTACAGAAGGGAAGGGAGAGGGATAGAGAGTTAGAAACATCGATGAGAGTCACTGACCAACTGCCTCTTGCACACCCCCTACTGGGGATGTGCCAGCAACCAAGGTACATGCCCTTGACCGGAATCGAACCCAGGACCCTTCAGTCCCCAAGCCAACGCTCTATCCACTGAGCCAAACCAGTCTCGGCGAAAATATAGTTTTAAAAAAATTGTTATTTATGTTAACACACAATGGTAACTACAATTAAAAAAATGAATAAGTCAATATTTTAAAAATCTGTTTTAACTCCTCGTATGATAAAATAATAAACGTAGATAACTATAACTCACATAAAAAGAATTCTTTAGGGTTCTCAATAATTTTTAAGAATGCAAATAAGTCTTATGGCCAAAAAGTTTGCAAACTGCTGCTAATAATATAGAGCAGTATTTTCAACCAGTATGCTGCAAAATTTTTTAAAACATGCAATACCTGAATATTTAGACAGGGACATTGACCTCTTTTCCCTTAGATTGTCAAATAATAAAATGACAAGAGCCAATGCAACAATAGTTGTCCAGTGTGAATGTCCTGTCCTGAATCATAAATATACTATACAGGTCAATAATACAGTTGCATCTTATTGGTAACAAAGCATAAGGTTGCATCTGATTGGTTAACTGTTGGTATCAGAAATCCTTATACACAAGTACAGACACCTGATTTTTTAAAATGTCACTTTGGAGCAAAAAGGGTAGATAACTACATTTGTGCGTGTATATAAATCAATCAAAATTATACCTATATTTTTTGTCAGATCGGCAAAAAATATAATACATTTCTTGGTGTACCACAGAATTTTAGTAATTAACTTATGTGGGCCAAGAAATGAAAAAGATTGAAAATCATTGATAGAAAGAAAAAATGCTAAGGACAGAATCTGGGTCTGTAATATTTATTTATTTATTTATTTTTAAAAAATATATATTTTTTATTTCAGAGAGGAAGGGAGAGGGAGAAAGAGATAAAAACATCAATGATGAGAGAATCATTGATCAGTTGCCACCTGCAGGCCCCATACTGGGGACTGAGCCCACAACCCACACATGTGCCCTTGACGGAACCCTTCTAGTCTGCAGTCTGGCGTTCTGTCCACTGAGCCAAACCAGCGAGGGCTATAATATTTAAGAAGCAGGTAGTAAGAGAGGTACCCATTAATGAACCATTGCCTATATCCCACGTTTCATACATTTAGGGACAATATAGCATTACAAATAACTTTTTTTTCTTAAAGAAGTCTTTTCAATTTTTATTACTTTTTTTGTTTTGTTAATCCTTACTGGTTAATCCTTACCAGTAATTTTCTTTTTTAGGGAGAGTGGAAGAGAGAGGGAAAGACAGAGAGAAACATTAATGTGAGAGAAACATATCAATTGGTTCCCTCCTGCACTAGCCCTGACCTTGGCCCGGGCCAGGAAGGAGCTTGCAGCCAAGGTATGTGCCCTTGACCGGAATCGAACCCTTTGGTCTACAGGCTGCCTCTCTACACACTGAGTAAAACTGGCTAGGGCATGGAATAATGTTTTTAAAAATTTAATATATCTAAAATATTAATAAGACTTATTAGGTAATTCATACTACTCTAAGCATATAATTCTCTCAGAATACATTATACCTAAATTCCTAGAAAAATTCTTATAATAAAGTATACAGTGTGGACACTCACTGGCTTGCCAGCATGTCTGGCAGTTCCCACGATGACAAGGTTCTTCACATCTATGGAGGCCACAACGGAGTTTCCTCCCACAAATCAAAGGACATTTGTGCTCCTTATCCTAGGAAGAGGATTATATTTGTTTATAAAATTATCTCTATTTTGTTTATCATAAACAAGATTAATAATAATAATCCTATATAATAAGAGAGGACTATGCTAATCATCCGTTACACATTGAGACATAACAACCAACCAAGTAACAACCAGAGCATGAATCTGCAGGAGGGTGGAGCAGCAAACTACAATCAGGCAGCACAAAGCTACAGGAGAGGGCAGGGCAGCAAGCTATGAAGGGGGAGAAGGAGAGAGCTAGAGGAAGGCGGGGCAGAGGGTGGAGAACTACAGGAGGGTGGCAGAGAGCTACTGGCGCACAGATTGGTGCAAGGGCTACTAGTCTATATGGATATAAAACCCTAAGCGACCATCACTATGACACACACTGACCACCAGGGGGAAGATGCTCAATGCAGGAGCTGCCCCCTGGTGGTCAGTGTGTTCCTGTTGTTCCCCCCGCATCTTCCCAGGCCCCAATTGGGACTGGGTGAGACGGGCCCTTGATCAGTAGCCAGGCCAAGGGACTCCACCCATGCACAAATTTGAGCACTAGACCTCTAGCAGTAATAATAAAAGCTCTCCATCTTTATGGATGAAATGATGTCTGAGTTTAGCTTCAAAATACTCAAGGGATGTGGAGTTAGTAGAGATTTGTTTGAAACAAGATTAATCATAAGCTGATAGTCACTAAAGTTGGATATTGGATATAGAGGACTAATATATCTTTCTGCTTTTGTAAAATTTTCAGTAACAAGAAGTCTTTAAGCCTTTAAACACTAGCTTATAAATAAGTCTTGATATACTATACAAATTCATTATTCTTCACCATGTCAATAAAATTTAAAACAATTATGTATTTTTATATATACACACATACACATATATGTGTGTGTACATGTGTATTACCTTGCTATTGGTATTGTGCTATTTGACTGTCAAGAAGTGCTTTCTTTATTTAGTTCCACAGAAGTGAATATTACAGATAACTAAAACTTGCTCTTTCAACACATTTTTCCTTCTAACTTGACCCAAGGAATATATGAAACTTGCAAGCCCAATCTGTGTGCTGGGATAACACACAATCTCTCGTGGAGAACTGCTCATCTAGCAGTCCTGAGCTCAGGGCCCTGAGGCCTCTGTCTTTCGTATTTTTCTTTCTCCATGTTGCCACTGACTGACATTTTAACCTGACTGAGGGAGCTTCATTGGGCAGCTCTCTAACTTCTGCTCAGGGGGTCCCGTCCAGTGATTTCTAAATCTGGGCTGCATTCCAGATGGGTGATGCTTCCAGAAGCCCAGCCCCTTAAAGAATGTAATCTGATTGTGACTAATGATAGGTCCACTTACCACACAGCATATCTCATTACATTTGTGCCGTCCACACAACCTTTTCTTGTTACACCTCTTATCGCATATAAATGTAGCATCTGCCGTGGACAATTAAAAAGAAAAACAAAGCAAAGGCTATAACAAATATCTGAGTGACTGCGGAAATGCAAATGTAATAATGAAAATAAGCACCGGCCAGTGTGGCTCAGCTGTTTGGAGCATCATTCCATGCTCCAAAGGGTTGTGGGTTCAATTCTCAGTCAGGGAATATACCCAGGTTGTGGGTTAGTTCCCTGTTGAGGAGCCTGTTGGAGGCTACCAATCTCTCTCTGCCTTTCTCTCTCTAGAATCAGTTAAAAATTTTAAAATAGTTATGTAAATAAGTGGCAAAAATGTTAATAGTGAAAATGCATAATAAAATAAGATACAATTTTTCACTTGCCAGATTGTCAAAAAATAGAAAAAAGAAAGACCAATATATGGTATGTGTAAAGGTATGGAAAAAAGGCACACATATTTAGTGGTGAGAGTATAAACTTTTGGAGGACAAATGTAACTATTAAAAATTTAAGTAGTGGCCTAGCCAGTTTGACTCAGTGGATAGCCAGGGACTGAGTCAAGATTGAAAGGTCCTGGTTTTGATTCCAGTCAAGGGCACATACCTTGATTGCCAGTTTGATCCCTGGCCCTGGTCATGGTGCGTGTGGAAGGCAACCAATCGATGTCTTTCTCTCACATGGCTGTTTCTCTCTCTGTCTCTCCTCCTCCCTTCCATTTTCTCTAAAAGAAAAAAATTTAAGTGGTAATTTCCATTTTAAGAAATTCTTCCTACAGATATACTTTCAAAAAAGGTAGGATACTAAGAGCCCAAGTAATAACAACAAAACCATAAATTAGATTTCATCAATATTAAAAGCTTTTGTGCATCAAGGAATATTTTAAGAAAATGAAAAAATTTTCCCATTTGACTACCATATTTTCTCCTAAAAGATTTTAGTGGCTATGCTTATGGGACAGATTAAAATTGTCATGATCTAAAGAGGATTTATTTGTGACCTCCTCTTATATTAAATGACTAAAAAGAAAGAAGAAGAAAAAAGTGACAAAGCAACCCACACCCAAAAGAGAAAATATTTGCAAATCATGTTTCATAAGGACCTAGGATCCAAAATACAATATATAAAGAACTCTTACAACTCAACAACACATTTGAAATAGGTAAAGGACTTAAACAGATTCTATGTTGTGGTTTTGATGCTCATTTCCCTAATGTTGAACTTTTTTCATGTACTTGGCCATTTGTGTATCTTTGGAAAAGAATCTGTTCAAGTCCTTTTTCAATACATAATCCTATGGAACATTTCCTTTACTCCAGAAAGTTTCTTCATGCCCCTTCCCAGTCATACCTTCACTTTTGAGACTGGTACATGGAAGCTCCTATGGAAAAAGAAAAAGTAACTACTTTAAGAATAAATGAAACAAAACAACTATTGTATAATGCTAAATGTAACATGTTTATCTCAAATGTGCTGTACTTCTCTGGCAATTTATTCTCCAACTTCACTATCTAGAGCAAGATTAGCCCAGTTCCTATATTAATATGCTTTACTTACAACAAGGCCCCAGGTTTACTAATTTTTCATGCAAATATAATTGTAACAATCTTTATGGTCTGGCCTCCAAATGCATAGCAGATTAGGTATTAAAAATCTAAATGGAAAGGACTACTAAAGGTAAGCAAAGCAAAGAGAAATAACTGCCTATTAAGGGTACATACAGACAAAAAAATAAAAAGTTGAAAATATGTAACAATCTGGTATCATTTAATGCAGGGGCAAACAACTTTACACACTTAAGAACATTCTTGACAAACTAGCCGGACTGTAGCAAAGTGGGATTAGAGTACACCTTGGCATTCAAAGTTTTATTACTGTGGTTTGCATTGTGTGAATAGCCCTAAAGATGTATCACATGTAATTTTGTGGAAGCATGATCCTGAATAGCATGAGGCTGGTACGGGGGGAACAAGTCAGTCATTTGGGGTAGAGTGAACCTGGCTGGCTGTCCAACAACTATTAAATACATTTGTATTTGGCTTTGATGACATTTACAGGTTGCATTGTACTCAGAAATAAGCAAAATGATAAAAACATTAGTTCTTAGTGAAAATGACCCTGAAAATAAAAAAGGGCAGCCATTAGAGTTGATAATAGAAGAGGTCAAAGAAATTGAAGCTTTTGGCCAGAAGGTGTTTTAGATAAATGGATGAGTTGGCTAGGTTTGATGTTACCAAAAAATTCCCTACATGCTCTCTAGAGATATAAAGCAAAAGTAACTCATGAAATTGCCTGAGTTTTCCAGTTAAGGCTAATCCTGGACTGTACAGAGGAAATGACATCCTGGAGTGGAATCTATCTAGGGAAAGGCAGAGCTCCCATAAATCTCTATAATAAATATGAATTACTAATAAAAACAAATACAGTATTCTTTGTAAAGAGGCAGTAATATATGCCATTTATTTCTCAAAGACTCCCACCAAAGTGATTAAAACATTAGAAGCTTTAATAAATGTTTTATTTTCTAGAAAACTTACTTCCATGGAAAAGGTCATTCTATTACTAAAGACATTTCATAAAAAATCTACATTCATGAAAAATCTGGCTGTACAATGAGGTGATGATTATCAGTATTTTGAAGAGATTTTTTTTTCTTTGTCAAAGGGTTGAACAGAATTCATATATTGAATGAATTTGTGAACTTGTATAGCAATTTTACAATAAGACTTTTATTTGCAAAAATTTACACATAGCTTTTTAAGAATATTCTTACTGCCATGGGGTCCACTATTAGAGGGAGTGAGGATACAGAGTGAATGAGAAGCAAAAAAAGGTGAGTGAAAAAAGGATTACTAGGAAGAAAGCAAATCGACAGTAACCATTTTGAGCTCATGTGAACCAATGTTGCTTGTGATTCTTCGTCACAAAGAGCACCTCTGGACATTCCTAAATTTGTGATTACTAAATCACAGCATCTGTCTTCCAGTTGTATTCACAAAGCATCAAGTAGCCTTGTACATGACATTCAAAACTCCTTTCTACCCCTTGCATTCTGTGGTTTCTTTCAGGAAAAACAAACAAAAACCCCATAGTGCTCACATAACTTTAGCATGTAAACTGTGGTTTTACATTTTATTTTATTCTAAAGCTTAACTATTAATGCACCTCCCATTTATGGATTATATCCTCAGAATCACTTGAAAGTCAGCTGACACCCAGACCTTGGGCTGTATTTAAGAAATAGAATCAACTGAGACCGGTTTGGCCCAATGGACAGAGCGTCGGCTTGGGGACTGAAGGGTCCCGGGTTCGATTCCGGTCAAGGGCATGCACCTTGGTTGCGGGCATATCCCCAGTAGGGGGTGTGCAAGAGGCAGCTGATTGATGACTCTCTCTCATCAATGTTTCTAACTCTCTATCTCTCTCCCTCTCCCTTCCTCTCTGTACAAAATCAATAAAAATATATTTTTTTAAAAAATAGAATCAACTGCTCAAAATTGTCTGCACCTCAGCCTGTGCTCTGCTGGGACAGGGTCGGCATACATTGAAATGGTTAGCAGTAGGCCAGAGGGCAGGATAGTTCAGTTTGTTCCTCAAGTTGATTACCCAAAGACTTCCACAGGAAGGCTCTCTGCCTCTTCTGGTGCAGATAGAGGAATGGGCACTAAGGCCTCATTTCAAAATGGTAAGACACCCTTTTTATAATACAAAGTCCAATTCAAACTGCCCAGTGTAGAAAGTAGACACACTGACTAAACTTGTCAACTTACTTATAAAAGAGTTGTATAGTGAGAATCGTTACCTTAAGAGAGGTCTGACTTTCGTCATTGGATTCTGAGAGGTAATATTGAAGCCCTTGCAATATCACGCCTGATAGGAGTGCCACTGTTTGTCTGGGGCCTTGGGTCACAAGTAACTTGGGTTCTAGTCTAATAATACGACTGAGGGTCAGGATGGCCACATTGGACAGTCTTAGGGTGGGAGATGACCGCACCAGAGACACCGATGTGATTTAGGGTGAGGGCTTTGGGCCACACATTATCAGTAGGCCTCTGGAAGGACTGCAAACTGAGATCAGCTTCAATGGCAGTCAGTCATGCTTACACAATGGAGCTTCAGTAAAAACTAGGGGAGCTTCCCTGATTGGCAATACTCCACTGTACACACTGATATTGAAAAAGTAACAACATTCCAACTCCATGGGGAGAGGACAAGTGGAAGCTTCACATTTGGTACTTTCTCCGACTCTGCCCTACATGCCTCTTCCTTTGGGTGATGGTAATGTATCCTTTCCCTGAAATATACTGTAACAATGACTGTAACAGCTTTCACTGAATTCTGAGAGACCTAGTGAATTATCAAACCTTGAGGGTGGTCACATGGACCGTTCTAATTCAGCAGTTGTCTAAACTCTTGCAGTGGGTGTCAGAAGTGAGGGCAATCTTGTGGACTATGTCCCCTCTAACTTCTTAGTTAATCCGTTGCAACAGTGCTATTGTTGTTATCTCCCAACATCTAGCATTATCACATTTGATTTGCTGAGCTATACTTGCCTTATCCCCTTGACTGGCCTTTGAGCTTTTATTGCCAATCCCTTCTCCATCCCAGATATCTATCCCACAACCATAAGGTGTCAGTATACACTGGCTAGACTAAATGGATCATATGTAGTAGGACAAGAATAAAAAGGAGATTATTTTGATTGAGCCCCCTCTTCCATAATCACCAATTTAAAAGGCATTGGTGACAAAAACTTAAGCATTTTTTAGGATTTACCTTTGTTCTGAAAGAGCATCTGCAGGAAATAACTGATGTGCGAGAGCATGGTCCACAGTCTCCTTCATGGCAGAGCTTTTCACAGGTATGAATGAAATCTTTAATAAAAATGAAAAGAGCTAAGAATGAAAATTGCAACTACTCAATGCAGATTCCCAAACTCCTTAGCGACATTGGTCTTCTACCTCTGTTCCCCACAACTCCAGGATCAGAGTTGAGGGAAGAAGGATATCATCAATGCTTTCCCCCCTATTTTCCCTTTATCCAGGAGGCTGAGCCTTTTCCAGCAAGGACAGAGTCCAGCAGTAGTCACTGGAATATGCTTTGGATTGCATGGTGCTTTGCCTAAGTAAAAGAAGGGATCTGTTTTGCCCCATGTAGCTCAGTTGGTTGAGCATTGTCCCATGTACTGAGAGGTCTTCAGTTTGATTCCCGGTCAGGGCATATGCCTGAGCTGTGGGTTTGATCCCCAGCAGGGGGATGCAGGGAGGTAGCTGATCAATGTTTCTCTCTCATCAATGTCTTTCTGTCATTTCTTCTAAGAATCAATAAAAACATTTTTAAAAAGAAAGAATAAATCTATCTCTCATCATTGATCGTTGATATTTTCCCCCCCCTGCCCCCCACTTCCTCTCTGAGATCAATAGAAATATATAGTGTTTTTCTTTTTAAAGAAGAGGGCAGAAACCGGTTTGGCTCAGTGGATAGAGCGTTGGCTTGTGACTGTAAGGTCCCAGGTTCGATTCCAGTCAAGGGTATGTACATGGGTTGCGGGCACATCCCCAGTAGGGGGTGTGCAGGAGGCAGCTGATCGATGTTTCTCTCTCATCAATGTTTCTAACTATCTGTCCCTCTCTCTTCCTCTCTGTGAAAAATCAATTTAAAAAATATATTAAAAAAAAAAAGAGGAAGAAGAAAAAGGTAAAGATAATAATTATGAACAACAAAGTGACAATAAATACATATCTATCAACAAGTGAATCTAAAAATCAAGTCAATAAAAAATCTGATGAACAGAATGAACTGAATATAATAGAATCAGAGGCATAGAAAGGAAGTGGACTGACAATTCTCAGGGGGAAGAAATTATGAGGGGTATGGGAAGAGATTGGTCAAAAATCTTAGACCTATGGATGAGGACAGTGGCAGGAGGTAAGGACATGGGGTGGGGGGTTGGAATTGAATGGAGGGGAGCTATGGGAAGAAAAAAGAGGAACATCTGTAATAATCTGAACAAAAATATTTAGTTTTTTAAAAATGATGCCTCTGGGTCAATCATGGGAAATAAATTTTCTTCGGTTACCTCTGTTTAAAGGAAGAAGGTAATTTTAGAAAAATGTCCACCTAAAATTATGCTCAGAAGGTATTATCCTCAGCTAAATGGAAAATTTTGCTATAAAGAATGACATTTGAGTGGCTGAAATTGCTAACACTTAGTGTATTTAGAATTTTAGTTAAGATATGAAAATGCTTTTAAATATTAAACCCTGGATTAGTATATCTGGAGTTCATAGTAGCGTTTGCCGCTAAGAAAACTAATCCTCGCTCCTTCTCCCCCCTACAGAATAGTATCTTATGTCAAATAATCTTAGTTAGCAGTAAAATACCCAAATCAAAAAGATAAATCACTTGGGCAAATGTGAATTTTCTTAACGATATTTTGAGGAGAAAAGGATTTGTGCTCATATAAATTTGATCCTAATATTTAGAAAAACCTCTGATATTATAATTAGAATTTAAAATTATTTTGATTAAGTAGTCATTGATGCCAAACATTTACATTCATATGTCTACTAGTTACCTGAGGAACCACAAGACAGAGGCTTGCCGCACACTTTTCCACATGAAGGGACAGGATCCATGCACGTTTTTCGACCACTACTTCCAAGTTCTAGCAATTGGCTGAGAGGAGTTTGCCCACAAGGGCAATAGCGTACCAGATGGGGGAGCCGTGGGCATGGCTGGCAGGGCTGAGGGTGGCACACTTGGGAACACATGTGGTTCCCACATTTCAAATCCCTGTTAAAAAACAACAACAGACTATTAAACAATTGTTGCATAAAATACAACTTTATTCTAACCGAGAAAAACATAAAAACCTTACTTGCCACATATCTTTAAACAGCCAAAATCACCGAATCCATCAGACTTTCCTATGTCCGTTCCACATAACACATCTCGCGAGGTGTTGCCACAGTAGCATACTTTAGGACACAATTTCAAAAACATGAGATTAGTTACCCGTATGGGTTCTTAAAATATTCCAAATAATCTACAGGAAAACACAAAATACTATTCATTAGCGTTGATCAGACCTGATGCAGAAATGAATGTGGCATATACAGCAGCTCTAAGTCCCACCTAAAAATTTCATCATAGAAGGAAATAAAAAATCATGTGATACTCTTGTGCCTCTGTACCATATCCTAAAAACAGTATTAAAGTGAAGCAAGTCTCTAAATTAAGGAACTAATATCTGGTCCATAAGGCCATAATTGAAAACCAAGAATTGTGAGTTGAGTTTGAAGTAATCATGTTCAAGTATTCACACTAAATAAAATTTTCAATAATTTGAGGCTTATTTGTTAGACAGGGAACCTAGTCTAACATCTAAGATTTTTCTGTGGTTCAAGAAACAATGGATTCCTTTATTTCTTGGGGTCAGCAACGAATGCGTTATGTTTAAGGAGTTATGTTTCTGATGTATCGATATTAATAAGTAATGAAGACTGATAAGAATTGTTATCAACTTACATAATTTTTCTAAGTATCACTTTAAGTTTGTAATGAAAATGTAACTCATTAAAATTGCTCTATGCAAGCTCTGGCTGGTTTGGTTCAGTGGATAGAGCGTCGGACTGCAGACCGAAGGATCCCAGGTTTGATACCGGTCAAGGGAACATGCCTGGGTTGCAGGCTCAATCCCCAGTAGGGGATGTGCAGGAAGCAGCCGATCAATGATTCTGTCTCATCATTGATGCTTCTATCTCTCTCCCTCTCTAAAATCAGTAAAAATATATTTTTAAAATCAGTCTATGCAAATACACCAAACCCTATATAATAAATGCAGACCAGAAGAGAATAGAAATTCTGCAGATCTAATGATGCTTTCCTTCTTTCTCAGTATACTTAGATATCTACTTGCACAAAAAACCAACATCAGAATAAATATAACATTATAAAATCATAGCAAATCTTAAATTCATACATTTAGTAAAAAATAAAATAGAATGCTTCTAAGAAAACATTAGAAATAATATTCATAAAAATTGTATTTAAAAATTTATCTTTGTCCAGCCAGAATGGCTCAGTGGTTGAATGGTCCACCTATGAATCAGGAGGTCACAGTTGGATTCCTTCCTGATCAGGACACATGCCTGGGTTGCAGGCTCAGTCCCCAGTGGGGGATCTGCAGGAGGCAGCCGATCAATGATTGTCTCTCATCATTGATAAACACATATTCTTTCTCTATCCTTCCTCTTTGAAATCAATAAAAAATATATAAATAAAATAAAAAAATCTATTGTCAAAAAAAAAAAAATCTATTGTCCAGCCCTGGCCAAGTAGCTCAGTTGGTTAGAACATTGTTCCGATATGCCAAGGTTGGTTCAATCCCCAGTCAAGGCACATACAAGCACCAACCAATGAATGCATAAATAAGTGGAACAACAAATTAATATTTCTCCCTCTCCCATCCTCTCCCTCTCCCTCAAAAAAAATAAAATAAAATTTATTGTCCGAATTCTATAAGACAATGACCTATACTGGTTTTATGAAATGAAGATAATGAAAACTATCTAAGCATTACCCGAACCAGTTTGGCTCGGAGGATAGAGCATCGGTCTTCGGACTGAAGGGTCCCAGGTTCGATTCTAGTCAAGGGCATGTACCTTGGTTGCAGGCATATTCCCAATAGGGGGTGTGCAGGAGGCAGCTGATGATGTTTCTCACTCATCGATGTTTCTAACTCTCTATTCCTTTCCCTTCCTCTCTGTAAAAAAATCAATAAAATATATATATTTTTAAAAACTATCTAAGCATTAATATATATCTTTAGTTCTCTCTATTCAAGGCGCAAAAGCTAACAGTCTTTGTGACTACATCCAGGTCATCAAGAAAACCATAAATAATGCTTCAGAAAAGTACACAAGTATTGCTGGATGATGTGTTCACCACTTACCTTGGTTCAATATGATGCGGCAAGGCTGGCACGGACCCCCGTGGCACAGCTCAGCGCAGCGGTGCTGACCACAATTCAGAACATTCTCACATGGGTTAGAACAGTGGACTGAGACAGCCTGACCACAGCGAACTGTGTGCCTGCAAAGACAGTAGGTGTAAAGACAGCATTGGTCTAATGTTGGACATTAAACTCCTGTTTGACAGCTAAATTAGTACCGAAGACCAAGCCTTTCCCCAAAAGCTACTAAACCTTTCTCTTGGTCCTGTTTCCCCACTTTTTCTTTGTTTCCCTCCTCCAACCCTTATTTCCTTAATTACTCTGTCCTTCTCCGCTTGCTTCTTTTTCCTCCTGTGCTTTCCTTATTTCCCATTCTGCCCCTCTATCCCCTATTTTCTGACCAATGAGGAACTGAAAGCTACTCCTAAGTTTTTATTATATGCAACTTCTTCTAAGTTCCTAAGTTGCAGCATGCAGGAGGGGAAAGGGCCTGGGGCTCCCACAGTAACTTAGAGATGGCAGTAGGAAAGTTGGAGAGTTGTCACTACATATACATTCTCAGAATGAGCATGGCATCTCCTGGGGCTTGGCACTCTGCATTTTATGTAGCTATAAAATTTAAGAACATACTATATGTGACTTTGATTAAGGATGGGAAATCATTCTGGCTTTGTTCTAATAAACATCCTGAGTTATCAGATAGCAAAGGACTTGAAGCCAGGGCTTTCGGACAATTGTCTTCAGGTCTCTTTCCAGTTTAATGGTTTAGAACTTGGAGTCTATTCTCCTACATGGAAAGTTTTATCCTAACCCCTACTCCTATTTCAAGTACACATTTTGTTCTAAAAAGTCACTGTTATGGATTTAAGACGATCAGTTGCCAGTGCTCAGCATCATAGCTAACATCAACCCCTTGAGGAAAACACTATAATCTCTATAGTGAGAATAAGGCTCAATGAGACAAAGCAACTTACCCAGGTCAACAACTAGTTAGTGGCAGAGCCCAGATACGACCTAGTCTTTCTGGTCCAGATCTCTTGAATGTGACTCTCAGGCAATACTGTTACCCTCTTAAGTTTAATAAACATTAAACTATGCTTATTATTGAAAATCTGCCTGATGCCATTTCGTCAAGTGATTTAGAAATGATTTTATGGTCTTTCTGGGCCTCAGAGACATTCCACAGTTATCTGTGATCCTTGCAGAAATTATACTGTAATGAAAAAGGAGAGGCTCTGGGGTCACTTATTTCATTCAACAATATTCACTGAAAACCTCCTAGATGAGCCGAAACCGGTTTGGCTCAGTGGATAGAGTGTCGGCCTGTGGACTGAAGGGTCCCAGGTTCGATTCCAGTCAAGGGCATGTACCTTGGTTGCGGGCACATCCCTGGTAGGGGATGTGCAGGAGGCAGCTGGTCGATGTTTCTCTCTCATCGATGTTTCTAGCTCTCTATCCCTCTCTCTTCCTCTCTGTAAAAAATCAATAAAATATATTAAAAACAAACAAACAAACAAACAAAAACCCTCCTAGATGCTAGGTACTGTGCTAGCCACAGGTAAACAGTTCCTGCCTTCTAAACCTAAAAAAGCCTTGGTTCAATTCTGGTTCTTTCACCCAGAAGGGAAGTTAAGAAAAATAAGTCCCTGTCAGGTTGGCTTTTCTTAAATAAAAAATAAAAAAGAAAGAAAAAAAAAGTATTTTTATTGATTTCAGAGGGGAATGGAGAGGGAGAGATAGAAACATCAATGATGAAAGAGAATCATTAATCAGCCACTTCATGCACACTCCCTACTGAGGATCGAGCCCGAAACCTGGGCATGTGCCCTGACCAAGAATTGAACCAGGACCTCCAAGTTCATAGGTCAATGCTCAATCACTGAGTCAAGCCAGCTGGGCTGTCACTTTGGCTTTTCAATAAGTAATCTCACTGTGCATAGAACTTCTTAATCATTTATAAGATTGCAAATCAGGATCGAGGCAGCAAAAAAAAAGCTACTATTTAGAGAAAAGTACTATTTATGCCTACATTTATTTACTAATGGTAATAAATAAGTACTATTTACATCTACCTACTAATTTTTATTTTAGAGATTCACACTGAAATCATCAATGAAGAAAAATAAGTCTTCTTTAGAGTACAATTCTAACTTTACCTGGTTCGTCCACATTCACATGTTTTAGTCATAAAGGCGGGACAGGGTGGGCAAGGTCCAGGATGGCAGAGCCTAAAAAAGAAAAACATGGATAAATAAATCATATATAAACCAAATCTGAACAAAGCAGCCCCAGCTGGCTCCCATTGTAATATGGCAACAAATGCATCTACTCTGAAATGTTTTCGTATTTGTCTAAAGTTAATTAAATTTAAACAAAGACAACAACGTTTTTATATAAAAAGAATTGACAGCATTATCATCTTAGAATATTTAGCCAGAAAAGTAAAACCCAAGTTAAAATACTTGTTTTATTTGGGTCTGATAGTCAGAGATGACATTTCCAAATATGGTCTTGGCCCACTTAGTGCAGTGTGCAGGGATAAAAATTGCTTGCCATTCAGTTGGATGGCACGATGGCCAATGGAGTCTTTTAGAACATGAGCACCATAATAGAGCTCAAATTTATTAAGTCCATGAGAAGTACAGACATTTTCTCATCAGCTAGTGAAATAATAGCCAGACAATGGGCTAATGATGGGAAAAGTTGACATGAAGGGGAGGCATGCTGTGAACACAGGGAGAAAACAAAGGGGAAAGGGACTCATGGAAAGAACTGGGCTTAGCAATATGTTACTGGTCAGAATTGGACCTCTGAATAGAAGGCTTTTTATAGGAGCTATGACATAAAGAGATCAAAACTCTGCTTTTTATAGGAGCTATGACATGAAGAGACCAAAACTCTGCCGGTATGGCCCAGTGGGAGAGAATCGACCCAATCACTAGGTGGTTGGTTCAATTCCCATTCAGGGCACATGCCTGGATTTTGGGCTCAAGTCCCAGCAGGGGCAGCCAATTGATGTTGATGTTTCTATGTCATCGATATTTCTTCCTTTCTTTTTTGGTTAATCCTCACCTGAGGATATTTCCCCATTGATTTTTAGAGAGTGGGAAGGAAAGGGAGAGACAGAAGAAAACATTAATGTGAGAGAGATACATCGATTGGTTGCCTCTTGCACACACCCCTTGTAGAAAATGCATTTGTAACTGATTAACTGTTTATTATGTATCAATACATTTATCTTATTCTTTAGACCAGTGGTCAGTAAACTCATTAGTCAACTGAGCCAAATATTAACAGTACAATGATTGGAATTTCTTTTGAGTCCCAAATTTTTTAAACTTAAACTTCTTTTAATTCCACTTCTTCAAAATAGACTCGCCCAGGTTGTGGTATTTTGTGGAAGAGCCACACTCAGGAGGCCAAAGAGCTGCATGTGGCTCACGAGCCGCAGTTTGCCGACCACTGCTTTAGACTGAATATGTTCTAAAGCTCTCTGCTTATTGGAGGGAAGAAATTCACATCCTAAATATACTGACCAACAGAATCCTTCACAATTACTTTTTCCCAAACAGAACTCAGTCCTGTATTCTCTCTTTGACCTGGATATCAGTTTATCTGTGTATCAGGGATATTTCATCTTAGAAGCCAGCAGAGTAATATAGTGAGAGGAACACTGGCTTTGGAAAGACCAGCTCCATCATGTCCTAGCATGTGACCTTTGGCAAGACACGTGGCCTTTCTGAGCCTCATGGGTAAAATGGAGACGACAAATATCTATATACATCACTGGGCTATTTGAAGGATTCAATGAGTTAACTTTTACAGGATAAGTGTTCAGTAAATGATAGTATATTGCCCTTTACCCCATCCTGTTTCATGCTAACCAGATATGTATACTCAAATCCATGAGCAAAATGTGTCCAACAAGAATCCCCAGGGGTCTAGTATTCCAACTTACAGATTACAGGAATGTGGGCAGTCCTGTCCAGGCTGTTTCTTTCTACAAACTTCACCACAACTATGTGGAATTTCATTTCTGCTCCATTCAGGATTCTTTACCTTGCCTAAAACATATCAGATCAGATAGTCAAATGGTAAAAACTTCAAATGCATCCCAGATTTTAATGAAATAACACAACATAGCTAGACAGCATGGAACATCAATATGGTTTTCATTACTTCAGTAAACACATTATCCTACATTCTAAAATAAAATGTTGAATATAATGCTATTAATCAAAAGCTTTACTGAATATGATAAATCTTAAATGGTAGATTACCTGGAAATGATAAATATAAGGTTATTTTTACTTATAAAAATGCCCCTTTGACTAATGGACACATTTAATCCAAGAACAACACCTACAAAATAAGCCTCCTACAAATAGGCCCTTGAATTGATATGGGAATATCTGCTATAAGGGTCAAAAAATGAAATTCCAGTCAGGGGCATGTACCTTGGTTGTGGGCACATCCCCAGTGGGGGGTATGCAGAAGGCAGCTGATCGATGTTTCTAGCTCTCTATCCCTCCCCCTTTCTCTGTGTAAGAAATTAATAAAATATATATATTTTTATTGTAAAAATGGAATAAGGGAAGAGAGCAATGGGGGGTGGAGAGAAGTAGTAAGAGACGGAAAGAAGATAAGTCCTCTATTTTAAAGCTATAAAGTAGGCATGAAGGGTTTATATTTTTATAATTAATGTCACTGCAAATGTTTAGTAAGCATCCTCTGTCAACTGAGCACAGAGACAAGAAGAGTAAAACTGAGGCACAGGACTCCTCCTTGCCCTAGAGCAGGGGTGGGGAATGTCTGGCCCTCGGGCCATATAAGGCTCAAGAAATCATTTGGTCTGGCCCTACCAAGGCATTAGGGGGTGAGTTAATAAAATGTTTGACCAAATATAACAGGCTGTTTTTTAAACTGATCATTTTGTATGGCCCATGAATGATGTTATAAATATCCAAATGGCCTTGGCAGAAAAAAGGTTCCCCACCCCTACCCTAGAGTCACACTTTGTTTTTTAGTGGAAAAGAGAAGGAGGGAAGAAAGAAAGGAGGGAAGGAGGGAGGGAGGGAAGGAGGGAAGAAGAGGAAGAAGGAGAGAGAGAGGGAAGGAGACACATCAACTGGTTATTTCCTTCATGTGCCCCATCTGAGTGACTGGGCAGGGATTACACCTGCAATCCAGGTACATGAAATTGAATCTGAGACTCTTGGGTGCATAGGCCGACACTCTAACCATTGAACACTGGCCAGGGCGAACTGAGCTATTTAAAAACAGGAAGAGCCAGGACCGGTTTGGCTCAATGGATAGAGCGTCGGCTTGGGGACTGAAGGGTCCCGGGTTCGATTCCGGTCAAGGGCATGTTCCTTGGTTGCGGGCATATCCCCAGTAAGGGGTGTGCAAGAGGTAGCTGATCGATGACACTCTCTCATCGATGTTTCTAACTCTCTATCTCTCTCCCTTCCTCTCTGTACAAAATCAATAAAATATATTTTAAAAAAAAAGACTTATTAAAAAAAAATAATAATAATAATTTAAAAAAAAACACAGGAAGAGTATTCCATAAAGAGGGAGGGCACAAGGATAGTAATGCTGGTCTACAGAAAATCTCTCTATTATAAACATCAATAACTGACTCCTTGGGTTAAAATAAAGTATACTTCAATATTACTTTCCTTGTGCTGCTCAAATCTGTAATATCAAAGTTGTTAGAGCTAGAAGTTGAGAAGCCCATGTCTATACCTGCCTTTGCCATATGATCAGCTCTGATCTAAAGTGAAGACCAAGGAGAACTGCACTACAACTTGGAAACAGCATGAGCCTGGAGGACATGATGTAAAGACCCTTTTCTACAGAATAGTCTGTCAGGGCATAAAGATCTGTGACTCTGTCTGACAGACAACATGTATATGATGTCTAGTAGGCCACTGTACCTTTGAATTCTTACAAGTAACTTCTAAAACATGCCTAACAGAACACCTCTCCTGGGCTGGGAACTGAAGTACAATGAATGAAGTGGAAAAGACTTCAATGTATGCAAAAAAAACTTACCACAGAAACAAGTGTAGGTATTGGGAACATGTGCAGAAACGTTCTGACAGGCAGGGCACCTCCAACCACTCTGGCCATCTGCCAAGAAAAAGGGGGGGGAAACAAAAATAATTTCCTTTAAAAAGCACACATTTAAAAAAAATTAAACCTATAATAAGCCATAACATTGAAGCAGTGATGGTAATTCCCATGTAAGGATTTAGACACTAAAGAAACAAAATCACAATTCTGAATGCTTTTCTTAAATACTGTATTTAGGCTTATATTTATAAGGACTTTAGATACATCAAGTGGATATCCATTTTGTTCTTTATTTAAATGACATACATTATGTAAGTTTAAGGTGTACAACATGTTGCTTTAATATATTACATACTGCAATATGATTACCACAATATTGTTAGTTAATACCTCCATCTCATCACATCATTTTCATTTCTTTTTGTAGTGATAATGTTCTATTTCTCATTTTGTTAAAAGTTATTTTAGAGAGAAAGAGAAGGGGGAAAGGAAAGAGAGAGAGGGAGAGAGAAACATTGATTTGTTGTTCCACTTATTCATGCATTCATCGGTTGCTTCTATTGTAATACGTGCCCTGACTGGAGTTTGAACCCACAACCATTAACATATTGGGATGAAGCTCCAATGAACTGAGTAACCTGGCCAAGGCCTATTACAGTATTTCTAATGTCAAGATAACCATTATCTGAATGTTGGCTTGAAAAAAAAGAAAAGGATAATATATTTTGAGTACATGCATGAAAGTCCAGATATCTTAAATTAGAAAAAGAGCCACAATTCAGAAAGCATGTTATTAACATTTGCATTACTCATAAGTACTAGTATCCTTTGAGAAAAGCACACAAAATACTACGGAGCAGATTTGTTAAAGGCAAAACAACTTTCAATATTCCAACTATGAATTAAATAGTGGGTTTCTATAAATTTTCTAAAGCCAACTAAATAAGAAATGTTTTCTATAGTTGCTATTTGGATAAAAACCACCATTTCAGTAGACGTGACTGATTTTATTTTACCTTAAATATATTTTAACACTGTTTTGTTTAGCTGGTTTGAGATCTACAGCTTAATACTGGCCATCTGAAATACGTGACTGAGACAACATATTCTCCCTGCAGATAAAATATTCAAGAAGAATTAAATAACATTTTAAAAACTGAATATATCAAATGGGTGAGAATAACCACTCAGAAGAGAGAAATAAGGCCAGGGGAGGGAGCAAGCGAGGGAGGGAGGGGAAAATTAAAAAAAAAAAAAAAGAAGAAGAAGAAGAAGAGAGAAATAACTGACCTGCTTGAGATGCTGGAGACCTTGCCCATTTTTTTATGCAGCTCAAATGAAACACGTGGTAACAGCTCTGACAACTCCACACAGGGGCCGTGACGCGAACCAATTCACAGCACACCATGCACTCATACTTTTCTGTAGTTAGTTGTTCAACTAGAGAACCTGTTTAAAAAACAAAACAGATAAACTCAAACATAGAAAACCAATCCTTACATTAGTCAACCAAGGATCAGCAAAGCATCAGAAAGAACCCAAACACAAGGGTTTTAAGGGATGTCTGAATCTGTTCACAGGCAGGCCAAGAGGCAGGAATATGCTGAGGTAGAAGATTTAGGGAGTAGACATTCAGATGGGAATTCCCACAATTGAGGAAACATTCCTAAGAGACTATCCAGCAATGCCCCTCACCACACAACTTGAGCATCCATGGGACCAGCACACTGTATGGCCCTGCCTTGTCCTACTTAAAGTGGGATGCTCTGAATCTACCAGATCCATGGATTCAGGAGAGGGTGGGGCTAGTGAATGGCCAACTGCAAGAAACTGAAGCCTGGATAGCTTCCAATCCATGGTGGTAAGATGGTTCTTGCCCTGAAAGTCTTTTTTCTTTTTCTTTTTCTATTCTCTCAATAAAGATATGCTTAGTTCCTATCACAAGCATACTTGTGATAGGGCTACTAGACAGAAAGAAACAGCCCTGGCTCCAGAAGCTCGCCATGATGGCATTATAAGACTCCTTCCAGATTCCTCAAAATCTTTACCTACTTCCAGACTTTTTCCTCAAATACAATCTCAGCAAAGTCTTTCTATCCCAAATATAGTCAGGTGCTCTCAGAGATGAGTGTATAAATATATATATATATATATATTTAGTTCATACTTTAGGCATTACTAGTATTTCAGGTTATTTTATTTGTTTTTAAGTCTAAATAGGTTATAAGAATAAAATAACCTTAAATTACCCAACCCAATGCTGTGCTAACGCACTTTACACATATTATTTAATTCTCTTAACAAATATAAAATATGAGCATTGTTTTTATAGACGAAGAAACTAAGGCTCAAAGTGGTTAAATCACTTATGCAAGGTACAAAACTAGAAATTAAAAAGCCAAAATTAAAATTCATTCCTATATGACCCAGAAGCTCATTTTAATCCTCTGTATTAGCTCTCCTAAGATTACTTTGTCCGATTTAATAACAAAAAATACTAACACCTCAGGACTGTGTGCTCTGTGAGGCAGGGACACTGCCTTGTCTGCCTTACTCACTGTAGTATTTCCAGTTTCTGACATATACCAGGTGCTCAATAAATATTTGTCAGATGACTGAATGAAGGAACAAATGAGTCAAGGAAGTTACTTTTTAATTATATATTACTCAGAAGTTACATTTAAAAAAAAAATACTCCATCTTGCTGAAACCGGTTTGGCTCAGTGGATAGAGCGTCGGCCTGTGGACTGAAGGGTCCCAGGTTCGATTCCGGTCAAGGGCATGTACCTTGGTTGCGGGCACATCCCTGGTAGGGGGTTTGCAGGAGGCATCTGATCTATGATTCTTTCTCACCAATGTTTCTAACTCTCTATCCCTCTCTCTTCCTCTCTGTAAAAAATCAATAAAATATATTTTAAAAATAAATAAGTAAAAATACTCCATCTTGCCGAAACTGGTTTGGCTCAGTGGATAGAGTGTCAGCCTGCAGACTGAAAGGTCCCAGGTTTGATTCCGGTCAAGGGCATATACCTCGGTTGTGGGCACATCCCCAGTAGGAGGTGTGCAGGAGGCAGCTGATTGATGTTTCTCTCTCATCGATGTTTCTAACTCTCTATGCCTCTCCCTTCCTCTCTGTGGAAAATCAATAAAATATATTTAAAAAATAAAAATAAAAATGCTCCATCTTTGCATCAAATTCAAAGGGAAGTTCAGCATAATAAGGACTGAAATACATCTTTCCACTGGATGTGGCAAATAGGAAACCATTCATGACCTTACCAGCAGCTTTGAGTCACGTGGTAATGATGGCAGAGGAATGAGAAGTTAATCAAAATAGGGAAAAGGCGGGGGGAAGGCAAATGACTCTTGATTTGACTATAATGGAAGGATAGGAATCACTACTGGGAGGTCATATAACAGGATAAGTTTTTCTTGTGGCGGGTAGAACAGACTTGGGAAGATCTTCAGCTTGAGAATGTGGGATAGTAAATCCGAAAAAAATTGATGGAAGAAAATATAAGAGGAAAAAATCTGGAGTAGTCTTAGATGAAAAGGAAGGACAGCTGACCAAAGTCGTACAAGAGAATATAGGCAGTGCTGAAAGCCAAATGATGTAGGAGACTGCTATTCAAAAAATATCTATTAGGCCCTGGCCAGTGTGGCCCAGTTGACTGAACATCGTCCCATTCACAAAAAGTCTGCCAGTTCAATTCCCTGTCAGGGCTCATGCCCAAGGTTCGATTCCTGATCAGGGTGTTTACGGGAGGCAACCGATTGATGTTTCTCATACTGATGTGTTTTTTTCTCTCTCCTTTCAATCTAAAATCAATAAAAGCATTTTTTTTTTTTTTAATTACTAAAACCTACTGTGTCAGGCACACTAGACACTTAGGATATTTGTGAAGAAAACAGACCTTCTGCCCTATGAAGCTTATCACCTAGTGGGGGGAAAGTAGACAATAAATGAATAAATTATGAAAACATGTAGCATCATCAAATAGTGATAAGTTGCTATGGAGGAAAATAAACCAGGAAAGGAGGAATGGGAATGCTAACAGTGGGGGAAGTATGGTTTTAAACAAAGTGATCAGAGAGGCTTCCCTGAGAAGGCAAATTAATTGCAGCAGTGCCAAATCTGTACTATTATGTAATCTCCTGGAACAGCATTCTGTTACCCAGGAGGAGGAAAGAGAGATTGCACCATCAATCCAGGGATGTGATTCTACCGAACAGCTTGGCAGAAGGATACTTCAAATGACCTATGGTTAGTCCCGCCTAGAGAGGGAATGCAGAGGGGTAGGAGGCTGGCAAAAATGGTAACGGGTGGAAGAAACTGAGGGAGCCAGGACAGGAATCTATGGTCAGAGAGTGGAACACAGACTTTAATAATTCAGAGATGAGGCATTTCCAAGATTATTTCCCCGGTAGTCGGTATGGAAATGAAATGAAGGTCCAAGTCCCTGTGGTTAACGATATCAAAGAATTTGAAGATGACACAATGCATATGATCACTAAAGTTACTCAGAATAACAGAAAGATATATGGTAAATTAGTTCCCAGATTTGATCATGCCTTAGAATCTCCTGGGAGCTTGTTAAAAGGTAAAAGTGCTGGGCCCCAGAATTTGCTTAGTAAATCTGAGAAAAGGCCCAAGAATACGCTTTTCTAACAAGTCCCCAGGTGTTGCTAATGGCTGCTAGTCTGGAATTACACTTTGAGAACCACTGAGGTAAAGAAAAGATGTAGCTAGAAGCATTAATAAATGAGGGTTGGGAGATCTGGAGACTAATAAATAAGATATGGCAGGTGATGTAGTTACAAGGTAACGTGGCATTAGGTTCAATGAAAGAAGGATTTTAAAACAAAGGTAGAAGAATGGTTTAGTCTGTCTCCATCAACTACCCGCATTCCTTCAACAGACTCCTAACTTGTCCCTTTGCTTCCTTAAAGCCCAATCTCCACACAGCAGGCTGAAGGCTCATTTTAGAATGTTAGGAAGATCATGCCAGCCCTTTTCCTAAAACCTTCCAGTTGCTTCTCATCTTCTTACTCAGAACCAGATCGAAGAGCCTCACATAATCCAGCTCGTGTGATTTCTCTGATCTCCTCCTAATTGCTTCCCCACTACCTTCACTGCTCCCGATCCTGCCCTCCCACCCCAGGCTAAACCTGTATCTGCCTCTGTCTAGAATGCTCTTCTCCAAAGAGCCTCAGGGTGCACTCCTTCACTTCCCTCTGGTCTCTCTTCAAATGTCTCATCAAAGAGACCAAATTTTTCTATACTAGTGCCCCTGTTATCCTGTCCTCTTAACCTGTTTTATATTTCTTTTTAGCTTATCACCTACCTGACAAATTAAAAATTTAAGTGCTGCCGAAACCGGTTTGGCTCAGTGGATAGAGCGTCGGCCTGCAGACTGGAAGGTCCCAGGTTCGATTCTGGTTGCGGGCATATCCCCAGTGGGGGGTATGCAGGAGGCAGCTGATCAATGATTTTCTCTCATCAATGTTTCTAACTCACTATCCCTCTCTCTTCCTCTCTGTGAAAAATCAATAAAATATATATATATTTTAAAAATGTAAGTGCTTTCTGCTTGTCTTCCCTATCAGAATGTAAGTCGCATTAGCATTGTAGTTCCAGTATCTAGAAATGCTTGGCACACAATATTTACTCAATAAATATGAACAGTGTGCTCAAGAAAATGTAGGGATGTGAGGCCAAGAAAGATTTGTTAGGCAGAACCCTAAGATGGCCTCCAAGACTCCCACCCTGGGGTATGCATTTTCTGTATAATCTCCACCCCTTGAGTATGGTGGGCTGATCCAATCAGGAGAGCCCTTTTAAAATAGTCTAGAGATCAGAGACAGACATCAGAGAGGGTTGAAGAATCTATAGCAGATGCTTTCCTATAGGCCTTAAAGAAGTAAACTACCAAGTTGTGGAGAGGGCCCATGTGGTACAGAGTTGCAGGTGGCCTCTAGGAGCTGAGAGTGTTCCAATAGCCAGCAAGAAAATGGGGACCTCAGTCCTACACACACGGAACTAAATCCTACCAACAACCAGTGAGCATGAATGAGGGCCCTACACCTCAGATGAGGCTGCATCCCCAGCCAAGTTTCAGTTCTGTGAGACTGAATGAAGAACTCAGCTACCTGGACCCAGACTCCTGATCCACAGAAACTGCGACATAATAAATTTGTGGTATCTTAAGCCACTACATTTGTGATAATTCATTATGAAACTAGAGGCCCAGTGCATGAAATTCACGCATAGGTAGGGTCCCTAGGCCAGGCCTGCGGCTGATTAGGGCTGATGGGGCCTTCTGGCTGCTGGCCAGGGCCTTCCTTCATTCCGCACTGCCCCCTGGTGGTCAGGGCATGTCATAGCGAGCAATCGAACTCCCAAACTCCCACAGGGACACTTTGCATTATTAGCCTTTAATGTATATAGATAGGAGACCATTAACCAGCCTTACAAATTCAGAAGCAACTCTGGTATAACACTGCTTGGCTTCACAAACAAATCAAGGTCCCAATAATGACTACCTGGTGAAGCAAATTAGAACTAAAAGAACTATAGACTCAGGCAGGGGGTGGCTTCACGCGTTAGGCTGTATGTCACATTAAACTGGAGGGAGACCAGAACTGTGAAGGTCCATAAAGCTATTTGGTCTAGGTGAAATGTATCCTCAGGGCAAAATGAGAAGTGTCTTCAAATATTACAAGAAGCTGATTTGCAATGAGGGGGAGAGGAACTCTGAGAAGAGAGACTAGTTGCTGTGTGGCTCAAAGGCTAGAACTTGAACCAGGGAATAGAAAGTATTTATAATAAGGAAGAACTTTCTAACAGTCAAGAAAAATACAGTCTCGCCAGGCCAGCATGTCAGTGATTGAGCATCAACCTATGAACCAGGAGGTCATGGGTTTGATTTCCAGTCAGGGAACATGCCCGGGGTTGTGAGCTGGATCCCCAATAGGGGCGTGCAGGAGGCAGCCAATCAATGATTCTCTCTCACCATTGAGGTTTCTCTCTCCCCCTCTCCCTTCCTCTCTGAAATCTATAAAAAAAAAAAAAGAGAAAGATATATCTGCTTCTAAGAAGCTTATAAATAAGTGAAGAGCACTGACACATAAACAAATGATGGTTTTCAGTGTAATTGCTATAATAAAGCATGTAGATGTAAGGGAAAGACATACCACAGGGCTGAAAAATGTTTATCTGTAAAGGTGAGAAAAGGTTTCCTGGAAATGTGACTAAACTAGCTTTTGAAAAATGAGTTAAGAATTCACTAATGAGCTGGGTGGTGGACATTCTAGAGAGCCAAAACATGCAACATCATGCAAAGATAAAAAGATATAGAGTCCAGAGAGTAAAATGCGATGGGCAGCAGAAAATGGGGTTGTTGGGTAAGGCAGAAGCCAAAAAAATATAGGTGATGAAAAAAAGTGAACAAAAGGGGGCGGGATGGTAGTAGTGACACAATTCAATATGTTTTAGAAAGATCACTCTCTGATCCTAGTATAACAGATGAACTGAGAGAAACTGGAGATGCAAGATTTGTTAGGAACACTTGCAGATGAGCAGACAAAAGATGATGCAGGCTGGAACCAGGAGAGGTAATGGAGATATTACCATCTTCTATTTGTGCTTTCATAATCCAAAAAAATCTTGCAATGACGAACAAAGTAGGTCCAGAGGCATGAAGGCATGAATCAGACTGACATATCACAAATAGGGATAGGGAGGATGGAAAGGAAGAGATTAACCAGAGAACTTATATACATATATACATAACCAATGGATACAGACAATAGTGTGGTTAAGGCCTGGTGGGGTGGGGCAGGGGCTGAAAAGAGGGGGAAAAGGGAGGAAAATTGGAGGACATCTATAATACTGTCAACAATAAAATTAAATTTAAAAATTTTTAAAAGCAATAAAGAAATATTCACCCATGCAAAAGAAAAGAGAACACAGAAGAATCAGTTGCTACATTTTATAATATTATGGTACATTGTGTAGTCTTCTGTCAGTATTCATTATCAGTTATTTAGTTTATGATAAAAAAAATAACTTTTGATTACTCATTCTGTCTTGGACTGTATAAAGAAGATCTGTATTTTTATTACAAAATTTAATAAAAATAAAGTAAAAAAAATTCTTGCTACTAAATATCTATACCATCCATATATGCATTTTTCAAAATCCTTACAAAATTCCTTATTTAAGAAAAAATTCCTTATTTGTATTTGCTTATGACATAAAAACTAAGTAAATAGTTACCTACTGGGGAGAGGAGGTGGTGGTGGCAGAATCCAGACAGATGATGAACAAGGACAGAAAGAGACTTTTCACTGTGTTCTTTTTTTTTTAATCCTCACCTGAGGATATAGATTTTTTTGTGTTTTTAAAATATTTAATATATTTTTATTGATTTCAGAAAGGAAGGAAGAGGAAGACAGAGACAGAAACGATGACAGAGAATCATTGATTAGCTGCCTCACGCATATTCCCCACTGGGGATTGAGCCCACAACTGGGGCATGTGCCATGAATGGAATCGAACCATGACCTTCTGGTTCGTAGGTAGGCACTCAACCACTGAGCCACACAGGTCAGGCTGTTTTGTTGTGTTGTTTTTTTAAATTGATGAGAGAGAGAGAGAGAGAGAGAGAGAGAGAGAGAGAGAGAGAGAGAGAGAGAGAGAGAGAGAGAGAGAAACATAAATCAGTTGCCACTCATACACACCTTGACTGGGAATCAAACCCACAACCTTGGTATGTGCCCTGACTGGGAATTGAACCCCACACCTCTTTGTGTATGGGATGATGCTCTAACTAACTGCGCCACCTGTGTACCTTTTTATACTTTTTGACTTCTAAACTGTGTGAATATATTACCTATTCAAAAACTTAAAATCAGCCCTAACTGGTTTGGCTCAGTGGATAGAGCATTGGCCTGCAGATTCAAGGGTCCCAAGTTCGATTCTGGTCATGGGCATGTGCCTTGATTGCGGGCACATACCCAGTAGGAGGTGTGCAGAAGGCAGCTGATTGACGTTTCTAACTCTCTATCCCTCTCCCTTCCTCTCTGTAAAAAAAAAAAATCAATAAAATATATATTTTTAAAAACAAACCTTAAAATCAGAAAAACAAAACATTTCCTACCCATCCAGGTAGATTTACCTGTGTGAGTTTCCACATTCTTTAGCACGGGGTTCTGTTTGCCTCGGGGGAGAGGATCCTGCCTCCTTATGGCACATTTCTCTGGGTCAATCCTTCTGGAAGACTTGTTGACAACTGCCAAGTTCCCGTTGTTGCAGGCAGACTTTGCTGGTCGTTCGGTAAGGTTGTCCTTTAGAATGGGGGCCATGCTGTTTCTGGCGCCTGCGCTTGTATGTCGTTGACCCTCCTGTTTCGGCGGATTCCTGCCTGGACGTGGCCTCGCCCCCTCCACTTCCCAGGGAGGCCTCTTCTGTGAGTGTCTTCTCTGTTCATTGCGTCTGGCCCCAGACCCATCCGGTACTCCTTTTCTAACGGATGTATCTGAAGAGTCAGGGTGGATAGCCCCCACAGGTTTGATATTTTCAGACCCGGCATCCTCGGGTTTGGGTGTCATTCTGTTACCCCACTCAGCTTTGAGCTTCCCCTTGACTTTCGGCCCTCTACCATAGCTATAGACAAACTGGGCTGCTTTTTTTGGTTTTGCTCCCCTGGGATCTGCACCAACAATTTCCTTCTCACTTTCAGCAGGGCTGTGTTCTCTGAGCTTTGTCCCACTCTCTGATCTGGCCACATTTTCTAAGCCAGATACATCTGAGGTCTGGTCAGTTACACTCTGTACTCTCTTGACTCTGATATGCTGCTTTTCACTCCTCAATTTCTGTACAGGTTGATTCTGAAGGTTCTTGAGTGATTTATTAGAAGCAGAGGATTGGAAAGGAAGCTGTTGACTCTTAGGCTTGCTTCCTGAAGGATGGTAACTGTACTGATGAACAGCAGAGATGTCATCATAAGGGATTTGCCTGGAAAGGTGACACGGAGGTGGTGAACTGCAATTCCTTCTACCAATCCTATTAGAATCTAGTCTTCTTTGACTCCCACAGTGTAGACCAGATTTTTTCCTCTCCTGAGGAATGAACTCAGAAGCATCCGTATTGAATTTAAAAGTACCTAGGACACAAGAAACAGACATGCCAGGATATTAGTCAGTTGACCATGAAACTCATCAGACTGAAAGCCATATCTAAAAGTTATTTTCCTAAGGACTTCGTATAAAACGGGCTTTTAGTAAAACGTGTTTCCTGTGAAGGTGTTGGGTTCAAGGTGTTGCAGAAGACTGATCATTGCATGTCCAGTAGCTTCACCAATAGCCAGCACTGCGAGTTGCTAAGTAAAACTGCTCACCTGGCCATCAGGCATTATCTATACATGCATTTACTTTCTCAAAGAATTTTAAGTCAGCAAATAGTTCAGAGATGAGACATCAGTTGCAGGTTCCATGTGATCTTTTGAAACTCCAATGTAGCATTGTGCAATATCAAGTAAACAGGCTTAGGAATCAGCCAAAATCAGTTTGAGGTCTGGCCCTCCAACTTATGCTACGAGCTTAGATATATCACTTGATTGCTTTTTGCCTAGCATCCTCACCCATGACAAAAGATGATAATACTATTTTAAAGGGTTATTATGAAATTTAAATACGATTTCATATAGATAGTACTTAGCATAGTAAGTACATTAGTTTTCATCTCTTCCCCCCCAGGAATATCTATTATCTGTTCCATACATAAGCTTTATAATATAGTTCAGAATTCCAAAGTCTCAAAAATTAAACATATGCCCTATACATTTATTCCCCCCAAATGCTTCTTTATATAGTCAACTTAGTCTCATTTTGTCTGAAGCACAAAGACAAAATGATTTGCCTCAGGATACAAAACTAATTAGTAGCCAAGTGAGAACTATATGTAGCATATAAAATATACTATGAATTTATAGGGCCAAAGAGCCGAGGGTTTACTTATTGTCTTTATGAAAGTTTTGTAACACCAGTTTTTATATGTAATGGAGATAATAATAATTCCTACATCAAAGAATTGCTATGAAGAGTAATACAAATTAATAACTTGTATAAGGTGGTTAAAATGGTGCTTTATTATTGCTGTTGGGATTATAGGCTATCTGAGACATACAGACCCAACCACAGATGGGCGCAGTTCACAGCCTGGGGGCTTTTGGTTTAATAATAATCGGGTTAGGTACTTAACAGGTGCCAGGCACTATTTTAAGCATTTTGCATGTGTTAGCTCATTTAATCTTCCCTCACATTCCTGATGAGAAATCAGCTACAGAGAAAGAATAAGTAACGTGCCCAAGGCCACAAGAGTTTTCTAAAGCAGATTTAGAATTCCACCCCAGGCTCTATGGTTCTGGAGTCCATGCTCTTTCACTATCACCATACTACAGTCAGAGGCTGGGCAGCTGGTACCATAGAAACATACACAAAAGTAGTGAACAAGATCAAAAAGGTCATAGGGTAATCTCTCACTCAACCTAGAATTTGTTCTGAAAGCTTTCATATAGGCAGGATTCTTGGGATGGGGTAGAGAGCCTTACAAAATGGTGAAAGGATTAGACAAATTCAGAAACTGGCAGAGAAGGTGGGAATGTCTAGATCAGACCAAGTCGGTATTATGTAGTCCTTTCCCGCTTAAAGAAGCAAAAAAGGGTCAGTAAATAACCTGGTAAAGGATGGAAAAAGGGTGTTTCATGTTAAGCAGTAGGGAGTTGATGCAACTACTGGATATTCTAAACAGGACAGTACCTATTCATATACAGAATGTGCTCCACTAGACATGATCTAGTAGGCAAAGCTCTCAGAAAAAGCCTTAAGAGACACAAGAAAGGGGAAAGGGCACATGAGTCAGGAAACTGGACCTGAGACACACAGATCTGAAACACCCTTTCCCCCACACTATTTGCTGGAAGTTACTCAGTAAATGGTATGTCTCATACCAAGGCATTGCTATCGTGCAAGTGGGATCCTACATTCAAGATCACATGGCAGCGCTGTAGGTGTCCATGGGTGGGTGGAGCAGAGTAAACTGTAGATTATAAAGCCCAGAGACAAAGCTGGCATAAGAGTCCGCACATGGGCAGAAAGACAGCCCCCCGGACTGGGCTGCTGTCTGAGGACAGAGACAGGCAAAAGAACGAAATCTTGAGTGGGGATGGAGGTGTGGGTTAGAGATCAAGTTGAAATAAGAACATGGAATAGAAACGAGGGCAAAAGCAAGCTCAGGCAAATAAGGAGTGGAGAGATCTTTGCAATATGGACTTTGTCTCTCAGTAGATGGGGAGTTTTGTTGGCCAAAACTATGACTCACAACTAATCCCATCCCATTCTTCTTCAAACACTGAAATGTACACCAGAAGTGAGCCTGAGATTATTGGATCCACTTTAGAGGAGACGGGAAGAGAATGGGTGGCAGGATAATAAACACCAGCATGAAAGGTTCCCACCCACCAAGATGACTTAATACCCAAATCAGGAATGAGGTATACCAATGCTGTGTGTTCTCCAACTTTCTGACCAAGATCCACAATAATACATACATTTTATCTGCCATCCAGTACACAAATACATATATACTCTTCTTAGTACCCTAACAGCTGGTTATAGATAGCAGAACTAAGATTCAAATCAATGATTGTTTACAAATTTCATGTTGCAAATTGCTGCCGTTTTTTTTGTTTTGTTTTGTTTTTTCCAGAAAGAGTGAGGCCTGAAACCAAATCAATGTAGTGGGTTGTGACAAGAAATTCTTCAAAAGAAACAGAAAATGATGTATTGAGAAAGTAAGGAAAGCCCCTGCTTCCAGAAATTTTTGATTCTGTTTTAAAATTTACGTATGTGTGCACTGAGGTCTCTAAGTTTAAGGTTTCTTTTCGGTGACTGTCCAAAAGTTTGCAAAACAAAGACCTAAGGTACACTCTGAAGAAAATGGAAATGGATGTTACATTCATGGCCAAATGAGGCTGTCTCTGTACACAGAGGGGACTCCGGGAGAGGAAGTGAGCTAACAATTATGGAGCAGGTACAGTACAGGGCGGGGGCCTTCACAAGCATTAACTACATGATTCCCCACTGACGGGTGAAGAAAATGACTCAGCCACACTGAGAGTTCGAAGAAGGCCGAGACTGGAAACCACAGGTGTTCAGCGCGCGCCCCCGCCGCTGCACCGGGACGCGCGAATACACCTTCGGCACAGCGTGCAAAGCCACCAGGCGTCGAGAGCCCGCCAGACACCGACGCCCGCTAATCGGAGATCAGCTGCTGCCCCGGGGGGTACGGGACACCCACATCCATACTCGCTGGGCTCTGGGACAAACCCGCTCTCCCTTGGATAACCAGAGGCCGGATTTCGCAACCTCGTCCAGGATGGTCGAGGTCTCCGTCAGCACGACGCGCGCGCGCGTCTTGGCCCTTCCGAGCCACTATCCCCAACCCTAGTAGGCGCCACTCTCGCGATATGAATGGCCGAAGCCCTAGGACTCGTCACTGACCAAACCTGCGCAACTAGAGAAGGGTCCACTTCTTACACGGACCAGAGCAGTACCTGAGACAGGAGGAGCCTCCGCCATCCCGTGCGTGCCGCAACACCTAAAGCGAGCCCTGCAGTCCAGCGAGTGCTGTCACCCGGTCACGTGCCCTCGACTTCCGGCGCTGAGAGAACGTCCGCCCCTGCGCGCCGGGTGGACGCGCCACAGAGTTTGCGCGGCCAGAGTAAACTGTGTGGCGCAATCATGACGTCAGACAGTTGCGCCACGCTCGGGGCGGAAGGAGGAGACTAGTGACTACAGCTTGCAAGGAACGCGGGTGTGGGGCGGAGGCGCGGGCACTTGTGTAATCGTCGTTTTCGTCAAGCTTTCACTGAGCTCACCTGCTACTCTGCCCTCTTGCTCTCCCACCCGACCAATTTCCCTTGGTCTTCTGAAGTCAGTTCGGACATCACCTACAGTAGTTCGGGTTACAAAACACAAAACTGCTCAGCTGGCCTGGCTCAGTGGTTGAGCGTGGACCCACGGTTCCATGCTCCTTTGTGTTGCCCGGATTATGGGCTGAATTCCCTGTGTGGGGCGTGCTGGAGGCAGCCAATCAATGATTCTCTCGCATTGATGTTTCTGTTTCTCCCTCTCCTTTCCTCTCTGAAGTCAATACAAAATAAATAAATATGTATATGTATTTATTTTGTATTGACTATATATATATATACATATATATATGTGAAAAAGAAAATTAAGTGGTCAAAAGGCAGTCTTGGGACAAATGGTCTGCAAAACAATGGATAATATACAAAAAGCTCTTACAAATCAGAAAACGATAAGCCACTTGTTGGAAATGGTGAACTTGACTGGGCAGATGACAACAAATACGAGAGATATGAGGGAGAAAGTTTGTAGGCACTGATAGTTTTTAAAGTATAAAATATTTTAAAAAGTGAATGTGTGGAGTGTTTGTTTTGTTGTTGCATTAAGAAATATAACACAACATTTAAGGGTTAAGTATCTACATTTGTAAAGTAATTCACTGGCCCAGGCTTTGATAAGAATAGGAAATAGATTCATTCATTCACACACATTTTAATGCATACTCTGTCTCAGTCAGGCATCGCTTAAAGTGCTGGAGGTAAATGGTGAAAAAATATAAACATGGTTCCTGCCCTCATGAAATGCATTGTCTAGTAGGGGAGATAAAAAGTTAAAAAAAAATTAGCTTTATAGGTGTGAGTACACAAAACAGAGTTTATTCTTGTATTATTATTATTATTTTTTAATCAATCTTTATTGTTCATATTATTACACAGGTTCCTTGTTTCTTCCCCCCTCCACCAGGTTCCCACCCTATTCTTGTATTATTATTTATTAATAATTATTTGCCCACCCCTATATTTAATCATCCAAATACTTGGAAGATAATGAAAATAACATTATTAATGTTGTTACCCAAACAAACCTAGTGTACAGCTTATGAATGCAATATTAAAAACCCTATATTCACCCTAACTGGTTTGGCCCAGTGGATAGAGCATTGACCTGCCAACTCAAGGGTCCCAGGTTTGATTCTGGTCAAGGCCATGTACCTTGGTTGAGCGCATATCCCCAGTGGGGAGTGTGCAGGAGGTAGCTGATTGATGTTTCTCTCTCATCAATGTTTCTAACTCTATTCCTTTCCCTTCCTCTCTGTAAAAAAAATCAGTAAAATATATTTAAAAAAACAAAACCCTATATTCTTTCTACCTGTCTTCTAATTCACTGATTGGATCCTCAGCTTCCCCTAATCTGCTGTGTATTCTTTCCAGTGTGTTCATTTGTGCTATGTCTATTTGTTTTCATAGTTACTATACCTTTTTTCATGCTTTTGAACATCTTTACTATCATTACTCTGTTTCAGATAAATTTCTTATCTCTATTTCATATCTCTTCTTCTGGAGAATTCTCTTGTTTTTTCATTTGGAGGTTGTTTCTTGGTCTCCTCAGTTTAGCTGCCTGCTTGGGTTTGTGACTTTGTATTAGGTAGATCTGCTACGCCTCTCACTCTCTAGTGCAGGACAGTGTCAAACACTGTTTCTCTAAAAAGTAAATTTTAATGTGAATCAGCGACTTCTTATTCTTGGGCCAACCACTGAACCACACTGGTTGGGCAAAAACTAAGTAATTTATATTTACAAATTAAACATTTGTAAAATAATTACAAATTGTGTTGTTGTTATGAAAGAAACTAGCAGAGTAATAGTAATAGAGACTTACTAGGATCTGTTTCAGAAAAATGTGCCCAGCAGTGGTCGGGTAGCTCAGTTGTTAGAGTGTCATCCTGATATGCCAAGGTTGAGGATTCCATCTCCAGTCAGGGCTCATATAAAAATCAACCAATGAATGCATAAATAAGTGGAAAAACAAAAATTGATGTTTCCCTCTCCCTCTTAAAATCAATAAATCAATAAAAAGAAAAAAAAGAGAAAAATGTAGCCAGGATTCTTTCAGGAGAACAAAGGATGAGAAGAAGAAAACTATGTGAAGACTCAGAGGGAACAGCATATGCAAAATCTATGAGGAAGGAAGGAAAGAGCTTGAAGTCTTCAAGGTATTAAAATATTTGCTGGAGAATAGTGAGCAAAGAGAGGGACACAGTATGAAATTGTAGAGGTGCTTAAGGAGATAGTGCAGATCACCCACAGGCCATGCTGATGGATTTTATTCTAAGAGCAATAGGAAGTTATTGAAAGGCTCTAAGCAGTTACACCTACGGATTCTCTTGCTTCTAGGGGAAGCAAGTATAGAAGTAGACCAGTTACATTTTTGTATTATGCAAATGCAGAATGTGATGGTGGCCTTGACTAGAGTGACAGTAAATGTGGAGAGAAAAAAGGAAAGATCTGAAGTATATTTCAGATATAACCCTTATGCAGTTTCCAAATTTTTTCCAAACAATAGGTGCGATGGGCTCTCATTATTTTGTTTCTGATTACTGAGCCTCACATTTCTTAATGGCATTTATGTTTCCTCTTTTTAAATTCCTTATTTATATCCATTGCCCATTTTCCTATTTTGTTTCTAATTACTAATGAGCCTGACATTTCTTAATGACATTTGTTTCCTCTTTTTAAATTGCTTATTCATATCCATTGCTCATTGCTCTATTTTCTTGCTGTTGGTTTCTTGTATAGATACCAATTCCTTGTCAGTCTTAGACATTTCAATTTTCATCTTCCATTAAGTCTATTAATTTTGTCCTTAATTTTGACATATCAATTCATCAAACAAACCTGTTGTCATCTTTAGAAATTACTAGTTTTGTCAGTCTGGGTCCGTTCAGGAGAGAACTATACAGTAATTTGAACAGGAGAGGAATTGTTTAAGGACATATTAACTATAACAGGGGATTGGAGTAATAAGGATTGGCTAATAATCAAAAGAGCTGATGTGGCTCAGTGGCCCGCACACCAAAAGGTTGTAAGTTCAATTCCCAGTCAAGGGCACAAATCTGAGTTGCAGGTTTGATCCCAACCCCAATTGGGATGCATGTGTGCATGTATGTGGAAAGCAACCAATCAATATGTCTCTCACATTGATGTTCCCCACTCTCTTTCTTCCATCCCTTCCATTCTCTCTAAAAATCAATGAAAAAATATTCCCTGGGTGAGAATTAACTAACTAAATAAAAGAATCAAAAGAGAACTCTAAAAGAATATAGGAGTAGCAATATAAGGAATAGCCACTACCTCTAAGGTTGATTGAGATAGTATCCAATGAAGATCTCCCCAGAATTGAGGTGCAGACCTTGTTAGAGATGTTCCTTTGGCTCACTAGGTGGCAGGAAGCCACTGCGGTGCTGTCCTGGCAGAAGTTGCCAGAAACCTGCCAGGCCAGGGTGGCTCAGTGGTTGAGCATTGACTTATGAACCAGGAGGACAAGGTTTGATTCTAGGTCAGGGCACATGCCTGGGTTGTAGGCTTGATCCCCAGTAGGGGGTGTGCAGGAAGCAGTAATTAATGACTCCCTCTCATCATTGATGTTTCTCTCTCTTTCTCCCTCTCTACATACATACATATATGTATATAGAATATATGTATATATATATATATACATCTATATACATATATACATATATCCTATATAATAAAAGGCTAATATGCAAATCAACCAAATGGTGGGACAACCGGTCACTATGATGCACACTGACTACCAGGGGGCAGATGTTCAATGCAGGAGCTGCCCCCTGGTGGTCAGTGCGCTCCCACAGGGGGAGTGCCGCTCAGCCAGAAATTGGGCTCATGGCTGGTGAGTGCAGCAATAGTGCCAGGAGCCTCTCCCACCTCCATAGCAGCGCGAAGGATGTCTGACTGACAGCTTAGGCCTGCTCCCTCAGGCCCTAAGCCATCAGTCAGACATCTCCTGAGGACTCCCAGACTGCAAACGGGGGCAGGCCGGGCTGAAGGACCCCTCATCCCCCCAGTGCACGAATTTCATGCACCAGGTCTCTAGTATTTGCGCGCGCACGCACACGCGCGCGCACGCGTGTGTATGTGTGTGTTATTTTTTTAAAGAGGTTGCCATAAATCTACCTTGTGGGATGTTGGGAAGAGCCTTTTACAGAGAGGTGTATCACAAGAGACACTCCACTACAAACCACCTGAGGGAGATGCCAGAAGAAGTTTCTGGCTGCTAGCTACCCTACTCTGAAAAAGCCAGCTGCTGGAGAAGCCATATGCCTTACAGGAGCCAGACAGCGAAGAAACTGCCCAGAACACAGAAGCCTAACTATAATAGAAACAGGAAACAAACCCCTTTTTGCCTGCAATATCTCTCTGGTGCCCTCTACTGATAAAGCTTAATACCTGAAAGCAGGCAAGGGATAAATATTTAAAAGGCTCAAATCCATTTCACAGAGCAGGCAAAAAGGTAAATTTGGAACTGAAAGGCAATAATTTATTACTGGTACACTAGGAAACCTATTCATTATTTTCCAAACTTGTAAATAAATGGAAGTAAACAAACATTTACTCTGCCTTTCCTATTTTATGCAAAAAACTGAGGTCTGAAAAAAACCTTAGAATATTGTTTGTGGATTCCAAATAAATAAACTGGATGACTGGCTGTGAAAGAGATGAGTTTATTAGGACTTACGTGTGCACTGGTGGTGGCTGACCAGTGCAATTTTCCACCAAGTCCCATCTGGCCTGCGGCCAGCGAGTACGGGGGTATGGAGGTAGTTGGACTTGCCATAGCACTCCCAAGAAAAGAAAAAAGCCCCTGCTTTTTTATTGTAAATAAACCCTTATGTGAAAATAGCCTGTTGCAGTTAACAAAGTACTAATGACAATTATCTCCATTATTCCTCACAAAAGCCTTGTGAGGTAAGCATAATTTTACTAAGGAAATAGAAGCGAGGAGGGCTACTAGTAGTTATTACATAGCAGACCCATGGCCCAAGCCTGGATTGTTCCTCAATCTTTCCTCAATACCACAATGCCACCGGGTAAAATCGATTTCTATAGTGGAGTTTTTAGGCTGAATTGAAATTAAAATTATATTAAATTTTTGAAATTGACTTTTAGAGAGAGGAAGGGAAAGAGATAGAAACATGGATGAGAAAGAACTATCAATATTTATCAGGTGCTCCATGCATGTCCCCTGTCAGAGACTGAACCCGTAACCTGGACATGTGCCCTGACCAGGAATCGAGCCAATGACCTCTTGGTGCATAGGTCCATGCTCAACCACTGAGCAACACTGGCCAAGCAACATTAAAATTACATTCAATTTGTGGTTTCTACAGTGGAAGTTTCAGGCGGAAATGATATTATTAAAGTTATATCCTTTTGAAAAATATTTATTGAGTATAAATAAATGTCCTATACATTAAATATCAAGAAATATTCATTACTGATTACAAGTCAGGCTGTAATACTGAGGGAACCATAGAATAAAACCATCCACTCATGACATAGCAATAATTCCATTCCAATATTGGACACAGTAATGGTTTACTCACAAGACATAACAATACTCTTCAAAAAAAGCCATCACTTTAACCAACCTATAATACCACAATAGAAAATGATTTTGAATCATAATATTAACAGTTCCAGAAATCCCATCTGCCTTATCAATTTTATCAGGTCAATTTGAGATTATGGAGTTAAACTATCATAAAATCTAAAGAGTCCCATTTCCTTGATTTTATTTCAAATTATTAAGGAATGAAATCATACATGCCCATTGATACTTTTAAGTAAGTTAGTCTTTCCTAAGAGAAAAGGAATAAAAATGTAGTACAAAGAAAGCATCCCCCAAATGTTGAGTCTCTTAACGGAAAAAAAAAAAGAGTAATGTAATTAACTTTTCCTTCAAAGAAAGTAAAGAAGCCATAATCTGTCATGGTAAATTTGGAAAGATAAGTATTTCCTAGTCCCAGAATATGTATTTATTTTACAAGATGTACTTGAGCGATGCAAGTCTATGAAGCAGGGATTTGTGGCAATCCGAATTCATCCACGAGGACTCCATCCTGTAAAAAGGGAGCAATGTTTTAGTGCCACTATTTATCTTTTCTTAAATTTTTATTAAATGTATTGGGATGATATTGGCTATTAGGATCATACAGGGTTAAGTGTACATTTCTAAGATACAAGATCTATATAGTATACTGTGTGCTCATCACCCAAACTATATATTAGGCCCCTTTCCTCTGATAATCACCACACTGTTGTCTGTGTCCATGAGTTTTAGTTTTATATCCCACATATGAGTGAAATCATGTGGTTCTTTAGCTTTTCCTGATTTATTTCACTTAGTATATTCTCATAGTGCCACTATTTTTCAACTGATTAAAAAAAAAAGATTACAAATATTTAATGGTTAAAACTCATCTCCAAATGTTTAATCCATGAAAATCAAAATCAGAAGATGAGAATGAGATTTTTTTTATGAAAGGTAAAGAAGGAAGTGATGAAGCTGGAACAGAGTGATGAATCTCAGAGGGAAGGGGGGAGGAAGGAGGATTGGAAGAGATTAACCAAAGATCTTATATGCTTACTAGAGGCCTGGTGTATGGATTTGTGCACCGGTGGGATCCCTTGGCCTGACCTGCAGGAATTGGCTGAAACCAGCAGTCCAACATCCCCTGAGGATTTCGAGAGAGTACAGGCCAAGCCAAGGGACCCCACTGGTGCACAAATCTGTGTACCGGGCCTCTAGTATTAAATAAATTGTCATTGTATAAAAACATTCCTGAGTCTCTGTGACACCATCTACACAGCTTGTTCATAATCTAATGCAAGAGAACTGGGCTTTCAAGGGTACCCAAAATAATGACCGAGACAGTCTTTCCTTGTTTAAACTTAATAGTACTTTTTAGAATCCCAGCTGGTGATCAAGCATAAACCTTTATGATTGGCATAGAAATTATAAACAGAAAAAGCTTTCACCTTATTCTTTGTGTCAGTGGGAACACCTTCTGGAATTGCAGGTGCAGATGCTGCTTCATCCAAGTAAGAACTGTCTTCATCAGCCAGAAGTTCATCACCCAGTGCATCCAACTCTGAAATTGAAATAGTCAACATAAAAAAAAAATGTGGAACCAAGAAAACTGGCAGCTTGTGTTAAGAAAGCCCAATTATTTATTAAAAGAACATATAAAAACAAAGGAAAAGGGATTATTAATTTCTATTTTCAAAATAAAAGATTTGCATTATAAGCAATTTTCAATGGAACTGATGTGATAAAATCTACGAAAAAACAAAATCAAAATAAAACAAACAGCTGAAACCGGTTTGGCTCAGTGGTAGAGCGTTGGTCTGCGGACTGAAAGGTCCCAGGTTCGATTCCGGTTAGGGCATGTATGTTGGTTGCGGGCACATCCCCAGTAGGGGGTGTGCAAGAGGCAGCTAGCTGGTTGATGTTTCTCTCTCATCGACATTTCTAGCTCTCTATCTCTCTCCCTTCCTCTCTGTAAAAAATCAATAAAATATATATATATATTTTAAAATAAAAAAATAAAACAAACAAAACAAACATTCTTCATGGGTTAATAAGGCCCCCAGTCTTCACGAGAAGAATCTATAGTTATCAGTTGACCAATTCAAATGAGAAAATCCTGATAACGTTAACTATAAATTCTCTCTCATTTATTGATGAACTTGAAAGAAGACAATGAAAATAGGCAGAAATTGTTGTATACTAAGTAATCATTACATGAATCAGGCTTTTCAAAAAAGTGTATGGTAAAGTGAGTAGAAAGTGACCAGGAGGAAGGATAATAGCAGGCAAAAACTCATTGGGGGAGATTCTATTAGGTCTAGTAATAATTAATGTCGTTTTCTAATACTTTTTAAAATCGAATTTATTATAGATGGGAAATAAGAAAATTAAGGCCGAGACTCTCTCTCATCGATGTTTCTAGCTCTTTATCTCTCTCCCTTCCTCTCTGTACAAAATCAATAAAATATATATATTTTTTTAAAATTAAGAAATGAGTAGGGTTGGGGAGGCTCTAGGCAAAAGCAGAACATGGAGAGGGAGCCTGACTGTAAATATTGATAGAACTGTGACCCCCTGGTTCACAGGTCGACGCTCAACCTCTGAGCTATGGCAGCCGGCGGGCCCTGCTCATCCTTTAGGTCCTATGTCCACCGCCATCCCAAACATGTTAGATTCCCCAGTTATGTGCTTCATGGCACCCCATACTTCTCTGACCACTTGTGCTCTTGTAATTACTTGAAAGCAGCAGTTTCTTACCCCTGTATTGAATTCAGGGGTCATATTTGTTTTCTCCAGTGCTGAATCTCCAAACCTAACAGTGTCTGGTATATAGTAGATGCATGACAAGTACTTATCAACTGCTGTTTCTTGATCTGCTTTGCTAGTCTGAGGGACAGGAATTCAAGTAGCAAAATAGGAAGACCAAAATCAAAAGAAAAACAGTAGGGAAATGCAGTGTTTAGATACCGGTCAGCAGGGTCCTTTGAGTGGACCTTCCTTCAGAGCTTGTCCATCCCAAAGTTGTAGGTAGAGTGTGCAAGTCAAGTGTGGCTGCCTCTCAAGCTGTCTTCCCAAAGACTGGACCATAAAGTACTTTTCAAGTAACCCTCACAGGAATTTTCTCTAGCATTTGGGAAAAGGTCCCAGGCAGCTGCTCCTTTCAGACTCTGACATTACACATGCATTGCTTTTCCCAAAACTTTACCTGCTTCTAGATCATCTTCATCTATCTCTGGAGTGCCATAGCTACGACTCAGTGCTTCTTGGATTTCACTTGCATCTTCCATCATATCCTCTAGCTGGTCTTGTAAATCCTATAGGAATATATGATACGATTTTTATTAATTTCTTACCATTTTACTCTACCTCTTGCCCTATTCTCTCCTCTGAACTTAGAGAGAAGTAATTTTTTAAAAGACGATGTACAAAAAAAATGCAGAGCACAAAACAAGTTCTCAACAACTGATAGCTCCCCTGCCTGCCTGCTCACCCCCAACTGCCCCCCCCCCCCACCGCCCCTGCTGTCCTGATCATCTCCAATTGATTCCCACTAACGGGGTGAGGGACTGAGGGCTGTTTCAGGCTGGCCACAACCCTTCAGGGTGGGGATCCCCACTGGGGTGCCTGGCCAACCTGGGTGAGGAGCTGAGGGCTGTTTTCAGGCTGGCCATGCCTCCCAGTGATCCAGGCTCCCAGTCCCTCCTTTTTTTCTTTTCTTTCTTTTTTTTCAGCGCCTCCTTGAGTGGAGGCCAGGGCAGGCAGGAAGCTTGGTTTCCTCTATTGCTGGGGGCAACCCAAGCCTCCTCCTGCTCTAGCTCTGTGGCCACCGCCATCTTGGTTGGGCTAATTTGTATTCTCACTCCTGATTGTGGGTGTAGCGGAGTGATGGTTAATTTGCATGTTTCTCTTTTATTAGTGTAGATTAGCCATATGTGGTATTAGGAACCTTGCATTAACAAGGAAAGGGAAATCTTTGGTGCCCTTTTTCAAAGTTACATATTTAAATGAGAAGCTCAAAGTTCAATCCCTCTCTGTATCCCTCCCATCACATACACATTCATTTGAATTATTTCAGAAACTAGTACATTCTTTTCTTTTTTTTTTTTTTAATTAAAAATATTTGAGGTGGGCCGAAACCAGTTTGGCTCAGTGGTAGAGCGTCGGTCTGCAGACTAAAAGGTCCCAGGTTCGATTCCAGTCAAGGGCATGTATATTGATTGCAGGCACATCCCCAGAAGGGGGTGTGCAAGAGGCAGCTGGTCAATGTTTCTCTCTCATTGACGTTTCTAGCTCTCTATCTCTCTCCCTTCCTCTCTGTAAGATGTCAATAAAATATATTTAAAATAAAGTTTAAAAAATATATACCGATAGCTCATATTGCCAAACCAAGAGCTATATTTATAAAATAAATAAATAAATAAATACAATAAAATAAAAATATTTGAGGTGAAAACCTACTATTTTTTTTTAAATATATTTTTTATTGATTTTGTACAGAGAGGAAGGGATAGAGATAGAGAGTTAGAAACATCAATGAGAGAGAGTCATCGATCAGCTGCCTCTTGCACACCCCCTACTGGGGATATGCCCGCAACCAAGGTACATGCCCTTGACTGGAATCGAACCCGGGTCCCCTCAGTCCCCAAGCCGACGCTCTATCCATTGAGCTAAACCAGTCCCGGCAAAACCTACTATTTTATTTCAAGACACCCAAGTCCCACCTGCATACGAATAAATTGTAAAAAAAAAAAAAAAAAAGCACATTTGCTGGTCACTGTTAAAACCATGAAATACAATTCCACATTGATGATACTGAAGTGGTTAATTATCCATACTAGCTTACCAAAAACTAACTGAAATTAGGAAAATGACATATATATACTAGCATACACTCTTGAATTGCCTTCTCACTGTACTTAATTTAATGTCCAGTTTTGACCACTGGATGCTGAAGTCTAAAATACCCTTATGGGTTAAATGTGCACAGCCTACACAGAGAACCATGTAGACAATAAAAACGTTTTCTTTTCTTTATTTAACAAACACTGCAATTAGTATTTAAACCTGCAGTTAATGGAGACACTTTTATGCAGAAGGCACTGAAGGCAGGTATGAGTCTGGGAAGAAAACTGGGAGACCGAGGCAGAGGCAGCAGCATGGCTCCTGCTGGGTGTGCAAAAACTAGTACATTCTTACAGAAGCCAGTATACATCTCACCTCAATCTGATCAATTTTCACGTGCTTGTATGCTTTCTTCATTTCCTTTACTCCCAGTTTCATAGCTTCAACCTAAAAAAAAAGATTAAGAAAAAAATGCAATGTCTTAAGAAGCTATGCTGGTTAAACTGTCTTTTAAAAACCACGGGAAAGAGCACAAGAGTACAAAAATAAAATAAAATCACGGGAAAAGGTGCTACGGAAGTACCGTGGTCTTAGTGTCTTTCAATGACTGGATGGTGTAATTGGCTTGTTCCATGTTAAAGGACTGCTGGGCAAGATTGTCCCGCTGCTGCTCATACCTTTTTAGAGTAAATGAGAATGGTGAATGTGAGACAGATATAAACCATCAAGAAGGAAGTATGTCTAATACTAAATAAGAATTTTCTTTTTATAAAAGTTCTTAAATTAAATATACAATAAAAATTGGCTAAAACAATCACTCTAATCCAGTGATTTTCAACCTTGTTCATTTCATGGCACATTAAACTAATTACTAAAATTCTGCAGTAGACCAAAAAATATATTTTTGCCAATCTGACAAGAAAATAGATGCTGTTTTGATGAATTCACACCAGATGACTATTGTTATGTTGGCTGTTGTCATTTTTTAATTTGGTAATCTAAGGGAAAAGAGGTCAGTGCTCCTGACTTGTCAGGTATTGCATATTTTAAGAATTCTTGCAGCATGCCTATTGAAAATCACTGCTTTAATCAAGCAAATATCATTTGATGCAACTCTCCAGTCTTTTTCTTTTGTATGTATTTTAGTTATAACACTACTTTCCATTTAATATTATAACATTTGTTGCTACAAGGTCTTAATATATATGCCTTTATAATGTTTTACATTATTTCCTATGCTAAATTCCTGGAAGAGGAATTCTGGGTCAAAGGGTAAGACTATTTAAGGACCCTTAAATATTCTGGTGGATGAGGACTAATATGTGACACCTTAATCAGTAAATAAATAAATAAATAAATCTCCTAGTGGGAGGGAACAAATATCCAAGACTCCCAATTTCACAAACAAAAATTAAAAAGGCACACTCTTCCTGGTGGTGTTGCTCAATGGTTGTGTCAACCTATGAACCAGGTCATGGTTTGATCACAGTCAGGGCACGTGCCCAGGTTGCAGGCTCAATCCCCAATGTGGGGTGTGCAGGAGGCAGCCAATCAATGATTCTTTCTCATCATTGATATTTCTATATCTCTCCCTTTCTCTTTGAAATCAATGAAAAAAAATTATATATACATACATACACACACACACACACACACACACACACATATATATATATATATATATATGTATGTATATATATATATGTATGTATATATATATATATATAATTTTTTTTCTTAAGGCAAACTCTATTAAATAAATAATGGGAGAACCAAACCCTATAGATCTGGGCAGTCCAATACAGAAGACATTAGCCATATATGGTTATTTAAACTTCAATTGTTAAAATTAAATAAAATTAAAACTTCAATTTCTAGTCATACTAGCCACATTTTAAGCACTCAATATCCACCCATGGCTAAAACCTTTTGAACTGGACAGCATAAATATAGAACATCCATATCAGAAGGTAGTTCTATATCCACAATCCATGCACTTTAGTACAGTACTCTATGCTTCTATCTAGCAGAAGAGGAAAATAAGAAATAAGGTGACTTTATCAAGGCCACTTTTTTCCCACCCAGCATACTCCTCCTTAAAGTCTATTACACCTATCTAAGAGGACCGGCTTGGCAACTTGGAGGACCAGCATCATAGCAACTGGTCCACCCATTGTTCAGTGGACTGGTGGTAACTATCCATTTGTGGGAACTAACCTTTGCAGGACTAATCTAGATGGTGAGCCCTAGGTGGTTTGGCTTAATGGTTGGAGCTTTGGCCCACAGACCCAAGGGTCATGGGTTCAATTCCCAGTCAAGGGCACCTACGGGTTCGCTCCCTGCCCCTGGTTGGGAAGCCTGTAGGAGGCAATCTGCCAATCGATCTCTCTTTCTCTTCCTCTTCCCTTCATTTCACTCTCTCTGAAAATCAACAGAAAAAAAAAATCCTAGGGTGAGGAGTAAAAAAAAATTTTTAAATGAATGGTGCTACAACAAATGTTGCTGAATATAGAGGGGAAGAAAATGCCAGCTAACTATATATGTACATGAAATTTGTAATTACACGAAGAATGCTTATAAAATGGTATAAAAACCTGAAGGAATGGAAGATCATTTCTTTTGGTCAAACCTGTGGAAGAAAGGAGATTTTGCATATAACTTACATCCTCTTTTGCTTTAAAACCCGCAAAGCTTTCTGCTTGACCATATTCTGAGGAGAAAAATAGGTTTTAATGAAAAGAAGTAAAAAATATATGGTAAAAGAAATCTTCCATATCCCCAAATGTACATATCTACTCTTTCTCTTCTTCAGATTAACCGATATGGTGTCTCCTGTATTATTCTTCAACTCCCAAGGACAGTCATTAAGACTCAACTCTTCTTTGCCTTTGCACCCCATATCTCAGCCTAAGAACTGCATGTCTTTTTACTAGTGCCTATTATATTAATCCCACCCGAGCTACAACAGTGCGATTTTGTGTATCCACTTACCTTAGGAGATCCCCAACTTGGACATCCTGCTATCCACTCCAACTCAAAAAGACACACAAACTCCTCAACCTGCTCTCTCCTTGGAAATTACTAACAGCCCCATCGATCTCTCACTTCTTCTATGAGAACCTTTGTATCAACCTTACCTTTCCTCTCTCTGTTGTCTCTTCGTGAACAGTTATTACTGATTGTCAGAACTCACTTTCAGATTGAATCATATCATTCTCCCGACTACCACCATGATTTAAGCTTTCATCCCATCTAATCTAAATGAGCTTTCCTGCTTCTGGTCATTAAAATGGCTGAAAAAAGCTGCTTGTCTCTTACCTTGTCACTTTCTATACAGTTCCATAAATCATTTTATTTGTCTCCTCCAGTGGAGGGAAAGCAGATGTTATTACTTCACAGACATTAATAATACCTAACATTTACTGAATGTTTCTATGTACTAGACACAGTGCATTGTAGGTCACATTACTTACTTCATGTAATCCTCACACTATTAAGTAGATATTATCCCCATTTTATAGATGAGAAAACAGGTTCAGTGATGCTAAGTAACTTGTCCTCACTCAAATGGTTAATATAAAGATAGAAGCAAAGAAGGTAGTTCTACATCCACAATCCATGCACTTTAGTACAGTACTCTATGTTTCTACCTAGCAGAAGAGGAAAATAAGAAATAAGGTGACTTTATCAAGGCCACTTTTTTCCCAGCATACTCCACCTTAATCAGTCTATTACACCAATCTAACAGGACCAGCTTAGCAACTCATTATGCCTGAACATGGCTTATCTTTCTCTCCAGATTGCCACTTTCTCAGCAGAATATGCTAATTCCCACATACATGCTTTTGGACATGTGATCAGTATCTTCCCTCCATCAGGTCAAATCCCAGTTTCCATTTCATATCTGGTTGTAAACTTTCTTCCCTAAAGGATACACCCTCACATAGGTTTTCTACTTACCAGACTGTGAGCATGCCTTCTGTTATCTCTCAGCAGCCCCTCAACACATGCTATTTCCACAGGTGCTTAAATTAGGCTGTCACGACAGCTCCTGCCTACCTTACCTTTGCAGGACTCTCCCTCATCTTCTTCATCTGATCCTTATACTTCACTAGCTCAGCATCCAGTCGAGAAATTTTCTTGTCAATGGATTCTGCCCTGCTGTCCACCTTAAGTGGGAAAAAATAAAAGGCAGTGGTAGTTATTGTAATACTAGAGGCCAAGTGCACGAATTCGTGTGTGGGTGGGGGATCCCTAGGCCTGGTTGGTGATCAAGGCCAATAGGAGCCCATCTGGCTGGTGGGCTGTAGAGGGTTGGCTGTGGGAGGGCACTGACCACCAGGGGGCAGCTCCTGCATTGAGCATTTGCCCTCTGGTGGCCAGTGAGCATCATAGCAACTGGTCCACCCGTTGTTCAGTGGAACGGTGGTAACTATCCATTATGCTTTTATATATATAAATACTTACATGAGAAGAAGCAAGAGAGAAAGGAATATGGAGGAAGAAAAATAAAGAGGATCATATGGTGAAGGGTGGAAAACACTTTGGAGGTCCAGGCTTCCAGCCTTGGCTGGGCTCTATACTAGCATTTGCCCAAGGGGAGGGGGGGTGGAGTAGAATCCTCAGACAGAAACTTTGGGAGGCTTTTATACACTATACTCCATCCCCCAGATACTGATTTTTCCAGGTCTCCCTCAAGTGCGTATGGATAGAAAAATAATTTAAGAGTCACTCGACTAAGTACAATTTCCCTAGAATCAGAAACTAGTCAGGCTAGAGACTCAGGTGTGTGAAATGAAATCGTGAGCTGTAGACTGGCTGGAGCTGTAGATCTAATGCTGTCTCTTATAAGGTGGTAGGCTTAATGCCCAGGACCAGGGTTCTGAGTTTTGTTACTGAGATCCAGGATCAGGTACAGATATGTTGACCTAGGATGTCAGGCTGAGGGTCCTGACCTGGGATGAAAGAGGGGTAAATGACAGAGGGAAGTGTGTACGGGATAAGCAAAGAGCGAATGGACGCGGCAGTGGGCATCAAGGGTCGGGTGCCAGTTGGGGGAGACAGTGATAGGTCAGGGGTCTCTGGTTTGTGGCGTCAGGAATGACCTGGGTAACAGAAACAAAGGTGGAGTGGAAAGGGCCGAGGTGTTAATGGGCTCGGAACCGAGAATGGGGTGGAGGAGTAGGAGCCGGGAGCCGGGAGCCGGGAGGTGGGTGGAGTAAGGAGGGGGTTCAAAGGCCCCGAGCCTAGCTTAAGTGTAGTCAAGCGCCCACCGTGCCAATGCAGTCTGTCAGGTTGGGCGGCGGAGCCTTCGGTTTCGCTTTCCCGAAGAATCGGTTCATCTTGGCCGCGAAGAAAACCCAAACACTGGAGCAGAACCAGAAACGGAAGCGTAGACAACACCGTCTCGGTCTTGACTTCCGGCTCCCCGTGCGCAAGCGCACTGCGCCTCTCGGAGTTCCCAGATCCCTTTGTCGGGGGTTCCGCCCGGCCTTTTCCGGGGAAGGAGAGCTCCCGGAGCTTGGAGGTACTGGATAGAAAGTCAGCAGGGGGTGTGGCCACGCTGGATGACGTGAGGGCGTGGCTTCAGGTCAGCAAGGCGGGGCCTCATCTGAGTGGGCGGGACTCAGGGCGGCTTCCTCTGGACGGGATGGGGGCGGAGTTTGCCCCTAAGGGGCGTGGCCGGGAGACCGGGGCGGGGCGGGACGCGGAAGTGGCCCCGTGGGATTGCACGGATCGGCGCTCAGCTCCCACCGCTGGGCAGGCAGCGAGCGCGGGTCTGGCGGAGCGCGGTGGCGCGCGGAGACCGAGAGGCGACCGCGGGCGGCAGGGCCCCGGGCGACAGGGCCCCCGGAGGCGCGCCGCTCGGCCAGGCCGGGAGTCGCGTCAGTCGGTGTTGCCGGCCGAGCGCGGTCCGCCTCCCTCTCAGCGATCTTCCGGCCTGAGGGCGGCCAGAGGGCATGTCGGACCCCGCAGGGGCGCCGCCGCCGCCGCCGCCGCCGGTGCGCGCGGGCCGCGGGTGAGGAAGAGAGCGCGGCCTCGCTCAGTCCGGAGCAAAGCGGTGGCCCGGAGCGCAGAGGAGCTCCGGAGCGAAGAGGGGCTCCGGAGCGAAGAGGAGGTGCTGAGCGAAGAGGAGGTGCTGAGCGAACAGGTGGCCCGTAACGAACCGGTGGTTGGGAGCAAAGAGGTGGTCGGGAACGAAGAGGCGGACCCGAGCGAGGAGGAGGCCCCGAGCGAAGAGGACGCTCCGGACGAAGAAGAGGCTCTGGACGAAGAAGTGGCCCAGAATGTAGAAATGGCGGCAGCCGGACTCAGCGTGACCGTCACCCACAGTGAGCACGGGTGGCCGGGGGGCTCTGTGCTCGGCAGGGTCTGTGTGTGTGTGTGGGGGGGGGTGGCCACGTGTCCTCCGGAAGCGCCTGTCCTGTTTGTCCTGGCGCCCGGAAGTGTGGGTTCTTGTTTGTGTCCGTGGGGCCGGTGTTGGTGCGGGTCTTGTGTCAATACACCTTTCTCTGTGACGCGGTGTTTTGTTCCAGGTCATTTGTTTGACCTTCGAATGCGTGCTGCACGCGGTGGTCCTGGTTGCACGTGTTCACGTGTGCCTGCACAGTTCTTGTGGGTCTTTGTGTCAGGCTTGTGTTTGGCCATGTGCACGGCTGCTCAGTACGTCTGGACACCTGTGTGTGTCGAGTACACTGTTTGAGCGGGCCGTGGGTCCAAGCATACACTCTGGGCACCTGGTGGGTGTGCCTGCTGCTGGAGTTAACACTGAACTAAACAGTGGATTCATGGGCGAGCCAAGTCCATGAGGGTTTCCTCAGGACCAACCGTGGGAGACCCTAGGGCCTCAGATCTGAAGATCAGGATTCTAGGTCCTGCAGTTTTGTTTTTAAAATATGTTTTATTGATTTTTTTTTTTTCCCAGAGAGAAAGGGAGAGAAATAGAGAGCTAAAAACATGGATCAGCTGCCTCCTGCACGCCCCCCACTGGGGATGTGCTCCCTACATGCCCTTGACTGGAATCTAACCTAGGACCCTCCAGTCCACAGGCAGCGCTCTATCCACTGAACCCAACTGGATCCTGCAGTTTTGAGTGATCTTGGGATGTCTCCTATCCAGACATCTAGTTGTTCTCGGTGAGTTAGAGTTGCCTAAACCTGTCCCAACTCTAGCTGGTTTGCCTCCGGTGATAGAGCAATGGCCTGTGGACTGAAGAGTCCGGGCCTGAGTTTCGGCCTCTATCCCCAGTAGAGGGTGTGCAGGAAGCAGCAAATCAATGGTTCTCTCTCATCATTGATGTTTCTCTCAGTCTTCTCCCTTCATCTCTGAAATCAATAAAAATATATTAAAAAACAACAACACACCTGTCCCATTGACTTCTTGTCTGTTGAGCAGGCTCAAAGCTTAGCCTGGTGCATGGTAAACAGACTACCTCCTGCTGCTCATATACCTGAAAGAGAATTGGCACCTCTGCTCCAAAAAGAAATTTTCTGCTGTTTTGAGTCTATTCACTCATTTGTGTATTTTTTGTCTGTTTTTTGTTAATCTTCACCTGAGGATATTTTTTTCCATTGCTTTTATGAGAGAGGGAGGGAAGGAGAAAGAGTCAGAGAGAAGACCAAAACGAGAGAGAGAAACATGGATGTGAGAGACACATCGACAGCACACAGGAAGCCAAGAGTGAACCTGCAATCCAGGTACATGCCCTTGATCCACTGAGCCACATCGGCCAGGGCTCATTTGTCTGTTTACTGAGCACCAACCATGTATGTGTCCAGGTGTGCCCAGTGGGAGAGACTTGGAGGAAAAATAGTCCCTTGCCCATTGTAGCGAAGGAGACAAAGGCCAGTACAATATAGACTACAGGGCAGTCAGACCACAGGAGGCAGGTGGCTTGTGATAAAAAGCATGGACCAGAGGTCAAGTGCTGACTCCACAGTTGGTCTCCCTAGACAGGTCTTATCTGGACTGACTCACAGTTTACTTACCTGTGAAATGGGGAATAATAGGTAGTACCTACATCATAGAGGTTTTCTGAGGATTAAATAAGATAATGCATGAAATGAGACTGGTCAGCCCTTTGTGCATGTTAAGTACTCAGATATTAGCTGATATCACATACTGTCAGTTATAATAGTGGAAACAAAAGTCCTTGAGCAGATCACCAGAAGAAAGCTGGACAGATGGGGAAAGGCTGATTGGAATAGGGGGCATATGAATTGGGCTTTGAAGGCTGTAGGCTGGGTACATAAATAAAATGAAGTGTCAGCCTATGTTGGTTCATGTGGGAAAAAAATTTTTTTTTAAATATATTTTATTGATTTTTCACAGAGAGGAAGAGAGAGGGATAGAAAGTTAGAAACATCGATGAGAGAGAATCATCGACCAGCTACCTCTTGCACATTCCCCACTGGGGATGTGCCCGCAACCAAGGTACATGCCCTTGACCGGAATCGAACCCGGGACCTTTTAGTCTGCAGGCCGACGCTCTGTCCACTGAGCCAAACCGGTCCCAGCAAAATTTTCTTAATTGAACCCTTTTCTCTCTCCTCAGGCAATGAGAAGCACGACCTTCATGTTACCGCACAACAGGGCAGTAGTGAACCAATTGTCCAAGATCTGGCCCAGGTTGTTGAAGAAGCCACAGGGGTCCCGCTACCTTTTCAGAAACTCATATTTAAGGGTAGGCATTTCTCTTCCAGCTTTGAGCCCTTATGGCTAAACGACCTATTTAAAATTGCTTAACCAAACCTAATGGTAACTCTTAGCTTTCAAAATTGGACAATTCTTATTTGCTGTTTCTTCATTTATTTTCCTCAGCAAATATTTATTGAGGACCTACTGTGTACTGGACACTTCCTAACATTTGGACAGGTATTAGAGTTGAAGTCACAGGATGGTGGCAGAAATCTTACCATTTTTAAAAATATATATATTTTATTGATTTCTTACAGAGAGGAAGAGAGAGGGATAGAGAGTTAGAAACATCGATGAGAGAGAATCATCGATCAGCTGCCTCTTGCACACTCCCTACTGGGGATGCGCCCGCAACCAACGTACATGCCCTTGACCGGGATAGAATCCGGGACCCTTCAGTCTGCAGACCAATGCTCTATCCACTGAGCCAAACCTGTTTCGGCAATCTTACCGGGGTTTTTTGTTTGTTTGTTTTAATATATTTATTGATTTCTTACAGAGAGGAAGGGAGAGAGATAGAGTTAGAAACGTCGATGAGAGAGAAACATCGACCAGCTGCTTCTTGCACAACCCCTACCGGGGATGTGCTTGCAACCAATGTACATGCCCTTGACCGGAATCGAACCTGGGACTTTTCAGTCCACAGACCGACGCTCTACCACTGAGCCAAACTGGTTTCGGCCCAGTCTTACCATTTTTGATGAAGTTCATGGGCAGTCTTCCCTGGCTAAGTTATATCCTCTTCTCATTGTATGTTCACATGGCACTCCCTACCACTTCGGCATAACTTATATTGAAATTACTATTACATAATTGTTTTTGTAGTTGCTGAATATCTGATTTCTCTGTTAGAATAACAAACTCTGAGGGCAGAGAAACTGCTATGTGTCCAATGCTCAGCAGAGTGCTGACACAGAGGGTGTTGTATGAACACACTTACCAGGAGCCTGGCAGACCCAGTGGATGATGTGATTTCTGCTGCACATATCTCCTCCACACCTCCACCCTCTGTCTTCCCATTCTCATGGTTACCCATTATTTTGGTATCTGATGGGGCCAGATTTATCTCATTTGGTGCCAGTCACAAAGAATTTAGTGATGGGAAGTACTTCTATTTATACTTCACAATGTAACTATTTGTTTTTTATTTTAAAAACATTTTACTTTTGCCCAAACCAGTTTGGCTCAGTGGATAGAGCATCAACCTGCTTACTGAAAGGTCCCAATTTTGCTTAAGGGCATGTACCTTGGTTGCGGGCACATCCCCAGTACAGGGTGTGCAGGAGGCAGCTGATCGATGATTCTCTCGATATTTCTAACTATCCCTCTCTTCTTCTCTGTAAAAAATCAATAAAAAATAAAATAAAAACATAAAAATAAAAACATTTTACTTTAGAATTATACAAGGGAATAGAAATTCATGTTTCAAAATACAAAAAAACACAAAGAAGAAATGCCCTCCTGGCTAAAATCTCTCATAACATTTTAGCATATTTCTGTTCAACCTTTTTATTGTGTTTGTTTGTTCTGGCTTCCGGAAGTGTGGGTTCTTGTTTGTGGACTTTTTTTTAGTTGAAAAAACTAGGCTTATATTGATTATACAGTTTTTATAACGTTTTTTTTTTCTTTTTCTTTTTCTTATAACACTGGGTTATCAACATTCATTGTGACCTTGAAGTTTCTTTTAAAAAATGAGCTTTAATGCCTACAAAATCTTCTATTGTACTGATATATAGTTCATCAGTCCCCTATTCCTGAATTTTTGGCTCTTTCCCGTTTCTCTCTATATGAATAAGTTTGCACTAAAAGTTATTGTAAAGTGTCATTGTGCAGGCACACATCCAATTATTTGTTTACATTAATAGCTGAAGTGAAATTACTGAGTCAAGACACCTAGTTCTAGAAAAATTACACCAACTTATCCTCTTCTCATTAGTGAACTCACTTGTCCCCTGGACCCTTGCTGAAATCTGTTTTCAATGATGTGCAGTTGTTACAACTTGGCAGTCTTTTCTTCTCTTCAGGACAGTCGCTGAAGGAAATGGAAAAGCCATTGTCTGCAGTTGGAATACAAAATGGTTGCCGAATCATGTTAATTGGGAAAAAGGTAAATTGTTTTTTCCACCAGAACACAACCAAATCAAATGCTTAGGCCTTCTATGCATATTTCTGTGCAGAAGGCAAAATTGGGGATCTAGATGCTGCATTGGTGAAGCACTCTCTAAACAAATGTAGTCTCCATCTGTGTGATGGGGTTACCAGTTTTGTTCTCATGGCCTCTGGCTTCTGTTAGGTTCTCACTCTGAAAGTCAGGAGCAGCTGTGCTGCCTCAATAACACAACTTTTGTGTTGGTGGTGGAATCTCAGTCTGGTTATAAGGTGCCGGCCATACTTAGAGGGGATTTGCAAAAGAACAATTTGTAAAGCCTGGAGATTTAAAAAATAAATACAAGTTTTAGGCTCTCTCCCTTTAACCACCCTTTTTACTAAAAATATCCCAGAAGGTAAAAAAACTGGCCAGAAAGAAAGGTTCAGACTAAAGAACTGAGGGAGAAAAAGAGCCAGTTAGTGACAGGTGAGGACAATGGCCTGTTGGTGATGAGGGAGGGCCATGGCCAGCCCTGCATTGTGACACAGTGGAATTGTTGGTCATATGAAGTTCCCTTACTTTGAGTGAGGTGGCTGACTCAGAGTGGAAAGAGGGTGAGATTAGCAAAGAAGAGGCAAAGAAAATTCCATCCAGGCTTGGAACTGCTAGGAGACTGGCACTGGGGATTTTTGCCACAAAGTAGAATGTGAATAATTTGGAATAGTATAAAAGCAGGAAGATACTGACTCTTGACTGCCAATTGTTTAGGTGAGAGAAGGGGAAATACTCCAGATTTCTTGGTTAGGGGTCCGGGAGAATGGTGATGGGCATTGGGCAGAGCCCAAAGGTTGAGTTTGAAGAAACTATAGGACCCCTGATTAGAGCTGTCCTGGGGTGTGTAAAACCATATCTGATTCAAATCTCAGTTCTACTTCTTTTGGGCTAAGTGACCTTAGGTTACAATAACCTCAATTTCATCATTTAAAATAGTACCGTACCTCATTGTTGTTGTTTTTGTTTTCTCATTGGGTTTTGATAAGGCTTAAAACAAATCATTGAGATAATGCGCTTGGGATAGTATCTGGCATAGAGGGAATCCTATATAATAAAGGTGTAATATGCAAATGGTCATTACGCCGTGAAGTGTAACGAGCAACCGTGTAACAACTGGATCACAGATCAGCAGGAGAGTGAGGCAGTGAGCTACAAGCTGGTGATAAAAGTATTCATCATTGTTATGTTGGTGGATGACATTTTGTAATTCTATTTAAAGGAATAGTAGAATTCCACCTATCTAGAAATTCTGAATACTTCATAGGTGTTCAAAAGTAATTGACTCTCCAGGGATCAGTCTGGCTGTTAATGATCAGCCCTAGGCTGAGGTTGAGTCTGGCTCTATTCTCTTGAGTCCAAATTGTCAGGACCTTGTTTACCTAATACCGTCTCTCTAGTCTAGAGTCTTTGTAGATGGAAAACTTAATGTATATCCTCCAATTTGCTTTCCAAGAAGCAACAGAGTTAAGACTTTGTTTTTGGTGAGTGGTTTAGTCCGATTATGATTTTTAAAAAAAACCTTTATCTGACAGGATAGTGTTCTTGGTAATTATTGGCTTTATTTTATTCTTAAACATCTTAGAACAATCCAGAGGAAGAAATTGAACTAAAAAAGTTGAAAATTTTAGAGAAGTCTGTGGAGAAGATAGCTGACCAACTGGGAGAGTTGAATAAAGAGCTTTTTGGAATCCAACAGGTAACTCTATGGGCGTTGACTTTGTACCTGTCCTAAGAACTTTCTTTTTTGGAGTGCCACAGAATTTTAATAGTTTGTGTGTGCCATGGGATGAAAAAGGTTGAAAATCTCTGGTCTAGTTTGTTATAAAGTGTTTAGCAAAGCAAAGGATATTTCGATGATTCATAGAAGGTAAAAGTTGAGCGGATCTTAGTGGGGTGGTCATCCAACTCAATTTCTTATATTAAGAGATGGTTTCTTATATTAGAAACCAAGTAAGGATTAGAAACAACCCCAAACCACATATTTGTCTTTGACCTCCACATTTTATAACTTTAATGGATGTATGGTTATGTTTTAATTACAAAGTAATATATGCTGATTGTATATAACTTTTAAATAAACATATGAACACTAATATGGAAAATAAAAATTATCTATAAGGCCCAACTCAAAGATAATCATTAATAAAGACTGGAATCTACCTTTCCATCTTAAGAAAATATTTGATATGGTGTTATGTACACTTTGTAAATTGTTCTCTTATTGGATAAAAATTTGAACATTTTCTGTCATTGAAAATGACCATATTTTTAAAAACTTACATAGCATGGTTTACTTAACCAATTCGCTATTGTTTAACACCAAATGTTCTTTTTTTTTTTTTTTTTTTTTGGTCCTTCCCACTTTTTAATATATACATTTCAAACATTTAGAAAAGTTGAAAAAATGAGCAGAATGAATGAACATCTGTACATTCCCCACTTAGATTTAACCATTCAAAGCATTTTGTCATGTGTATTAGTTTGCTTAGGGTGGCTTAAACAGTAGAAATTTATTTTCTCACAGTTCTGGAGGCTGGAAGTTCAAGGTCAAGGTGTATGCAGGGTTGGTTTTTTTCTGAGGCCTCCCTCCAACAAGAAATAATCCAAGTTCAGTACCACTCGTTTAAGCATACTGGAAAGCAGCCTTCCAAAGACCAGGAGTCTGCCCTTCAATTCTAACAAACTAATGCTCTCTTTATGCACTATGGCAACTTCTTTGTTATATCATTTCCCATTTCTATGAATTATATTATCATTGGCTCAACTCACAGTACTCGTGGGACAGGAGTCAGCATGGCTGAGCTAAGTTCTCTGTTTAGGGTTTCACAAGGTTGAAATCAAGATGTCAACTGAGCTGCATTTCTTTCTGGACCTCATGGTCCTCTTTTTAAAAAATGCCTGTGATTGTAGCAGAATTCAGTTCCTTGTAGTTGTAGGGCTGATCATAAGCCAGGGGCTGCTTTCAGTTCCCAGGGGCCCCCCACATTCCTTGCCCCCTTCACCCTCAAGTCAGCTTTGGAGAACTCACACATCAAATACCTCTCCTGTTTCAAATACCTGATTTCCTCCTATCACCTAATGTTCTTTTGCCATTTTTCATAATGCTTCTTTGAAATCTTTAGACATAAATCTTTTTTGACTGTTACTGATATTATAAATTCTTCAGTTGAAATTACTGGCTAATGTTTATCACATGTCAAATCTGCATCTGTAACTCTCGGCTTTGGTAAACATCTTCAGAGAGCCCTGTTGTCACCAGCTAACTGGTCATTTGGCCAAGCAATGTGAATAAACTGTAAGACAATTTAATAAAAATAATGTAAATGCTGCCATTTGTTAGCATGTCTGTGTCAGAAATTATATTAAGGGTCTACATATATACCCCTTTATCATCACAGTAATCCTAATGGGGTGTGAGTATCATAATCCCTATTTTATTTTATTTTTTTTTTTCATTTTTAAAAAAATATATTTTATTGATTTTATACAGAGAGGAAGGGAGAGAGATAGAGAGTTAGAAACATCGATGAGAGAGAGTCATCGATCAGCTTCCTCTTGCACACCCCCCACTGGGGATATGCCCGCAACCAAGGTACATGCCCTTGACCGGAATCGAACCCGGGACCCTTCAGTCCCCAAGCCGACGCTCTATCCATTGAGCCAAACCGGTCCCGGCGATAATCCCTATTTTAAAAACGACATGGAGGCACAGGTAGGTTAAGTAACTTGCTCAAGATCACAAGCAAGTAAATGGCAGTCAGAATTCAAGTCCAACCCTATCACATCTGAACCCTGTGCTCCTCATGTCTGCCTCTTGTGTGTAGGTATACTCTTCTGGCTTTGCTGAAGCCAGGCCTCAGGAGGCATTTGCAGCCCCAGTAGTTTATTTTAGAGTGGCCTATTATAGTGTTTAGGGTGGCTTAGGGCCAGCTTTTCTTTTTTTCCCAAGAGATGAAGTTGTGGGTCTGAGGTCTGGCCCAGCCTATTGGGAGGAATTCGGATTCAGAGTGTGGCTCCTTCATCAGTACCTCAGCTTGGCATTCTTCATCAGCCTCAAGGAATTCTTGCAAGAATGCATTATTTCTCCACAGGGTTTTCTGGCCAAGGATTTGCAAGCTGAAGCACTCTGCAAACTGGATAGGAAAGTAAAAGCCACAATCGAGCAGTTTATGAAGATCTTGGAGGAGATTGATACACTAGTAAGTAAATATTCACCTGAGAAGAACTAGTTTCCTTTGACTATATTTCAGCCTGTCGCACTCTTTCAGTAACGAGGCCTTATTGTCTGAGGATGTTGAGCACCTGCTGAATGCAAGATACTGTTAGGTCTTAGGTGAATACACAGGAAGATAAGACAGTTCCTAATTTTCAGCCACTCACATCCCACCAGCATAGGGCCTTTAGCATTTTTATTAATGTGTGCTAGCAGCTCCTAATCCTCATGAAACTTGGGTCCAAATGGTCTATGGTCTCGTGGTCAGAGAAACACAGGGCTTCACTTTCCTGTTACTCATGTGACTGATATTCCACTGAGCTCATTACCTGTACAGAATTCAGTCGGACCCAGTTCTTGTGAGGCTGTTGGGAATCACTGACACTACTTTCCCTTTTATAGATGATAATAAATGATATTACTAGCCTGATGCCTCATTCTTGAGGGTAAATTACTCTGCTTGGGATTTGAGGATGGGGTAACAGGAAGGGGCTTATAAAAAAGAAGTAAAAGGTGCTTTTCTTGCCACAGTGAGCTCATGGTATGGCCACAACATAGTATCCTTACATAGGAAACTGTGAAAGAACAAAGTCCACATTACAGATCAGTTTCTACGGGAACAAAGGGAGCTTTTATAGGAGCAAGAGCCATGGAAGGGTCGTGTAGGATACCGGCCCAGAAAAATTATTCCTGGAATTCATGTCTCATTCCCATTGGTGACTCATGACCTACTTGGTATACTATGGATATTTCTGATGTGTTCTTAAGTCATTTTCATCGAATTATTTATGTGTCAACTTATTCTTGCATAGGTTCTGCCAGAAAATTTCAAAGAAAGTAGACTGAAAAGGAAGAGTTTGGTGAAAAGGGTTCAGGTGAGTTGTGTGGTAGAGCATTACACAGTGTAAAGCAAGCATGTCTAACTCTCTGCCTGTAGGCCAGATGCCTCGTTTATTTGGCCTGTGTTAGCCTTTGAGTTTGACATGCGTGGTATAAAGGGTTGGTGTATGTGTTTATCTGTTTAAAGAAGGATATAGTAGAAGTTGTGTGGCTTTTTGTTTTGGTTGTTAGTTAGCATGAACCCAGAATATAAGAGAATTGCTCCTTTCATGTCCCTGTAATTATGTTTGAATTTAAACTGATTAGGAAGGAAGATCACTGGAGAGCAGATGGGCTGACACATACAGTTCTAAGAGGCACCATTCATATGTATAGTGTCCCCTGAAATTGTGCAGCGTCAAGGCTTCCTTCCTCTCCTCACCATCCTTTTGGTGGTTATGGGCCTAGACCTGTGGTCTGCAAACTCAGTAGTCAACAGAGCCAAATATCAACAGTACAATGATTGAAATTTCTTTTGAGAGCCAAATTTTTTAAACTTAAAAATTTATATTTAAGTTTATATATGTTAATAACATAATTAGGGTACTCCTAAGCTGGCCTTTGCTAAAAACTCAAAGAGCCAAAGGCCACATGTGGCTCGAGAGCAGCAGTTTGCCGGCCACTTGTGGCCTAGAGCATTGTCAGAAACCCCGGTCCTGCATTTCCCTATCCTTTTACTTTGGGAGCCCAGGCCCTCCATGCACAGCCTGTTTCAGCATGAGTCAGTCACCCATGGGTTCTCCAGAATGGCTGAGCACAGAGCCTTTGGGTTGCCTAGCTCCGGGTGGACCCTCACTGCCCTGCATTGATCTTTCAGGCATTCCTAGCTGAGTGCGACATAGTGGAGCAGAACATCTGCCAGGAGACAGAGCAGCTGCAATCCACAAACTTGGCCCTGGCCAAATGAGGAGAGGCAGGGAGAGGCTGCACTGCCCTGAAGAACAGTGCCACCAGCTCTGCCTTCTCTGCAACAGGAGTTACCTGATTTCTCCAAGGCTGCTGGGCCACTTGGCCAATTGCCAGTTTTCACCTCAGCATATTTCCCTGCTTAAAACCTCCATTGGTGCACCTGTTCTCAGTGAACAAGTACTGTGTTTATAATCTTATGTAGAGCTCTTGTTTGTTTCCTCATTCTGCCTGTGTGTGGCTGAGAGCCCAAATCTTCCCATGTCTTTTGACCTTTGGGTGCTTTCGTTTGTCCTGGAGTAGTTCAGATTTATAGGCCACCCTGATCTTCAGATACATGAGGCCTTTTTTCCCTTGTGGTCCCATAGTCCCAAGATGTAAATCAGAATCGTTTGGAGGTTGTATCTAGTCAGGGATGTTGGAAATAGCTTGGAGCAGGTGTTTGGTACACAGTAGTCCAAATATCCCTCATTGTGACCTAATTCCGGAATGGTTGTGTTGTTGGTTCACAGACTTTGTACTTACTTTCCAGTGAACCTGCACAGCCACGGGCCAGGAAATCTCGGGGGGCCTTTCCTGGGGTGGGGCCTGTGGTTGCTGTATGGGCTTCCTTGTCCCCTAGCAAATCTGTAGGAAGTAGAACCCAGTGTTGATGGAGTCTATGCTTGAAACCAAGTCAAAATCATGTCTCGGGAAGGACATAGAGGGGAACAGAGTAAGTAAAGCAGACAGATGGTGAAGACAGCCATAAACTTTTCGGGAGTTTCTTCAACAGCATTTCTGTCCACTGTATGTACTGAGATCTATATTTCCTTCAAGGCTGTTCCTGTCCACTTTGTGACCTTCCCCTCCCCATCCCACCACCTATTGTTATTTTTTTAAAAACTATACACACATCAGCAATCAGAAGAGTATTTAAACTATTTTTTTCAGGGGGGAGAGAAAGAGATACATCAGTGTGAGAGAGAAACATTGATCGGTTGCCTCTTGTAAGCACCCTAACTGGAGATCAACAGCTCTGCATGCTAGAACTCTTAAACTGGTCAGCTTCTGTCACCCCATTTTTTCATACAGGGCATCACTGAAGTTCCAGTAACTTAGGACTGTGTGGGTGGGACTAGGACAAGGTGGTATGGAGTGGACAAGTGGATGAAGCTCAGGGCCCAGCCCACCACCAACTGTAATCCGAGCAATTCAGTACGTAACTGCTTTATGAAGTAGCTGTGTCAAATTGGGCCACAATATTCAGTAAAAAGTTACTGTGTGCCAGATAGTATTTTAAGTACACGTGATGTACTAGTCATTTAATCCTCAGACAACCTAGGAGATAGATACTCATCCATGTCAGAGATGAGGAAACAGAGCTTAGGTAATTTGCTAAAGTCATGGAGTTAGTAACTAAGCCAGGACACGAAGCTGGGCAGTTTGATCCAGAGTCCGTGCTCTTATCTCTACTGTACTGCCTCTATTGACATAGGGATGTGTGTTTGCTCTTATTTTCTCTTTTCCTCCGTCCATGTTGGTCTTTCCACTTGCTCTCTGGTCCTCTCTGATTCATTCTCCACAGAGCATCGTGGGTGATATAAAGTACAAATCTTATCATGTCAGTCCCATCCAATGGCTTCCCTTTCCCATCTCATGTTGGGCCACTCTCCTGTTTGCTCAGTGTGGTCAGCCAGTCTGGTCTTTGTTCCGGTTCTCAGGTGCTCTGTGCCCTCTCCTGCCCCAGGATCTTTGCACTCACCATTCTTCTGTTTGGACAGCTCCTTGCCACCCTTCCACTATTGCCACCCCTTTCCTAGGGGTGTTTGTCTTTCAGAACCTAATGCCTCTTCCGTGGACTGTCTGAGAACATATCAAGTCCCCTCTCACAGCTTGTCATAACTTTTCTTTCACAGCAAGTGTCATAGGCTCTGATGATTTATTTATGGTATTACCTAATTTAATATTTTCCATTTATACTTGACTATAAGTTCCCTGGGTTAAGGAGCTTCTTTGTTTAGTTGATAGCATATTTCAAGCACATTGTCTGGTTTGTAGTAGATGTTCAATAAATATTTGTAAAACAAAATGTCAAACGCATTGGAATTTACAGTATTAACAGTCATTATTTAAAGGTTGAGCAAAGGGGCCCTAAGTCATGGGCTGTTTAGCAAATGTGCAGGGTGGTTACTGGGACCTGGCCACACAGCCTTCCCTGCACTGACCTGCCCATCCAGAAGGTATCTGCTTGTGAACAGGGAGAGAACATCCCTTCTCAGTTGCCCACTTTCCTAGAACATGATCCGCCCTACTTCAGGGGAACAAATGAGGCTCTATGATCCCCAAAACTTCCTTCAGCCTCACAGAACTATAAGATTCCTCCACATGCGGTCTATTTGGTCAACAATTCCTAATTACCCTCCATAATGTAAAGATTACCTACTCTGAGAATCCCTTTCTTATCTGGGGGTTAGTAGGCTCCTTTTAGTTGAAAGAACCAGAACCCTAATTTCAAAGACATTGTTGAAATGGAAATTTATTGACAGGATTTCAAGTTATCCCATGTAATTGAAAGTTCAAGGACAGCTGGACTTCAGGAACTCAAAACACTGCCTGGAATTGCTCTCGAGATCTTCAGCATCATGTCAGCATCATTCTCTCAATCCTGCTTCTTCCATGAAGTAGGAAACAGCTTCACTGCCAGAGAGGAACTGAGTGTTTCCCTTGTTTCCAATTTGAAAAATCCTAAAGAAACTGGCGAAATCAGCCGTGGCCAGACCAGCACGGTCACATGACGTAGATAGGGCCTTTAGGAGCCCACACTTTCAGAGTGGTTCCCAGAGACAAGGCCACAGTTTCCACATCTGTAAAGTGGGGAATTAAGTATTTTTTCCATTGTGGTATCTGGCACATTGCTCAGGCAGAATCTTAGTGATTCCTCCTGGTATGCGTGGCAGGCTGGGAGAAAAGGGTCACTGAGAAACTTGGCTGTGTTATGCCACTTGAATATAAGACATGTGTCCCCCTTAGAGCAGAGACTTAAATGTCACAGATATCCACTCTGCTACAATCAGTAAACCTCTAATTTTCAGCTTAGCACATGACCAACCAGCTAAAAACTATTTCCCAGTCTCCTTGTGGACAAGAGAAGATTACGTTTTGGCCAATGAGATGCAAGTATTATGTACACCTTATGGGAAGCATCTTCGGAGGCAGTTTGCCATTTTTTTCTTTTCTGAGGGCTGGAATATAGACAAGGTAGCTGGATTTGGAGCAGCTGTCTCTGACCTTGAGGTAGAAATGGATGAGGATGGCAGACTAATAATATATTATAGAAGGAGCATGGAGTTGCATTATTGCATAGGTCTGTGTGAAATAAAACTTTTAAGCCACAGTTATTTCAGCTTTTCCATCTCGCTGCCAAGATTCATTTTATGTTATACATATGCAGGGGGAACAGGAGTTTCTGTTGTCAGTAGCAGTGGAAGGGCCTATAAATGACCTTCCTGTACCTACAATAATTTTAAATCTTAATCAACAATTCCTGCTTAAGTTCCCATTTCTGTGTTTCAGGGAATGTTAGTTCTTACCTTCCCTGCCCCCACTTTCCTCTGAAATGTGAGTGTGCTTTCCCACAGGATTTTCTGCCTTATCTGCCCTCGCTAGAGCAGGAATAACTGTCCATGTGAAATGCGCCCATCTGGCCAGGCCGCTCTACACTCTTTTCCTTCCCACCATTACCAAGAGGTTCTTCCTGTAGGCTTTAGCCTAAAGAGGGGATGCTTGACACATACTATAGGCTGGGGCCTCTGGTCAGATTTCTGAATGCTCTGTATTCCTGAGGGCTGTTGTGTGAGTGCACGTGTGCTGTGTGTGCTGGCATTGTGTCTAATGTCAATGTGTTTTAACAGCCAGTCGGAGTGGACGTTGGCCAAAAGAGAACAGGTTCTGGAGTCATCCTGCTGTGGGTGGCCAGGGTGCAGGGGGACATCAAGGGCTTGAGGCAGCACCTGTTTCAACTGTTAGCAGACCTAGTTCCAATTTTTTATATTTTTTTCTTGTTAATCCTTACCTGAAGATAGGTTTTCCATGGACTTTTAGAGAGAGCAGAAGGGAGGGGGAGAGACAGAGAAGGAAACATCGATGTGAGAGACTGGTTACCTCCCACATGTGCCTGGACCAGACTGGGGATTGAGCTTGCAACCAAGGTGTGTGCCCTTGACCAGAATCAAACCTGCAACCCTTCAGTCCAAGGGCTGACACTCTATTCACAGAAAGACCAGCCAGAGCTAGTTCAGTATTTTAACAAACAGTTCAGTTGTACTGTATATACTACCTGAACATTTGCTGTGGTTGTGTGCATGTGTGTTATGTGTGAGGGGGTTGGTGGGGAGAGGCTTGGGGTGCTGCGTCAGCCAGGGAAAAAACCATGAAGAGTTGTGGAACCCTCACAAAGGCTTCTGAAGCTGGGGCCACGCACCCTGGCAGTGGCAGAGGGCATAGACCTCACCTAGGTTCTCGGCCTTATTCAGACAGGAGCACTGAGCAGAGAGAGTGCTAAGGCCAAGGGGTGGCCTCTCAGAACCCTGACCTCAGAAAGGGATCTCGGGCCATGAGGGGAAGACGGGGGTGGAGGGGTGGGGTGGGGGTATGGGGGGGACATGTGACGTGGTTGAGGAGCCCTGGAGCAATGGCAAGGACTTCAGTTTCAGAGCATAGAGGATGGGACCAGATCCACAACCTCCTCCCCAGAGTCCCCCAAAATACTGGCCCACTTGGCTGGGTTGGGCTGGATCTTTTATTTCATGTCACATCCTCTCCACTCCACCACTGCTCTCCAGCCTGAAGCTTCATGGCTTACAAGGTTCCTGTGGGATCAGCATTTGCCATCGTTCACGATCTGGATGTCTTGTTTGGTTTTCCTAGGATCACAGAAGACAGGGATGAGGCCACCTCCTCAGAAACTGTAATGTATCCTTCAGGGACCTTGACAAAGCGCATTCAGACACCCTGCTGAGCTCTACCACCCACTCAGAGTACGGTGGAAGGCAGACCCCAGGGGTGACTGGGCATCTTTCTACAGCTTTTCCTTCTTATACACACTCCCCTGGGAGATTTCAGCTTCCTAGGGTTTCAACCACCACAGCATAGTGATGGCTGCAAATCTATCTCCAGCCCAGACTTTTGTCCTAAACTCTATATCTCCACTGGGATGTCAAGTGTCCAGAGACATCATCACCCCACAAACCTGCTACATCTCACTGTTTTTTACCTTGGCACATGGCACCACCAACTGCCCAAGCCCACAAGTTAGAAACCAGTATGTTGTTGCCTCCTCCATCATCCCTGGCATCCAATCTCACAGCTTTCACTTCTCCCCTGATATAATCCTGAGTGTTTAGTCATGACCTAAGTTAGGACTGTCCTGGTGCTCTCTTGCACATCTGTCCTAAAGCATTGTAGCTTCCAAAGACTCTCTTCCATGGTCTCACTTAGCTCTGGCCAGCTCAAGTGTCTTTTAGTGAAGACACGAGACTAAATGAGTGTTCAGATGTACCAAGGTCATATTTTGGTCCTGCCTCTCTAGACTCATTTCTTGCCTCTCTCCTGTTCTCCTTTAAATTTTCTACTCCAGCATATCCAACTTCTTATATTTTCTCAAATATAAACTTTCCCTTCTAGATCTTGCCAAACTCATTTCTCTATTTACTAGTAGAATTACCTTCCCTTGTTTCTTTTCCTAGCTAATTTCTACTTACCCCCTCAGAGCGGGAAGTCTTCCCTACCCTTGCCCTGTACCCATAGAACCCTGTGTACTCCCATTCAAGCCTTTAGCATTCCATCAACGCGGCTCCCCCCTTAGACTGACAGTATGCCCCAGAAGGCCAGTGATGCTGACTTAGCTTATTATGCCCTGTTGTTTTCCCCAGTGCCTAGTACATAATAGGTGCTCAATAAATAATTGTTGACTGGATGAATAAATAACCAAATGAGGTCACCTTGTCAGGATCAGTGTCTTCACTCCCTACCTCCCACCAGCTGTGGTTTTCTGCTTAGAACCATGTGCATGAATTACACTTGTGCCCATTCTGTTGGGAGCAAATGTTAGGGGATTCTTCCTATGTCAGGTGTGTGTGAAGGAGGAGGCAGGTCAAGGCTTGCTCCTTTCAGACTTGTATGCAGTAGAGATGGAGCCCCACCCGAGCAAACACAGGAGAAGAAGGGGAGTGGACTTACATCCGGGCTATGCAAAGATGGCATTCACTTTGATATGTGACCCCGTCAGTGCCGCAGACCGGGTTGAATGTCCGGGGACAATCTGGCGACTCTGCCATGTGCTCACAGATGGGCTGTGAAAGAGAAGACGGGAGGGAGGGCACTTAGGGATTCAGAAGCAGTGGGGAGGAGCGCGGGGCTCTGCTTGGAGCCAGAGTGCATGGGTCCTGCTGAGCCTGGATGGGGGGATCTCACTGCTGGCAGGGGCTTTGATGCCAGTTTGGGGACTTGGCTAAAGGGGCTGGGCCTGCTCAGCCTGGAAAGGCTAACCCGTGGAACAGGGCTCAGGAGACCACCCTGGCCACCGTGGAGCCATGGTTTGGGTGTAAAGGAAACCAAACCAGCTCCGACAGGAGGGCTCCCTCCGCAGAGGGAAGGCCAGACCTGCCAGCGGCTGCCTTACCATTCTTGAGAAAACGATATTTTCTCCTGACACTGGCTCTCCTGAAAGGCAAAACAGCAAGAATTAGGCGATGTCTGCTCTAGGCCCCCAGACCAGGGATCAGAGGACTTGTTCCAGCCACTGGCCAATCTCAAATGCCTTGCGGAAAGGCAGTGAGTTACCAGATGGTGGGGCTCCCAGAAAGCTGATGTGACCTTGGGTTACACGAACAGAGACAGAAAGTCTAGAAATAAGAGCAGTCCAGCCTGTTGCTTATTAGTCAGATTCCACTGGAATTATGCCCCGAGTAGTAATAAAAATAACTGTCTGTGCCAAGCAAGAATACGAGATCTTATTACTCTTCATACCTCTCTCATGCTGTGTAATGGAGGAATGGAGCCAGCAGTGGGTGCTGGGGCCTGCTACCTAGAGCCCACCCTAGGGACTGACACATTCATTTTTTCAGCTGCCAAGAATATTGGCCATTCACAGTGAGGCCCTTCCTAGGAATTACTCTCAGAGAATGGAGCTACCACACTCAAGGTCACATCCCCTACCCTGGACCCACCCACCTCCAATGACAGATTGATGTGGGTACAACAGCCCGAACCCCTCGTCTCTGTTCAGAACAATGCTGGAGGGTCTCCTGAGCTCCAAGGCTCCCTGTAGGCGCATCAGAGTCAACTTCCCTCTTCCCTCATGGGTGTTAGCCCTACAAACCACATGCGGATCTGAATCTTTCCTGGGGAACTGGACCAACCTACAAAGGGGCTCAGGTTAAGAAACAGCGTGTTAGGGCAGAGCTGGGATTTGCACACAGGTCTGTCACTCCCTAACTTGGCTCTTCCCACACACACACACACACACACACACACACACGTGTGTGCCAAGGCCCCTCAAGGTCTGCATGAACTGCTTACAGGACCTGAGCAAATTGTGATGTGACTAGTGAGTGTGACGGGTGGATGAGGCGGGAGCCATGTCTAACACCACAGGTGGAAGGAAAGAGGTTTATGTAGATTGGAAAAGGGCAGGATGCTTCCTAAAATCTCTGAATGATTGTCTTGAGGCCACGGGAGACCTCAACGTCCTCGGGCAGAGCCTGTCTGAGCAAGGAGACTTCAGGTTTGGGTTCCGGAATGTTCACTCAGTTGGAGTTATGCCTCAATGAAGGGGCTGTCTCCACAAGTGGAAAGTTCTCCATCAATAGAGGTTTACAAGGCACTGGTTTTAGCTTTGCCTGGAAATGCTATTACAAGAGATTTCTGAGGTAGAGAGGGAAACACAAACTGAGACAGCGACCTTTGTGTGCTGTTCACACCTGATGTTGGGCATCAAAATGCAAATCTAGCCTTGTCATCACACTGCCCCAAACCCACCCATGTCTTAATTTCCAAAACTGGAACTTGCCAAATGTCCCGCAACAAGAGAGCGGATAGACCTTGACACACACATGCAGTGAGATACAGCTCAGCCATAAAAATGAGCAAACAGCTGATAATGTAACAACACGGCTGAATCTCAACAACATGCTCAGCCAAAGAAGCCAGGTACAAAAGACTTCTCAACAGCTAACCAGAGTGATCCTTTCATAACATACCTGCTGAAAACCTCAGTACCTCCCATCTCATCCAGAGGAAGAGCCAAGTTCACACTGGCCTTCAAGGCCTCATCCACTAGAGTTCCTGGTTGCCTCTATTATCTCCCCTACCATCACTCCAAACCCTGCCTCTCTCTACCCTCCAACGGCACTGGCCTCCTTGCAATATCTCAAAGACTCCAACCTCAGGGCCTCTGCTCTGCCTGTTCCCTCTGTCTGAAACCTCCTTCTCTCAGATATTCACATGGCTCACTCCTCCTTCAAGCTTTGGTCAAACATCAGCCTCTGAGGAAAAGCTCCCCTGATTTATCCTTACAACCCCATCCCAAACCCCTCTCTCTGCCTCATATTCTAACATACTGCTTAACATACATTGCACCTATCTTGTCTACTGTTCATTCCCTCCCATTGGATTTAAGCTCACTGATATGTCTGAAGGGTCAAGAACAAAGAACAAAGCCTATACACAACAGGTATGAGACTGTAGAGGTGCCCCAGGCTCTGAGGAGGCCCCATTCCAGCTGCACGTGTCCAATCCAGGGCAAATGCTCCCAGGAAGAGGGCTCCCTGTGCTCATGCGGCTGCTCTCAGTCCCAAAGCGATAGCCTGTCAGAATGGATGGAAGCTAAGAGGACCCAGGCCAGGCTTCCTTCCAGACCCACCACCTTGCAGCCAGCAGACGAGACAGGCCTGCTCCTTTCTGCCTCCCCGATCTCCAGCCCAGTGGTCGCTCAGTGCAGCTTCGAACTAGGACAACCTCCTACGTTACAGCTGGAGTAATGTAGGCCCAAGAGGGGAAAGGCTTTTTGTAATACTAAGCCAGAATCAGAAATTGAACCCAGATTTTCTTTCTCCTAGCCCAGGGCTTTCCCTGCGATGGTAGGAGGAGTGCAGAAAAAGTTTTATGCAGCATAGCCGGTGCCGCTCAGTGTGGCATTGATCTATGAACTACGAGGTCATGGTTCGACTCCCAGTCAGGGCACATGCCTGGGTTGCAGGCTAGATCATCAGTGTGGGTTGTGCAAGAGGCGGCCGGTTGCTTATTAGATTCTCTATTATCATTGATGTTTCTCTCTCTCCTTCTCTATTCCTCTTTGGAATCAATAAAAATACATATTGTTTAAAAAAAAACAATTTTTAATTATATGCAGAAAATTGAAGCCTCATAGAAGTGCTCCAGGCCTAGCCTCTGCCCTCACCCCAAGCTCACCTACCAATGCCAAACCATAGAGAATCCAAGCTCTGCCCACTCACCCCTGTCCACAACGAGGAGGGCGGCTAAGGCCAGGGCGACCACCCACAGACGGACGGCCATGCTGATCCCGGGCTGGTGTGGGCTTGGCTTGTGAAGCCTGGGCCTGTTTATAGTGCTGGGCCCTCCCCTTATCTTATCTGGGGCCAGATGGAGAGGCCAGGAGTGGCACCCTGAGTTAATCTCTGCACCCGGGCATCCGGAAAGGGCTTCCTCTACGCAGGGATGCTAAAATGAGGTGGGGTGGCAGGCAGATTTTCAAACTGAGGAAAAGTTTGGATGGCTCACAAAGTTGATGCCAGTCTGAGGGCTGGAGCAAGAGGGAAAGGGAGATTGGAAGTAGAAAGAGAAAAATGGAGAAACCAAGTCAGAAGAGGGAGCGGGGGGGGGAGAGAGAGAGAGAGAGAGAGAGAGAGAGAGGAGAGAGAGAGAGAAGAGGCAGAGAAAAGGGGCTGGAGTGCCTCTACCAACCAACTTTGTGACCTGAGAAAAGCTACTTTTAAAAACTGAGCCTCAGTTTACCGACTCACAAAATGGGGGTGATGATTCTAGCTCTGTCTCTTTCATAGGGCTGCTGTGAAGATGAGAGTTTTAATGGCAGATAGGAAAATACTTTGCAGTGTATGAAATAAGGTATAAATATTTCTTTTTGCATCATATGAAGGCACAATTGATGAGGGGGGAGGACAAAATAAAACACTATAAAGGTTTAATGAAGACAAGATTCTTTCCAAGAAAAGTCAGTGTCTAAAACTACCCCATATTTATGCAGTATATATGAATGAGATATTTGGTTATCTGCTTTCAAAGAATTTCTGATTTATTAAAAGAATAACAAGCCCTGGCTGGTTTGGTTAGAGTAGGGGTGTCGAACTCAATCAGAGAAGGGGCCAAAATCTAAAATCCAGCCTAAATCGCGGGCCGAATGGTTTACTGAACAGTCATAAACTGTCATTGTGATGGAAACGCAGCGGAGTGCAGTGATGACAGCGCAGTGCGGGCCACATTGCAAGGCCTGGCGGGACGGATTTGGCCCGCGGGCCTTGTGTTTGACACATGTGGGTTAGAGTGTCAGCCTGCATCCCAAAGGGGGCTCAGATTCAATTCCTGGTCAAGGGCATGTACCTGGGTTTCAGGTTTATTCCCTGCCCCTGGATGAGCAGCAGAGAGGCAACAGTTAATGTGTCTCTCTCACATCGATGTTTCCCTCTATCTCTTTCTCTCTCTCCCACCCTTTTTCCATTCTCTCTCTGAAAAGCAATGGAAAAAACATCCTCAGGTGAGGCTTAACAACAAAAAATGCTCAGCAGGTGTGGCTTAGTGGTTGAGCATCAGCCCAGGAACCAAGAGGTCACAATTCAAATCGCAGTCGGGGCACAGGTTGGGGGCTCGATCCCCAATGGGGCACATTCAGGAGGCAGCTGATTGACTGATGTTTTTTCTCATCCATGTTTATATTTCTCTATCCTTTTCCCTTTCTCTCTCAATAAAAACATTAAAAATTTTTTTAAACTCATAACATTTATTTACATATTTGGATCAGCGATTTTTAGCTCCCTCTTCAGATTAGATTTTCAATGGGAGAATTTAAAACTACAGAAGCTGGACCTCACTCAAAAATATTTGAATCAAAATTTCAGAGTTTAAAAAAAAACAACCTTTTATTTAGGAAGATTTCAAGCTTACAGATAAATTGTGAGAATAGTTAAATTCGTTAATGGGAAGGATTCTTGTCCAAGAAGAACCTCATTGGCCCTGGCCGCTATGACTCAGTGCTTAGAGTGTCAGCCGCACACCAAAGGGTCTCAGGTTTGATTCTGGGTCAAGGGCACACACATCCCTGGATTGCAGGTTCAATCCCTGGCCCCAGTCAGGGCACATGCAGGAGGCAACCGATCAATGTGTCTCTCTCACATCAATTTTTCTTTCTCTGTAAAAAAAAAAAGAAGAAGAAGAAGAAGAAGAAGAAACCCTTTGGCGGTCCCAGGCAGCCTGACAGTCACCCCCACAGACCAACAGAAGCCCCAGATCTGCAGCCCGGCCCAGCCCAGCCCAGCCTAGCCCAGCCCAGCCTGAGATCCGTGATCAGTTCCAGGATCCTCCTGTCCCTCCTAAGGAAGCTTCATGACCCTCAGGTGCCCCCGAGGCAGGTGGCAGCTATTCTTTTCCTGTTTAGCCAGGCAGAGCAAATATTTAACGATAATTTCCTGTCCTGGAGCAAGAATATCATCTCTTAAAGGGAGAGGAACTTTAAAGGTCATCTGTCTCCCATCTCTCAATCCCGCCTTCGTATAGCCGCCCACCAGCAGGCCATTCATCCTCCAGGGATGAGGAGCTCGCTGCCTGCCAGGGTCAGTGTTGCATGGCTTTGAACACACCGGAGGCTGGCTTCCCTGCTGTGTTGTGTAGAAGAGAAATCACTGGTATACGGGGAGAGAGTGACAAAAGGGAAGGAGGCTGCTCTTTTATTATTTTTTATTTATATATTTTTATATATTTTATTGATTTTTTTTACAGAGAGGGTGGGAGAGGAGAGAGATAGAGAGCTAGAAACATCGATGCAAGAGAGACATCGACCAGCTGCCTCCTGCACACCCCACACCAGGGATGTGCCCGCAACCAATGTACATGCCCTTGACTGGAACCCTTTCAGTCCACAGGCTGACGCTCTCTATCCACTGAGCCAAACCAGTTTCGAATGGAGGCTGCTCTTTTAGATCAGTGTTTTTCAACCTTTTTTGGGCAAAGGCACACTTGTTTCATGAAAAAAATCACGAGGCACACCACCATTAGAAAATGTTAAAAAATTTAACTCTGTGCCTATATTGACTATATATAAAGTAATTCTCTTGAATATGAATCAAATAAACACAAAGAAAGTATTTTATAATTACTTTATTATGAAATATTAAGTAAACAAAATAGTGAAAAATTATAAAATTCTTGTCTTGTCTGCACCTACAGCACACCAGGCAACATCTGTGCCGCGGAACAGCGGTTGAAAAACACTGTTTTAGATATTGACGCCTGAGCAGAAGGAGCAAGTCCTGCAGGAACCTGTGGGAAGAGCCTGCTTAGCAGAGGAGCTGCCAGTGCAAAGGTCTTGGGATGGGAACAAGCTTGGCGGGCTCCAGAGGCGTATCTCAAGGAGCCCACTGTGGTTAGAGTCGAGTAAACAAGGAATTGAGTAGCAGGAGAGGAGGGCCAGCTCAGACCCGGATCCCAGCCCAGCCACCAACGTGGGTGCATCCCTTCACCTCTGGGCCTGCACACATGATCCCTCTGAGAAGTGAGCACACTGATATGTACCAAGCCCAGCCTGGGTCCCAGGGCCACTGGGAGGACCTGGGGAAGGAGAGGGCAAGGTGAGATGTATGTGGCTATTGTGAAGCCAGGAACCTGGAAGTGGGCAGAGGCCAAGCCTTAAAAGTCACGGGCACCTACCCAAGTGCTAGAATCAATACAGTAAGGACAGAGGTGCTTTGACACTGGGCTTGAGCAGGGGAGCAGGTGATCCCTCCATCTCCTGCCCCCGTCAGAGTGAAGGCTGGGACAGGTGAGCTGGCTGAGCCAACACTCCCTAGCCTACCAGTACAGTAGCTTTCCTGCTGCCTGCTAAGACCTGGACTGGTGCCCAGCTCCTCAGAAAATACAGCCCCTCCTTGATGACGATGATGCAGGATCCATGAGGTCTGAGTCACAAGCCTTGCTGATAAGGGAAGGGAACAATGTTGTCTTTTTTTTAAGGTGGGTGAGTCGAGCTCAAGCAGGCCTGAGTCTGCCAGATGGCACAGACATGTGGTCAGCTGGTCCCTGGCCTATCCCTGGCCCCTCAGCCTACATCCTGTTCCACCCTTCCTCCAGCCTCAAGGGCCCCTACCCGCCCGTCCACCTGCTGTGAGCAGCCCAGGTGTGGGCACCCGCTCCAGGGAGGCCGGGTCTAGGCACAGCCAGTTCCACAGCTTGTCCTGTCCTGGACGCCTCCGCCACCTGAGTCCAGGTCCCAGTTCTGGCCACTTCCAGTTCTTTTTTCTTTTTTTTTTCTTTTTTTAATATATTTTATTGATTTTTTACAGAGAGAAAGAGAGAGGGACAGAGAGTCAGAAATATTGATGAGAGAGTCATCTATCAGCTGCCTCTTGCACACCCCCTACTGGGGATGGACCCGCAACCAAGGTACATGCCCTTGACCGAAATCGAACCCGGAACCTTTCAGTCCGCAGGCCAACGCTCTATCCACTAAGCCAAACCAGTTTTTGGCTACAGGCTACAGGGCCCCACGATGTCAGTGGGAGGAAAGGGCACCCCCCTACTCCCTCAAAGGGAGATATCATCTCCTTGTTTGGGATCTGACTTCAAGAAGGATTCAACGAAGGGAACAACTAAAGTCACTCCTCCATGGGGATACCCATCCTGCCATTCAATGGACACTTATGAGGTACCTACTGCTGGGTACTGGTCATGGTGCCAGGTCCTGGGGCCACAGAGATGAGTGAGGAACATCCCTGTGCTCAAGGAGCTTGCAGTTTATTGTGGTGGGGAAGAGAAATGGACTCGTGGATACTTAAACCGGTATTTATAAAATGCTGTGGTTAGAGCAGTGATAGAAATAGGGATAGAGACATTCATGGACATTCACTCAATATAGACAACTTAACATCAACGTACCCACCCAAAGATACCCTGCCTCTCTCGGTTCCCCCATCTGGGTACACAGTGCGACCATCACCCAGGTGCCCACACTTATGTCTGCATTCGGGGAATCAAGTCTTACTCATTTCACCTCCCTCCTCTCCATCTCTCATATCCATCATCTCTTTTACATTTCCTCAGGCGTTGCTCTAGTTTGGCCTCCATGATCTCTCACCTTCCTTACTCATATTGTCTCCCTGCCTAAGGCCTCCCAAATTCATCCTCCATTCCACTTCCGGAACAATCTTTCTGCAATGCAGGAATAACCACATGATCCCTCTGCTTAATATTATTCAACTATTATTAGTCAATTCAATTACAATTATTCAGTCTCTATTGACTCAAGGATGAAAAGCAAACTCCTTGGCATACAATACACATCCTCCGTGACTGTGCCTTTGCTGGCCTCTTGAA